TACCTCTACCCATTTGGAGAAGGCATCAACAACAATGAAAAATTGTTGTCCATTTGTTGGGCCCATGAAATCTATATGTATTCTCTCCCATGGCTGAGTTGCTGGTTCCCAAGGATGGTTGATCTCTTTCGTTGGAGAATTTTGTTTCTCACGACAAGGCTTGCAAACAGCAATCATGTTTTCAATGTCTTTATCCATTCCTCTCCAAAAGCAGTAACTTCTTGCCAAAGCTTTGGTTTTTACTATACCAATGTGCCCGTAGTGTAGTTCATTGAGAATTCTTTTCTTGAGGGAATTTGGGATGATTACTTTCCACCCTTTGAAGAGGCATCCTTCATGTAATGTAACTTCATTATCGTGAAATCCCAATGGCTCTAATGATTGACCCTCCTCAAGAGCCTCAAGAATTTGTTTTAGATATGCGTCCTTCTTAGTTTCTTCGGCTAGTTCTTTGGGATTGATAGTTATGGTGTTCAATTGGTTTGTTTGAAAATGTCCAAACTGGTCAATACTTGTAAATTTTGAATCTTCCACAGGAAATCTTGAGAGGAAATCTGCATTCCCATGGTCACCAGTTCTCTTGAATTCAATTGTGTAGTTAAATCCTGATAAAAAAATGGGAGTAGCTGAATAGTCGCGTAGCTGACATTGACGGTAGGCTCTTGTTGGGATTGAAGATTGACACTAATGGTTTATGGTCCGTGATGAGTGTGAAATGACGTCCGTAGCAATAAGAAAAAAATTTCTTCAACCCCCAGTATATACCTGTGGCTTCTTTATCGATTTGGCTGTAATGTTTTTCAGCATTGGTCAATGATCTTGAAGCAAAAGCTATAGGCTTTTCACTTCCATCTGGGAAACGATGTGATATCACTGCTCCAAGTCCCACTGGTGAAGCGTCAGTTGCAAGGATCAATGGCAGGTCTGGGTTAAAGTGACAAAGAACTGTGTCACTTGTTATTCTTTTCTTGATGTTTTGGAAACTTTCTTCACACTTACTGTCCCATATGAATGACTGCCCTTTTTTTAGAAGCCTATGTAAAGGATTTAAAACAGTGGACAAATTCTTTACAAAACGGTTGTAGTAATTAACAAGCCCTAGGAAAGATCGGAGTTCCTGTATGTTTTGAGGCCTTCGTGCATTTGTAATTGCTGTGATTTTATCCTTACTTTTGTGGATTCCAGTGGCGTCAATAACATGTCCTAAGTATTCAATTTTCTTTTGAAAAAATTTGCACTTGTCACGGTTCAACTTCAAATTTTGACTCCTTAAACGCTCAAACACTTGCTTTAGTCTTTCTAGTAGTTCTTTTGATGACGTTCCTTGAATTATTATATCGTCGAAGAAGCACTGAACACCTTGAAGGTCTTGAAGGATTCCGTCCATCACCTTTTGCCAAACTCCTGGAGCAACTTTTACACCAAACATCAGTCTGTTAACTATGTATTGTCCTTTATGAGTGCTCAAAGTTTGAATTTCTGCACTCTCAGCATCCATTTCCAAGTGGAGATAAGCGTTACTTAAATCCAAAGTACAGAACAACTGTCCTCCATTCATTTGAGCAAAAATGTCTTCGATCCGAGGTATTGGATGATGTTCTTCTTTGATTTTTTTATTTACTGTAACCTTGTAATCAGCGCATATTCGTATGTTACCATTAGGCTTTACTACAGGTACAATTGGAGTACCCCAATCGGACTTGTCTGTTTTGGAAATGATTCCAGCTTCTTCCAGACGATTCAACTCGAGTTCTACTTTTTCAGTTAGTGCATATGGGACTGGACGAGCCTTCACAAAAATAGGTCTTGCCCCTTCAACAAGCTGTAAGTGTGCTTTTTTGTGAGGTATGAGTCCTACTCCTGGTTCAAATAATTCCTTGAATTCATCCAAAAGATCTTCGAGTGCAGTAGATGTAGTATTGTTACTAACTGTTTTAAGTTCTGCCCAATCCAGTTTGTCCTCTCTAATCCATTCTCTTCCGAAAATTGCATCGAAATTTTGGTTCACTATGTAGAGTTTCCCAACAAACACTTGATCATTGTAAGTGCATTCTACAAAGACGACACCCCGGGGTTTGATTATTTCGCTTGAGTATGTCCTTAGTTCTATGTTTGTGTGGAAAATCTTTTTATTCATGTTGAGACTTTTGAAGGTAGAGTATGGTAGAATACTTATTGCTGCTCCAGTATCTAACTCCATCCGCACAGGTTTACCTTCAATAAGTATCTCGACCATAAACTTGTCATTACCGGCACTCTGGTTGTGTATCTTAAAAACCTCTTGTTTCTCTTCCTTATAATAGTCTATAGTATTGTCAGTTTCGGTACAATGAATTTCTGTTTGTTTTGTGCCTAAACATACGCTAGCAATATGCCCTTGTTTGTTGCATTTCTTACATATTTCTCCGATAAATTTACACTGATGTGCCCTGTGTCTAGGTGATCCACAACGATAGCATTTACCTTTGAGGCGTTCAAATGGAGACTTTAACTTTTTGTTCAAAGTAGGAGAAAAATGGGGTGGTTTTGTTCCTGTACCTGCTATCTTGTTGATTTTCTCATTTGAATGAATGTTTTCTTCTACTATATAGCTTTCGTTTTTTGCCAATTCCATGATGGAGGCAAGTTTCACTACATCTTGAAACGATGAAGCAGATCTTTCTTGTAATAATTTTGTTCTTATGTCTGAATTGCTAATACCTCTTATAAACTGCATGCGTAGTAATGTGTTTGCAATTGATTTCCCACAATTATTACAGTTGAAGTCACAGTCTGAAGATAACTTTTGAAGCTCAACGGAATATATTTTTACGGTTTCTTCAGATTCTTGTGTTCTTGTCATAAATTTGTGTTGTAAGGCCCAAGTACTAGGTTTAGGGTCGACATAATCAGCCAAAAGACTTACTAATTCAGCATATGTTTTATCCAAAGGACTTTCGGGAGCGCACAAATCATACAGCTTCTGATGTAAATGTGGGGTTAAGGCATGTAGCATTGTGTACACTTGATCCTTTGGTTCCAATTCTTGGCTATGTAGATATAGAAATATCTCAAATCGACGAATGAAGTTCTTGAATGATTCATTTTCCTGATATGGTGTGAAAATCATTGAGGAAGTAGTGGATCGACGTTGTGGAGTAGACAAATTTGATGTACTAGGCACAATATTTTGAGTGTTCACTTGTAGTTCTGCAAGCTGTCCCATACGTTTTTGTAACTCATCCATTACCTTGTAATATTTGTCCTCCATTTCTACTCTGTAATCTATTTCTTTCTCAATTTCAGCTTCTTCAGTTTTCTCTTCTATTAATTGTTGTACAGAATTAAATCTTTCCCAATAATCTTCAATTGTTGTTATCCTGGTTTTGATTACTTCTTTTGACATGTTTTGTAGGTTTGCTAGCCATCTTTCAGCCTTAGACAACTGACCCTTCACTACTACTCTAATCTTCTTTAAATCAGTCAAACTTTCAGTGTAACTTAGGTCACTCATATTAAAAAATAAATTGTAATAAATAGAATGTAAAAAAAAATTAAAAACGGTTTTTCCTCGTCGCCAAACTGTTACATATTAAATAAAAGATGTGTAAAATAAAATAGGTGTATTCTGAATTGAATCCTAAATAACAATGATTGTAAACAAAAACAAAGTTAACTTATTAAACATAACATATGGTATTTTGTTAAACATACAGTATGTTAGAAAAGACACATCATATGGAATTACATGAAAACATCAAATGCTTTTCCCCCACATAGGCCTATACAATATTTTTTGATAAAAATAACACACAGATCAATTTATTAACATTTTAAACAATTCAGAGGACCTAATACTTTTATAACTACAAATTTGTATCAGGAGTCACTGAGTCAGTCACACTAACTTAGAATCTAGTTTTTGATTTCATTAAATCAAAATTTGTGATTTAAGACAAATGGTAAACATTAATACTGATATCTTTGCTGATAATATTCATGAATTGCTGTAGTTTATGGCTTATGAATTAAAGATGTGTTATCTATATGATGGATGCCCATCTGCCAGTTAAGTGTCAATTTATATGAAAACTTATAAACTGACCTCACTTTATAGATTATTAAGATACATCGAGTAATCAGATATTATTTTTAGTTCAGCACGTCATCCATAAAATTATAATTCTTACAAAAAGTAAACGGAAAACAAAAAAGCTATATTTATCAAAATCAACATATTTTTGACATAAAGATATTCATGTTGTTCGTCCAAAATACTGAAACTATTGTCTCATAAAGCAATCTACAATTTACTGTTGTTTCTATATAGGCCTACCTGCATATAATATGTAAAACATCTTTAGCATTACTGGACCAAAAGGCAAGGAATAGTTTGCGTTAAATTATTTCTGATAGCATTCTATATCTAGGTTTCTAAGAATTTAATAGGCCTATACATATAAACACTGTTTATTTTCAGATCATTATCTTGATCTTTATGAGTATTTGCTACAGGTTTTATTTAGCCTAAGTAAGTTATGATTTATAAGTATATTTCTATTTTGAGGCTATATTATACAAACTTAAGACCTTCTTGAATATGGCCACAGAGAAGTAAGTTACAGAGGATACATTCAATGGTACATATAAGTGGTGTCTAGCACCAGTTGCTCTGGTGTCTAGAGACATTTCTATTCATTGTCCCCTTCTGCTCTCCTTTCCCCTCACCTACAGTACTACAGCGCTCTCGCGGTAGGAAGACCCAATGCACTACAACTGTTGTATAAATATGCTATGTGGCCATGGCCGTTCGGGCTCTTCCTAGCTACTACTACATTTCCGCCCCACCTTACCAGAACTAAAAGCGCTCGGTTGTCCCATAAGCATGTTTTCTCTGTTTATCTTACTTCTATGTGGTATGGTGGTTGAGATTTAGCTTATAAAGGAGCTGTTTATTTTAGCTATGAGATGTAATCACAAGGAAGCATATGCACAGCTTTACTGGAAAATCGTGAGCTTACCTAACGTTCCAGAAGTAAAGTCGATGGCTCCATCAATTATGGTTTTTGCACTATGGGTGACTGCGGGTTCTTTTAAACCTTTTGGACTACTTGTGACAGTAGATTCTTCTTTATGAATTGATGACATTGTGATGTTTGGTAAGAAATTTACTCTCGATATATTCTGAAAGGAGTAGAATGAATAGGTATACAAACATAAAATAGAAAAAATGTTTTTGCCTTAGGCAATGTTGGCCTATATCTATGCTTTAGAAGGATTTCTTTAAAAGCTTGAGCTATTTTATGTAGGTACTAGCCTATCTTATTTTATTTTTATTTAGATACATTTTCATAACTTCAATTTTGTTGCAAGTTTTCATAGCCTAGTGTTGGACGATTGCTCTTAACCCATTGGCGCCGACTTACGAGCGTTACTCGTATGGCCGCTGCAGGCTTGGCGGCTGACTTAAAAGAGTCCTACTGCTCATGTCACCGCTACACAGCGCCACTAGTTAAAGTTTGAAGTTCTTTTAAGTTAGAAACCCATAATATTTATATGGAAAGCCTGTGATTGTCCCATAAAACCAGGACCTAGGGTAATCCTTTTAAGTAAAGTTGTGTTTGTATTGTTTGTATTCCAAGTTTAACTCTCATTTATTTATTTATTTAATTCCAACGGCAAAACTAAAGATGGCTAGGTACTATTCAAGCAATAACAAACTCATGGATAATAATTCCCAGACCAACTTATTGGCAATGAGAAAATAAATCTAGAATTTGTAGAAATAACGGCTGCACTTTACTTGACGTCCTACACTCATTCGATTGTTTTTTTCGATATGATATTTTCATTCGATTGTTTCATTCGATATATCGTTTGGTTAGTTAGGGTAGGTTAACCTTACCTAACTAACCAAACGATATATCGAATGAAGCAATCGATTAATCGATATATCGATCGATATTTTCATTCGAACGAGTGTAGGACGTCAAGTAAAGTGCAGCCGAAATAACTACCGTACCCAACAGAACATAGCCTATAAGTTAACAATTACATTTTACTTAGGCCTACATGAAGCAAGTCACCCTAAATTTACAGCAATTTTTTCTTTGTTTTAAAATTATATTTTACCTCTAATCTTAGGTCTACCTACATATCGAAGTTGAGGATTTTATTACTAGCCTATCTTGCTGATTTTCAAATGAACACTACACTTGTAAGTCAAAATGCATACCGTAACTTAAAACTTAAATATTTTCATATTTGGTATCTTAGACCTACAGAATGAGGAAACGAGTTATGGGTAGAGTTTGTTAACTGGGCTACGCTAATATTGATTGAAACTATCAATTCGATTAGTAAACCTTCAAGCGATTTTCTCACAATCAGCAAGTTTGGTTGGTTAGGTTAGCTTATGATAGTTTAGTTTTATAATAGATATATTTTATAATATCGATTATTACTCAATATTTTCAATTCGATAGTTTCAATCAATATTAGCGTAGCACAGTTAAGAAACTGTACCCCCGAGTGATTTTGAATATTTTACATTATCAATTCTATATCTGAAAAAGAGCATAAAAATGTGAGAATGGAAATCCAGACTTAAATTACATCATGCGTACCTTAATGTCCTGTCCACAAGGCCTAGGCGAAATTATTTATTGATGATTCTAAAGCTTTCAGTTACATGATGAACAAAAAACACGAATTTATTTCTACAAAAAACTGATAATGGTAGCTTCTTACAAACAACTACTACATAATATCACCACAGAAGACGTAATAAATAAACATCACTATTCCCACGGACTATGGACCAAGTTTAAAACAATAACACGGTCTTCCCTTCCTTCAGTATTCATTCATTCAATAATGTCTCGCCTAGCAGACAGCCCGTTGTTTTAAAAACTCTATTCTAACCAAAACTGACCACACCACTTTGAGCCGGGCCAAGAGCTTTAACGTGGAGCTTGCGCAATAGACTGTTTTTTTTTTCTCTCTTTAGCTTTGAGCAGGAGTATGATTGTTTTATGGAATAGCCTTCAGGCTGAGGCCGTTTATATCTAAAACATTACTTTCTTTTTTTGGATATTTAACTAGCTAGAAGTAGTTTAACCAAAATTAATTATTTGGATCCAAAATTCCTTATTCAACTTTCCATTTTTAGCACAGACAATGATGGTCTAAATAGTAAATTCTGTGTTTTTACTTATTACTACCATAGATTAAACCTTCAGTATCCAATGGTCAATGATTAAACATACCCTGTTAATCGTGATTAGTTACGGCCGCGGCCTGTTAGAATTGGCAACGTTGCAAGTGGTGCGTTGTTTAGCGCCAGACGTCCCATAAGATAACATGGCACGATGGCAGACAGGTGACACCAGCTCATTAATTCGCGTATTATTCATTTAAATTTATGCATAAATGCTTTAAAAGATTGAAAATAAAACATATATAATTGAAAACCAAAACAATATTTAAATTGAAAATATAATTTTGTAACGGTGGCCATGGCTGAATTGACTTTATTTTATTTTGTATGCCAAAATTGGCACTTGATTGCGGACGCATTTGCGTTTTCATACATCAATATTATTTATAAAAATACAGATATGTATGTATTATTTGTAGCTGTTGTCGTGTTCTTTGATTGTTTATAGCATTGTTTATTGTTGAGTTCTGTGCACTGAGCTATAATTCTAACTGGAGGTAGCACTGAATGTCAAAGATGCGTGTCGCCAGCCGCCATGTTTGCGTGAGTCTGGTGTCATAAGAAGCCATATTATTGCTATAACTATTATTATACTTGGCTTAAAATACCTACTTTGTATGGTCGCCATTTCAAAGAAAATTATTAAAGTATTAAAAGTATTCAAGTATGACAAAAATACTCACTGCTATACCAACCTAGTTATAAGAAGCCATGTTATTGCTATGGTAAGAAAACTTACTGCTATACCAACCTAACAAAATCAGCGACTCGCTTTTGACAGACTTCTGCCATGGCAGTGCTACATCCAGTTATAATTTTAGCTCAGTGGTTCTGTGCCATGATTCTGACGTTCTAACTGTGGGTGGGTGGTGGCTCACGAAGGGAAATTTGGAACACATTGATTTAATTGGTATCTCTGCGTATACTCAATGTCTCTGCTCTGTTGCAAGTTGCAAAGCAGAAAGAAAATACCACCTGTCTCCAGTGTTTACACTGACGACTGTCACCTGTCATCGCAACTCGCAACTAAAAATGTCATGCCATCTCTACAATATGACAATATTCAATTAATTATGTTGAGTTGATTATTTACATACTTGGTTAGGTTATGCTGTAACCTAAATTCTTTAAGAAAAATATGCGATGACAACTAACTAATCATTAACTTAATTTTGTAATTTTTCTAATTCTATGTGATAATGGGTATTTTAACAAAGAAGAAATTTCTTCCTGAAGCAAGTGGTGAGCAGATTTTGTAATTATTTAATTATCCTAAGTCATGTCACTTGGCCATAATTAAGAAGTAGGGCCTAGGGTAATCAGTGTCTTAAGGCCTATATTTAGACATCCAAGTTGAATATTTTCTTTAAGCTTTTAAACATGTTTAAGTTTCCATTTATCCTGACCTTAAAGCGTTCTTATACAATTCTTGTTATTTTTAGGGCCTTATGCTACATCATGTGCAGATTTGATGACAGAATATTCCCAGTATGGAGTTTTCATCCGACTCTACTATCCGACTTCTAAAGCCTCTGTAAGATATCCAATAGGCATAGCCTATGTTTTTGTATAACTAACTAGCTTATGAATGGCATCTAGGCTAGCTGTCAACTTAACAAGCCATTTCTGGTACCGTAACAAATAGGATGAAGGTGGATTGGGTGTACGGTAACTTAATTTTTTGGTAAAGGAAGGGGAATGGGTAGCTTATGTGGTACATTTTGATGTTTGCAAGACAAGGGGGACTAAGTAACTTAATACCTTTAATAAAAGAATACCCTCGGCCATGGGCCTAGGCTCTTTTAAAATATTCCAAATTTCCCAGTCCCATACAAAATTTATGGAATTTCTTGGTCATCAAAATGTGCATAGACTACAATTCTCAGTTCCTTGGTCAGCTTTGTCCAAAAACCTAACTTTGTTTTCAATTCAAAAGACAGTAGGCCTAAACGTTACCCCAACAGGTTGTTTGCATTTACGGGACTCCATTACATTTCTTTCAATACAAAAACTAAGAAGCTACTCGCTCAAGAAGAATCCAGTAAACATTTCTGTCAGCTCCCTTCTTATAGGCTTTGCCCTATTAGTACCTATGCTTGTTGACCACAACTGTAACAGTTTTTTGACCAAATCGTGTATGTAATGGCTGCAAGTAAACGTAAGTTAATTAAATTCAATTAGTTGTTGGGTGTGTTTCTAGCCCAGTGGTTTGTGACTCGAAATTCGGTAAGAGAGGGATGGGTTCAAACGGTAAAACAATTCAACAACATTTTCTGTCTGTCAGTTTGCAAAAACAGAATTAGGTCTACTGATCATTTGTACCTATAGTTTAGAAAACGCTTAGCCAATTCCTTCAATAGACAACCTTAACTTTTAAGACTCAACGAATTTGACTGGATTAATAAATTTTGAATCAAATTTTTTTACTTTTCACCTTATAAATAAAATTGAAATAGGTAGTCCTAGATATTACAACTCTTAAGAGGTGCGGTATTAATACTAAAAAAAGAGTGGGACTGCTTGTGTATCTTACTTTCAATGTGCACCAAAATTAGTAAAACTGTAACTGTATTCTATTATGATTACTGTATTAAATTAGTATTCTTTGTACTGTTAAAAAAAATTTCATAAACACATTATAAAATAACAATTAACTGCATTAACTTGAATTACTCGCTGAGAGAAAACCAGTTGTTTAATATCACATTTAATATAATTAGTCCTGCAATTAATTCAAAAAACCATTATAGTAACTATTCAAATATCTCTATCAGATAAAATGTGTATGTAACTTTTAACGAGGATTGATCAAATCCAGACAGGAACAGAAGGATGGTTTCGGTGGGTTCCTCACGACATGTACACCCAAGGGCTGGCTTGTGTTGTAAGTCTCTGGGTGTTTATACTACGACTGGTCATGTGGTGGTACGGAGGTAAGGACTATTTACATAATATTATTTTTTACAATATGTGTACAGTTAACTGTTGACAATCCAATACCTTTGGGTAGGGTACCAGGAGAGTTTCATTTTTGCGTCTTGAATCACTTAACATTAATATGATTCTTATACCTCCTCTAAGGGTGAATGACATTTGTTTCGGCAACTATGTTGCCTTCTTCACATCCTTGTCGTCAAGAATATCAATACTCCCTCATACTAAGTTAGCTAAACATTTAACCTGTGCACATGAAGATTCAGACCAAACAAAAAAATAATTCGACTACAACTGTGACGACAAGTACGTACTGCTCGGTTAACACGTCCAGATTTTTTTATTTTGAGTCTTCCTAATTTCCTTATAGGAGGTATAAGGAAAATGAGAAGAAATCAAGATAAATTAACCTCTTATTTATCAGGAGGGTGTCAGATCACCAAAAATAGGCCCACGATATTGTGTAAAACAATAAAGGAAAAAAGGAACCAATTCTATAAGGAAAGATAACTTGTGAAGTCGTCATATGCACTTTTTAACTATTGGACTTTCAAATTAATCAGTTTTGGCATAAAAAGTCCTTGTTGAACTCAAATTATAGGCTAGTTAATTAGGTTTTTTTTTCAGTTTAAGCCTCTTATTGATCAAATTTTAACTGGTTTAAAAATATCCTATACCTTATCTACCAAGTGACTCCTTGAATACGCTACCAGTCTCGAATTACATAAAATCTCAAGGATAAAATGAACAAACCTATTCAAGGAATTAAGATAACTTTGCAGATAGGGTAAATTTAACCATTTAATAATTTATTTAGTACATCAACTCTAGCATTTGATCTTGTAGGCCTGAATATGGTTAAGTATAACCATAGGCAAAAAGAATTAAATATAGACCGTCAGCTGTGCTGCGGTTACCATAGGTTCTGGCGCACACCGCTTGGAGCACCATGGTAGTTACGGCGTACGCGCTACGTAAACTACAGCGGTGTGCGCCGGAACCTACGGTAACCATGGCAACCGCAGCACGGCTGACAGTCTATATTTCATTCTTTTTGTCTATGGTATAACTTACACTTTAAATTTGAATAGAAATTCCTGATTTACATCATAGCAATGCTAATCAAGCCAGAAAGATTATTCAATTGACTAGTAATCGAAGCACAAAAATGTACTTAGACTCAGTAATCAACACGGATCACTGCAAAGACTGTGGAATCAGAGTGGACACAGACTAGAAAGATTTATTTGTTTTAGACTGGAATATAATTATCGAGAGTCATATATTTATCAGCATTACTAAAATTTTTGGCCTAATTTCCATGCACAATTGCCATTTTCTGTCTTCTAGTATAATGCCTTTAAGTAACCTTGTCTGACTAACTTTGTTCTACAAATTTTGTTTGGTTTCTATGTTGTAATTGTTGAGTGTCTTACAAATGCCTATCCAAGACTCCTCTTTTGCAACAGTGTACTAATTTTAAATTGATTTTCATTTTAGAAGAAGTTTTAGCAACTATATAGAAGCATATTACTTGTAGGCGTGGAAAGTAATCAGAGTATTTTGCCAGGTGAAATGTATGTCCCGGCTCAATGGGAGGCTCCGTTGCTGCCTGCCTCACACAGTGAGAGAAAGGAGAAGTTGCCAGTGATTATATTCTCTCATGGGTTCGGAGCCGCTAGGTACTTCTGCTCAGCAATGCTGTTGGAGTTGGCCTCACAGGGATACGTCGTCGCCTCTCTTGAACACAGGTTTGTATGTGCAAAGCATATAAATAAATATTGACATTTTGTGTAAGACAGAAAAATACTTTTTCAGCAAAAGAAAAGCTGTGGAACACTTGACTAAGGTATTTATTTGCTGACTTTAAAGTTAAAACAACTTTCAGACTGATTTTTATTGTTCGGTTAAGGGATTTTATTATTGATTGTTTTTTTATTAAAGCAAATCATAAATCAATTACTGTCTTTTTTGCTCTGGATTTTTAACTACCTATTGTAAACACGTTTACTCTTCAGGTCTGTCATTTTTACTGTTTTAAGAACTTGAGGGTTGTATGTTGTTTACATGGCTTTCTCATTGCAAAAATTTCTAAATGCTTTCCCATGTAAAAAATAAAAGTTTTTGTAATTTAATGTATTTTGTGGTTTTTACAACGTATCCCCAAATCTACAAAATGACTGGTATTATTTACATATGTGAGTTATTTTTTATATCCAGTTTTTAGAAAATTCTGGTAAAATACTTGTTTACACAATCATCATAATAGTAGGCTAGTAGAATCCTTAAGTAATAGTTTTACTGAAAGAAGCTTTCAAATTATTAATAATATCAAAAAACTACTGGTACCAAATAATTTAGGAGGAAAAAAATACTCTAACCATGATGTTTTGTTCTCAGGGATACATCCGCTTGTGCCACATATTTCTACAAATCAGCTGCTCACAGGGATAAAGACGAGAGGACTTGGATCCCCCACGCAAAACTGGAGATTGGTCCGCAGCATTATGAGTTGAGACGCAAACAAGTACGTTTGGAATAGAGTATAAGTAAGAATGTTATGTAATATTGTGGGTGGAGCTTGGTTAATTTTTGTTTGATTCACGTAGAGTCTGGGAGAATGGCTGTCAAATATAGGTTACTACAGGAAGTGTTTATTCATTTGATGGTCAGTTGTAGAATTGCCATTTCCCCAGAGATGACCGGATTTTGACATTCAAAATTTAGCTCCGAGGAATTTCTGCAAAAAATGAGAAATCTCTTTTTTACTCTCTATTAAAATGCATTATCTAACGGCACTTTTGGAATAAAATAAATGTTTGCGTTCGCAAACATTGTTATGCAATGACTGAAAAATGCAAGAACTCTTGTACTCTCAACTAAGGTTTTTTTATTCCTTGGTTTCACTTTGGCCAGCAAACATCCTTAGTTTGTCGTCTGTTTCATTGCTCCCAGTGCTTTAATTCGCGTCTGCCGGCCAGTCCGAAGGTATCCGTGTTCACTAGAAAGCTGAACCGAGTCTAGTAGACAAAGAGCGTTTTGTTTACGTTATTTGTTAATCGTTATTTTATAGTGACATGTGACGAGCAAGATGCAACATTTTTTGCTTTCGCTTATCATATTTGAACAATATTTGACAATGTAGCACGAATATTGAACAGAAACGCTATGGATTAATAGAATTAATTGCGTCACTGGCCAGAATGTCTATACTAATAGCCGTAACATCTGGTTTTTTTTTACGGTTGCATTGAAATATTAATAAAATCGTGTTTACTTTCGGGCCAGTGACATAATTGTATCTATGTTTAAGACCCATACACGTTTCTGTTATAATATTTGTGCTATGTAGATATATTGCTAGACCGTTAAATTTTATCCACTATAGTGGGGACCTCCAGCTAAAATTTACTCTTTTTAAAAATCAACATGGCAACCCTAGTCAGTTGCCATAATGCAGTGGACAGATAGGCTAAGTAGCCTAGTGCTCATTTTGTGTACCATTTATAATACTTGTATTACAAGTAGCCTATCATTAACAAATTTTCACAAACAAATTAATTTTACCAACATTAATTTTAATATGTATTTTTTATCTGAACACTTATGACATATCCCGCTGTTATGTTTCTAGGTCAGGTGTAGAAGAGATGAATGTGTCAAGTCTTTGGACTTCTTGGAGGATATTAACAGTGGAAATACAAACAAAAATATTTTGAAAACATCTCTGGATCTTCAAGGTTTTAAGGTAAATTGAGAATCGGTGAATTATACTGTCCTTTATTGACTCATACAATGGTTTAAGAAATTATCTTCATGGCTTGATAAATTGAAAATAGTTGTTTGAGATTAAAATATTATTGTTTGAACATAGCAACAACATACACATAGGTACATAGGTTGAACATAGGTATTCAAATTGGATATAAAAGTCTAGTTGATTTGTAGTAATCTTCATTTGTAGGCTTAAGCGGCCGGTGTCATCACTGAATTCTCGGTCTTCCGGTGAAAGCCGCGTCAAGTTGTTATTTACACTATGTTAAAACCAAAGGTTTTCGCTCATTCTATGATGAGGATGTCTCAAGGATTTTAAACACAAATGTTGAAATAAATTCAAATGTTTTCCAGGATCAGTTAGACCTTGACAGTGTTACAGTCATGGGACACTCATTTGGGGGCTCCACTGCACTTCTGACACTTGCTTCAGATACACGGTTTAAGTAAGTTTCGATTTAAGCTTTGACAGCTAAGCAACAGAATGTGGATCAGCTTGTGGTGAAAGTCAATAACCAAATATTAGACTTATTTAACTCATAAATAAACTATTAACACTAAATGATCTATTAGATTTTTTAAAGATTTTGTTTTGAAAATAATTTTGCGTCCCATGAAGACATGATTTGGCTTCATGGCCTGATTGTTCCTTGAGTCTGCATATGGCATTAACTCGTAGGGGTCTGCAGACCAGAAACTTTTACTTACGTCGATCAGGTAACAAATCTTAGGTTACGAGTCTCGAGCCAAAATTGGGTTCATCTGGGAAGAGTTTTAAATAATATTAATTTCAATATCACAATCAGTTTCTCCCACAATCACGGTCAAATAATGAACATCTTCCGGAGTTATGGCAAAATCAAGAACATATTTTGCATTCAGGGGAAGTCATAAACATTTTTGCAGTCATGATCAAATCTAGAATATCTTCTACAGTCGTAGGAATCCCATCATCATCTCTCACGATTGCCACAAACCATGAACGTCGCCCACGATTGGGTTAAGTTTTTAAATTGCACATCTATGCAGATGCCTTCTGCGATTGTGAAAAAAACTTGGCTTGTTTCCGCTTTAATTTCTTAGAAAATGATCTTGTTTCCCTATAATGGTTCTTGTGGTCCATATTTATGACAGGCAAGGGGTGATCCTGGACGGCTGGATGTTCCCTCTCAAGGAAGAAGACGTTGTGGTGCCTCAACCGCTGCTGTTGATCAACACTCCTACATTCCACATTGCCAGCAACATCTCCGTCATGACGGATCAGATCATCAACAGACCTGCAGAGGCTCGGCGTCAACTCTACATTATCAGGTAGATCACTCTACTATTTACTAACACATACTGAAGTGACCTTTCTCAGCTGTGGCTTATTTTTTGTTTAAAATGAACATAATTCAATGAGCCACTCACAGAGTGCGATAAAGTCTAGAACCCTAGTTTTTGCCTTAGTTTTTGTTGGTGAGAAGGTTAATGTGACATCAAAAAGCTCAAAGCTTACAATGAGTCATATCAGTTTTTCCTCGTTAAAAAGTTGGCAAATTCAACAGAAATCATAAATTTACATCTGCGCACTTCAGTTCAACATATTGATTAAAATCTGACAACAAGGGGATTGTGGTTCCGGTTGATAGTAAATTAGGACCTAGAGGGGGCTTAACTGTTGTTAATCATGTAATATGTGTGCAATTATATAATATTTTTTCAATAACCTCATGAGCCTGCCACAATGGTGACCTTGATAAATTCAAATTGAAATGCCATTATAATCACAAGGACAAGACAATGCTGAAGTGAGAGAAAATAATTTATTAATATAAATAAACTCGTCTTCCTTAAAAAATAAGATTGCCAATGACACAGAAAAAATATACACTTAAAATATTGAAGGATTATAACAATATTGTACTATTGTCTAAGTCTGTAGACTTCACCCGCATTGTCTGCCTTTTCAGCTTAAAACGTTTACCACTGAGCTACAGTTTTGGTATTACTATTAATTGATAAGAAAATGGCTTTAATTTACTAAGATTCTCTTTGTTAGAATATACACTTAATTTAGTAACTGAACACAGATTTTTTATTTGATTAATTAAGTCTATTACAATACTTACAACATGTAAAATTGTTTATGTGTCGAAGTCCCATTCTCAGTTATCCTAAACCGTGAAATAAATTCCTCAAGTCTGGGAGGTGTCAATGAACACTCAAGACAATAATCACTCGCTTTATCACCAGAGAATTATTTTTTCTTTGAATTTCAGAACCTCCAACCACGAGACACAGACAGACGCTCCGTTTGTTTTCGGCTACTGGTTGGACCTGTTTAAGCCCAAGATTGATCCATATCTTGGAACTACCATCAATAACTATCTGATCATAAAATACCTTCAACCAATGACTGGTAAGAAACGTGCTTAGTTTACTTTATTGTAGGTAGTTTTAGGTTTTTGGAATAGCCCTTCAGTAAAGTACAACTCGACAGTTCAGATTTCTCAACAAACAAAAGAATGTGTACGTAATGGAAACTTCTTGAAAATGGTAAAGAATGTGTATGTTATGTGAACTACGGAAGTTGGTAGAGTAGGGGACAAAGAACGAAGTAGGCCAACAGACAGCCTTTGCCATTCTTACGAAGTGCTACTTGTGGACTTAGTCTTGCATACTTGACAACTGGAGCACTAGGCAGTCAGTCTGTCTGTTATCACCAAAACTATTGCTCGATATGAGGGGGAACGCGGCGGAACGGAGTATCGATATCTCTCTTTTGGAAAGATATAATATTGGCATTAATAAGTACATTAATAGGTACTAATCATATAAATAGGTTACAGTTCTGGCACTTCATTTTTTACAAATCGAGCACTGACCAAAACTATGACTTTATAAAGATTCAATAATATATTTTTTAACAAGTTAAATTTATATACAGTATTTCAAAGTTATATTGTTTATTATTATATTATATTATATTATTATAGTGTAAATTTATCATATCTATAAAATAAACAGAAGGAAAATGTACCATATTATTTTCCAATTTACATGTTCAGCCCTTTTTCCGATAACTTTCTCAAACTAGGCAGGTACCCTTCCAGTCCATAGTTTGCCGAGTTTGTAATACTTTACTGTATAAAAAAAATATCAATTTAAACTTCCATAGGAAAACTTGATATCCAAAGGATAATGTCCAGTTATGTTGTAAATTAAAAGGCAACCTCATTTAAAAATTGGTAGAATTTTTGGAATTTTACTATTTAAGTCAAATAACAAAAGACCATAATTTAAGTTAGTTACATTTGATTAATTTTATATGACTAATATAATTTATTTGTAATATTAGGGATTCCAAGTGGGGCTGAGCAAATTGATCAAGAGTTGAAAAAGCATCAAGAGTTGATCATAGAAGGAAGACTTCCAGACCCCGTCAGGCCAAGGAAGGGGATGTCTTTGCTGTCTTGAGTTTTGCGCCGAAGAAATCTTCAATCTCAGGAATAACATAATTACTATTGCAATTATATAATAAGGAAGATTGCCTTAATTATTTACCATGAATACTGACTCACAATTTTGTTATCTATCTTATTTTTAAAATAATTTTTACATGTAAAAATTCTACCTTTTAAAATATGGAACATTTTTGTGTGAGGTAAGTGAACCTCAATTAGTTATAGGTTTCACTGTAATACATTTAAAATGGGACGATGATTTACACCATGTTAAATTTCATGTTGTAGCCTTTTGAGGTGTGCTACTACTGAGTGACGATGGTGTAATGTTAGTGATGAACGTTATGGTACTGTAAAACTAAAGTATGCGTGCCGATTCTGCTACCAAATTAATTCATGAAAGACGTGTTGGGGACCAGAGGACGGAGATCTTTTACCCAGACCGGAAGCTTGCATAGCCAGCTTTGATTTATGCTAATACAACTAATTTATTAAAACTATCCTTCCAAAACTTGTGACCCAGTAAATGACTGTTAATGAAAAGGTTGGCTGGTGATTGAACTACTTAAATAACAAATAACTAACAATTTACTGAGAAGAACTAAGGAAACTTCTGGGGAAAACGTGTTGCCCTAATAATGTTGAAAATGGTCCGAGCCTGAAGAGCTCGACCAGTAAATTTCCTAATACCTACATTTCCAATGTCGGGACGACCCTTGTAGGTCTCCCCCTTGTTTGCTAACTAGCCTGACATATTAATCTATGTAACTACTATGGTAATTATTCTAACAACTTATCCATTTAGGTGAGTTAGAGTTTTCTGGACAGTGGGCGATCAGTTTCCTTTCCAGACAGTTGTAGAAAGGGCCAGGGTCGAAGTGGGAAGACGGTTGGGAAAGGTCGGTGGGAGAAGCCGTTCGCTTGCTCGCGGTGGTCTGACGAGTTCGCCATGCAGCCCTGCCACACGAAGCGCTGACACTATAAGAAATATAGCGTGCCGCTATGCGTCACAATGTTTATACAATCAGAAGAATTTTGTTTTTAATGCTAATGTCAAAACGTAAATATGACACCAAGTTTAGAATTATCTCGAGTTAACACGTTCACTGCGGGCCATTCACCGATGAGTGCTCCAGTTCCTTTCTGCCACCCTGAACGCTCACCCGTGAGTGGCGACATCGCCTACATTACATTCAAATTCTGCGCAGCAGCACACTGGGAAGAACGGGTATTTTTAGTCTGCATTTCATTTAGCTTTATTTTGGTGTAGGTTGGTAATAAATTTCCCCGTAAAATCTCCTTCTGGTCAGCTTAGTGGAAATCAACTTGTTGTCCTGTGTTTCTCCCTATAGTTGGCAATACAATGAGACCGGCTAGTTTCAGACAGTGCTGCTATCTGTGAGTGTTTCATCAAACTACGTTGACTTTCGTTGTAGCGCAGAACATCACCACACGTAATTTGCTATTTGTCAGACAGAAAATTTGAAAGCCAAACAACGGGTTCCCTTGACGCTGCGCCGCACCTGGGCTGTGCCTGCCATTGATGGGGCCGCAGCGAACATGTTAACAACATATCAAAATGGCGAATGTAGTTGTAAAGTGGAAATAACATTCCAAGTAGGTTTACCATTTTATAGGATTCCTAGTACTACCTATGATGTTTTTTTAAGATTTGTTGTAACATAGACGAGGTGTTAGCCCGTCCTACGTACGGGAATTCAGTAGTCAGTTAAAACCGTGTACAATTCAGATCAGCTAGTTTACACATATAAAGACAAAGTTTCTTGCAGTTTTAATTGGAAAAATCATCTTGTAAACAAATGTTGTGTGACCAAATATGTTTTTATTCCATCATAGGCCTATACGATATGCATTTTAAATCCGATAATTTTACAATAAAACAGCAATTCTGCAATTTTTACGATGTGAAAAGCGTTGAAGTGAGATTTGCAGCCGATTCGCACAGACGCACACTGATTATAAGTAGCCTACAGTAGAGAGGGTAATAGTCAATTGAAAAGTGTAGGCCCTATAGACCTAGTCAACGATACCACCTTCCATAGCATACCTCCCTCTTCCATAATTATTATCACCACAATACAACTACTATACACAATTTCCAGTAGGTCTGAATAAAACGATAGTATCCAATAAAATTCACAGTACACATAATTTAACTTTGGTGTCCTAACATCAAAGATAATCGTCACACCTAACCTTTATATCAATTTCACTACATTAATTGCTAAATAAATAAGCGTAAACAAAGAAAAGTAAAAACAATAACAGTTTGTTTTGAAACAGCTGTTTGGTTCAAATAACATTCATTTGAAAAAAAGAACTGGTCACATGTAGCAGGAATATAAAAAGTAAACACGCTACGCTAGTAAAGCTAATGACGTAATTGTCAATGTTTATTATCCATACCGTTATCAGTTCTATCATTGATAATTACCCACCCTCATTGAATAAATGTACATCGTAATTTCCCATATAAGTTAATTTAAACTACAATATATTCATAGTTTAAATAAAAGTGATATTTTCACGTTTGGGGGCGCTGATATAGGCGCCCCCAAACGTAACCACAACTGAACACGATTTCATAAAAGGATGGTTTGTCTAATTATTGCAGTATCCTAGGTCAATGTTGATGTTGTGTTCAATCTATGTCATTTATCTGTTTATCTTTGTATAAAACCCGGCTGAGGTTGTGGTGGTAATTTAAAATCGTGATTCCTGATTATTCTTGATCTTCTTTTTATGATATCAATATTTCCAGGCCTAATCCAAACAAAGTTAAAGCAGACAAACATTAATTGTAAACAAAAAGCTACCATGAAGAATAAAAACATGTAAACTTTGTTATTTTTCTAATCTTTCCTTGAAAAGTGGAGTAGTAAAATAATTTGCATTTATTGTTTTTTATTAAGGCTCGTGTACAGAGCCTCGATTTGTACTGTGGTTTAATTATTTTTTGTTAAAACTGTGGTCTAATTATCTCTACTAATCTTACTTATTTCCTATAATCAATGACAAAAATAAAATAACCTCATAGTTCCATAGTTTATATTTAACCAGCTGTTAGTTAAAACAAATTATCTATATAAATAAAATTAGAGTTTTGTCTGTACATTGCTTAGAATAATGAACTTTTTGGTTATTTTTACATTTCATAGGTCAGAGAAACCGAATCAAACCTTATCTCAATTTCTGTCTGTCTGTCTGTCTGTCTGTCTGTCTGTCTATCTGTCATTCTCTTGGTAACGCTAAAATACGCACTTTATTACAACTACTCCTCAATAACTATAGCACTGTCCCGCCTGAAACTTATTTTCCAAATACTATACATATATGAGATGGTTTTAGACGTATTTCATCGAATATGAGACAGTTAGATATTTAACAGTAAACCCTTGAAAATCAAGTTTTTGTCGATTTTTGACGTGGAATTTCTGGAAGCCCATGTTAACCTTATGAGAAATGAAATTATTGAATCTTAACAGCTGTTTCAATTAAACAAGTTGGTTCTGTTCTGTGATGTTCAATAGCATTAAAGTTACAAGGATTACCAACAGGGTGCAGCACTAGCACTATTATTTCTTTTACATTTATGACAACAGCTAATTTGCAACCTGGAGGCGAGTGAGCGTAGCGAACGAGCTAACCTGAAGGCAAGTGAGCGTAGCGAACGAGCTAACCTGAAGGAAAGTGAGCGCAGCGAACGAGCTCCAACATACAGGTGAGTGAGCGTAGCGAACGAACTTCAACCAGGACGTGATTGAGCCATGCAAACGAGATCAGATAGTAAAAATAAAAGTAAGCCTACCGTTATAGGATCGACCGGCAGACACAGAGGTAATTTAACCTTTTATTGATTGTCATACCGATCCGGAACAACAAAAAACAACATAAAATGAAGCTATGTATAATAGTTTGGCCAGCATATCTTAAAATATGCAAACCAACTGCTGTTCTTTATATAAGAAGGTTTCAACTGAATATTATAAGATCCCCGTGCGTAGAACGGGTACACAGCTAGTATTGCTCTAAAACAAATCGAAGATTACAAAGATTGCTTTAAAAAATAATTTGAACATCCTAGTATTTTACTATGTATATTTAATTAATCTGTCATCCTTTTACAGAAGAATTGAACGTATCAATGATTAGCATTACACATAGTATAAATTAGTCAACCCTAACTATGTCTTTACATTTTTATCCAATTGCAGAATTTGTGACACAAAAGATGAATGTTTACGGCTGTTATGTTAAGCAAATGATTTTATGCCAAAAGCTAGTTTAGAATCTTAGCGTCGGCTTCTAGACTTTTAAAAAATTAAAACTTAATTTCTAAAAAACTGGGACCCTAAACTAAAATTATGGCTTCGACATTACCTAGTTCTCAAAATTGTCTTTCTTTCAACACAAAAATCATGAAAATCCGTCGAGTGGTTGATTCAGAATCGTGAACTAAAAAAACACTGTTTCGTTTTAATATTATAGATTTAAAATACAGTACTCCCTTATTAGATTTGTCATCCTTATGAATCAGCTTAAGACAATGTCTTTAGAGGTGTGTTTTTATAATTGGTTTCTTGTTATTGTAGTTGCCGTTATTAAGAACCTCGTTTAGTGAAAGCAAAAGAGTTACTCGTAAAAATTAGTTCTTCGCCTGGTTAAATAACCAAAAACAAATCATAAAATTGAACTTAAAATAGAAACAAAATGTCATTGAAACTAGCGCTCAGTGTCACCAACATGAACTAGACATGAAAAATGTGTTTTTTCCTACAGTTACTTAACAATGTACATGTTCTCTCACTGATTTGAGAAAGCAAAGTGGCCAATTCGCTCACCAGTGTTACTTTAACACACTAATTACTTTGTCTCACTCCAGATTTGCAACGTGAAGGCACGAAATAGTGAGCGCGTAACATGCAGACAAGGTCGTATGCCCGCGAAATAGGTCGGCAGCACTGGCTGTAAATCAGCTGGTCAGCTGTTGCACTGTTGTATCATTAAATGTCATATTAAAAGTTCATTTTTGTGTAAAAATATGTTACGTATCTTTACCAATTTATTTGTTTTATGGTATCTGTAGGAAAAATATAATGTGCAACTCAAGTGCAAAGTGTAATTGCCTCACTCGAGAAACCATTCCTCACTCGCCTACGGCTCGTGAGTAAGTATTTCTCTCGAGTGAGTCAATTGCTCACTTTGCTCACTAGTTGCACAAATAACTATAGTTTTGAAAATGGGATGAGAATTCTTATTTTCGTGTTGTTTAGTCTATGGTTTTACTCAGCTTAAACTTGTAATTACTTTTTGTTCTTAATAATACTTCACATCAAATTTAGCTCATGGATTAGAATTGCACAAACGAACATTTAAACCCAGAATTCTCGGAGCTACTATCTCCCTCTTTGGTATTGGGGATAATTAATAATCCTATTGTGTGCAATTCTTGTGTATTTTCATCTACTAGTGTACCTGTTGCTCGAATTCGAGCAATTGCTAAGAAATACAGGAGTTATTTTAAAACGAATAACAGTCTTTTTTTCTGATGACTTTAAAAGATTCGACTCAAAGATTATGGAAATACTCAAGATGTACATAACAGATCGATATAATCAACATTTCTTGTAAATATCTTATTATTTTTCAAAAGCTGATCTTGTTTTTTTAGGGGTTTCTACATAGTTTTCATAGTTTACATAGTAGTTTACATAGTTTTAATTTGTTTCCATAGTTTGCAAATCGGCTCTTTCAATGATTAGGCCTACTAAGAAATGCAGCACAGTGTTAATTCCGTTTTCTTTTTAGTATATCAAATTATCTAGGATCTCTCGCTTTTTCCCAATGTAATATTTATGCCAACCCAAATTCAAATAGTAAATATTTCATTTCAACCAAGTCAGTAAATGTTTGTAGCAAACTGTTAAATTAGCAAACTTATTGACTGTTTACAATTAATATATGTTCTTCTCACTTTTAATTTCTGACAACAGCTGGACTTTCATAACAATTTTAGTTCCCATGTTAATCTTATGGAGAAATACGAAACTTTAAAGGGCTCCAGGGCCTCACTCTCTAATTAGTTCCCTAAAAAGAAAGTTTCCTGCACAACTTCATGTTACGCTCTTTCCAATGACACCAAAAACATGTCAATCGGTTAAGTAGTTTCGGAGGAGTAATTGTCACAAAAAACCTGCTTGCGTATTAAATAAGTAAATAGATTTTGTTCAGCAAGGTACCGTAAACATGTTGTTAAACCTAACCATTTATTTAAAAAATCTTTTAAAACCCTGACCTAAAGCTATTTTTACCAAAAGCGTAATTCCATTTAACTCAATGTACCATTCCACTTTTTCTTACTTACTGTTTAGTATAATTGTTTGTAATTAATCGTAGAATCACTTCCTGTTACTTATTCTGTGATTCAACTGTTACTATTTTTGTAATGAAAATCCTTTCAATTGACCAATGTTAATGTTACCTTTAATGTAACGGTTTAACTGATTGTTGAGTTAGTCTCGTTTGTTATATTTTTATTTACTGTTAATGGTTTATAAAATATTTCATTTAACAAATAAATGTTAATGTTACCCTTACTATAATACTTAAACATAATTGTTGAGTTAGTCATATTTTACTGTTGAAGGTTCAAAACCTGATTGTGGCATGTTGTTATATGTTATTTTTTGTTTATGTTTGTTGTGTATCCGAATTGTAAATTTTGGATTTTTTGTTAATTGTTAATCATTTAGGTAATTATGGTTCTGGTTATGGTTTTGCTCAAGGTGTAGGTTTATTTTATTTTTGTTACTAATAGTAGTTGTGTTAAAAATAACCTTCAGAGTCTTAGTTGTTACACATAAGTGACCTTAAAATACCATAACTTCTAGCATACAAGCAGTCAATTAGCCTGAGCTAAAGTGTGTTACTTTTTATAAGAGATTTTATACTTTTCTTAAACTTTTATCAACATAAGTTGTAAATGTACGTACAAAATAAAACTATTTTTATGAGCAAAACTTATATTTTATTTAAAAACCATTTTATACATATACATGGATGATCAAAAATATAGTCTATTCTGTATTACAATAAAATTATTAACCATTTACAATTAGTTATACACTTATTAATTGTTCAGTTTTAATTTGGAGAATATCTGGTTGCTGGTTCGAAGCTGGACAGTGAGCTCCATAATGTATTTACAAAGTGACGTTTCCTTCTCATCTTTTTTGGAGTCAAACACGAACACCATAGTGACTCGAGGGTCCAGACTGGTCATGAAATATGAGCAAAGGTCCTGAAATGCAGAAAGTACACAAATTGTTTTATTAAGTTATTTAAGTTGGAGATGCTAAAAGAGTTTGAACCAAAATGTAAAAAAAAAAAATACTGTAATGTGTAATGTTTGTGTTCCTTCATAAATATTCCCATTTTCATTTTCTGATTGGAAACCCTTTTGACATGGCTTTTTTGCTGTATTTTAATTAGGTACATCTGAAGACAAGAGGTTGGGCTTTTTTCCAACCTCTGATCGTTCAGTGAATGTTCACTAGGCAAGAAAGTGGCAGAAAGCAGGCAAGCCCAGTAGGTAGGTAACTGGCCATCCCTCACTATATAAACCATTGCTCAAGGGGTCAGTTAGTGTTGTGCTATAGAAACGTAAAAATGATTGCCATTATTGGTCTTCCCACCAAGAGTGAACTGCTAGGCGTTAAGTATGAGGTTTTTCTCTGTACGTTAGAAACATTCTTTATTTTTAAGCACTATTCCTTTTTGCTTTCTCAAACAAAAATTGTTTCGTAAATAACTCTTAGTGGGAGCATCAATGAAGGCAGTCATATTAACCTGGGTGTAGCATGATACATACTGTTGGCTTAAGTTCTATTGTTTTACAATCTAGAACAGCGCGATATTGACCAAGTATGGGATGTAGTCCAAACAATCTCTGGGTGTTTAAACAAGAATCACTATTTTACAAATAAGTCCATACATCAAAATCTCAGTGTTACAAGCCTCAGGAACAATGTTTACTAAATTTGCATAGTTTGGTTGATGTTATCACAGCTGTTCAACATGTTGCTTATAACTGTTACAACAGTTGATTCATTGTTGCTTTACTTATAATGTGACAACGAAAGAAAATCGGGGTGCTCTCATTGCCTCACCCTAAAAATTTGAAATAGAGAATTCAAGAAATAAGTCTTGAAAGTTTTGAAACAAATTAAAATTCAGTTGTTTACCTTAGTGCTGTAGCAACAGACAACACGGTCTAGAGACGCCAGCTCCGAAGATCGCTCACTGATAGCCTTACTGATGGTTGGTAACTGCTCTACTAGTTTCTGAAAAATGTATATTCTTTAAACCATATAATTTAACAAAATTCTTCACTTGAGTAAAAATAAAATTAGGCTAAGTGGTCTTTTTAATAAAATATATTTTTTTATATTTGTGTTTCTCTACGCCACTGGTTTGTTTTAAAATTTCTTGATGAAATGGTTCAAACCGTGGTATTATTACTATACAAAGTTGACCCTTTTTTGGATAGCATTATTAATTGATAACACAACGACGAATGGCATCTGGGTCCAGAACTTGTTTGGAACCAGTGATCTCTAACATTTAAAGCGAGTACAGTAGTACAACCACTTGACCTTGATAGCCCAGACTATTTTGTTGTCTCTATTTGGATTTTTAAGACTTATAAAATCAAATAAGATATCTTGCAAAGAATGTTACTGAAGATTGATTCATACATGTTTTTTTACAATAAACAAATAAAATTCTAGTGAAATTTTTTAATTAAATGAAAAAATTGACTAAGCCGCAACAAGGCAATCAAATAGGTTAAAATTATGTAACAAGGAACAACTGTTTTCCTGCGCAAGGCATGAAAACATTGATAAACATAGATGAACTGTCAAATAGATAATCATAATATTGAGAAATGTACATTAATAGTTGAAACATTGAATGAAAGCTATATGTCTTGACCTTTTTGAACTAAAATTGACGCCTTGACACCTTATATTCTAATCAAGTTATGTTGTTTCACCCACCTTTGGACAGTAGACCATAATGACGTAAGGGTCGACAGGGCCAGACTCCATAGTGGAGGGGAGTTGATACGCCGGGCCGTAGTCCGTAGCACCGGTTGTGTCAAACAGCAACATCGCAGTAATTGCATCATACCGGCGTTGGATGTTCTGTAGCCTGCAAAATGTAACAAATAAACTACATCTTCATAATACCCTAAGCATGCTCTCGAAATAACTTGTGCGTTTTTATCTGGAGCTCTCACCAAGTTTTTGGTTGCCAATCTGCAGAACAAAGCTTCTTCACCCTTTGTACCACAAATAAAAAGAGATAAGCAATAATATGGGAGTATATTTAAATTTGGCACTTTCTTGGGCAGTAGTTCCCTACACTTTTATTCCTAAGAAATGTAAATCTTAGGCCAAACTTTGGAATTGAATTGAATTTTAGGAACAATGTACCCTAAAATTAAGATAACACAATGAAGAGCTGGCAGGAACTGGGGAGAGTAAGAAGGTCTGAACGTTTACATGTCCGTTGATGATTAGCACAGCTGGTAATTTCACTTTACACAGTAACTTTGATTTTGTTCGGACTAATTTTGAAAAGTAATTATGTGGTATGGATTTGCCACATACCAGGGAATAGCTACAGGCTACTCACGTAAACAAACGTTAGCTAAATTTTCCAAGTACATTTTACTTTTGGCCACCAACTGATTTCCGTTAACTATGGCCTTGTAATCATCTGCCAGCCAGGGCTACCACCGTTGCAGATGACAATCAGAGCACGGCTATCCTGACCCTGCCCTTCAAACCTTGAACTATTCTAAGTGCAACTCCCGTGAGTGGTCTTCGTTTGTTCCTAGGCTTTGGTTTTGGCAAGCGTAAATAAAATAGTTGACAGTGACATGCCTCTGGTAAGTGTCGATGTTGTGGTTCCGACAGACAGTCTTGAAGTCAGCTGGTGAGGTTTGCTGCATCAGGGTGTGGTGGAAGTAGAGGGAGAACTTGTTAACCGTCGCCACTTTGAGCTTGACCAGCCACTGAACAAGAGGTGGGAGAGGGTTGACCTTGAGAAACGACGGTCCAAACCCGAGCTTCCACGACTGTCAACAAACACATCACTGATGACTCTACCGTGATGGGCAATACACAATCGCAACCAACAAACTAAATAGACTAGAATGGGCAAAAAATGTTGCATGTAAGATTAATGCACTTGTCTTTGGACTGTGCATGAGCCATGCAAAACTAAACTATACTTCTTGAATCATCAATATTCAGTCATCAAGCCTTGATTTTAAAAATCTGCTGTTAAAAAGTCACTAAGTTCTTCATTTGACTTGGTTTTGAACAAAATTGTTTACTTTTACTTATACTTTAACCTGCTCCCAATCAGAATTCTTAAATCACTATCACAAACACCCCATGAATCACAAATTTAAACAGTGGAATGAAGGTCTAACCAAAAAAATCGTAAGCGTGAATATGTCATAAAAATGTCAACGTTTGTAACTTTGGTAGGCAGTACAAACGGTAGGCAAAAACTTCACTAGGGTTTGGGTTAGGCAATGATGGTGTTATAGAATAAAATTCTGGTGCCCATTAATTTAAACAGAGTTTTAGTTGTAACAATTGTGTTATAGATCTATAGAGCATTATCGTGCTCCTAATTTATTAAAAAAATATCAACAATCTAAGTACTAAAAGGCCCTTGCAGAGCTTGTTTCTTCAAACCCCCATGGGGACGCCCTTGATGTATACGATATCTCAATTTAATCATGGTCTCTGGAATTCAAGGAATTTCCTCTACATCAGATAAACTACACACCTGATGATTCTTTGTATCGCAAGGTAACTGAAGGTCAAGGATTTTTGTTTAAGGGAACTTGTACACAACAGACGGAGAATGAGGGCCTGTGAATGAGGGTGCACAATAAGCTGTTCCAGCTGGGATGCAATCCCGTTGTAAGCCTGGCCTTCTGATTTAAAAAAAAAGTTGTACACAAACTGATAGAAATTCCTGTTGCTTTAAGGAGTTAATGCAGTTAATTACAGATAAAAAATATATTTAATAATGTTACCTCTTTACTTTGTAGAATTTTCTCCCAAGCGACAATCCTTGAGTTTGCTCCATGCAGGTTAAGGAGGGTTGACAGAAACCTCCAATTCTGGATGTCAATTTGGGCTTTCAGTAATAACATTAATATTTCACATTCAAGACTGAAACAAGCGAAGAAAAACTTGAGATTAACACCAAAACTTAATATAGGTACAGTTGTTGTAGTCTTCTATTATTGTATAAATTAGTCAATTTGAAATTAAAACAATCCATAATCACAATCCTCATTGGGTGTGTAAACACTCTTCGTACTTCACAAACCTAAGTTAATTACAATTCTGTTTGTTAAGAATAAACTAATAATTCAGGTCAAATACATTGCGGTACTCAAATCAGTCTTGACTATAACTTATAGTCCTATAGAAAAACCTCCAATAACAACTAAACTAAATAAAGTTTTTTTTTTTTTTAAGGGAGAGGAGGGAAAATGCTTTTACGCACACAGGTAGCCAGCCTGTAGTGTGAGACTCCTGAATCTATCACAGACTACTCACTAAAAAACCCCCTCTACTCTGTTGGACACAGTCCTGGAATTGTTTGTCACATTACTTCAAGTCAGGCCAACATGTTACCTAAGCCCTCAGGGCTCTCACCGTTTATGGCATTTGGATACTTCATGACCTACACCGCATCCCGGTCAAGGTCGAGCTTCTTGGCGCGGAGAATACCCTGGATGTAATGTGACACACAGGTCCAATTGTCCTCACCCTCCGTCATCATCAGTATGACCGATGACCGAAACTAAATAACGTTAAACAGTAATTGACATAACTTATATTGCAGATATTGGCAAAGAATAATGATATGTATAACTAAATTTTAAACTTCAAAAAGGCCAATATATAATAAATTATTTTAATCCACAAGCGCTTTCAGAAACTATGTTTCCATCGTCAGGCTGTGTTTAAAACTGATACAAAAAGTAAATATGTATATAATAATACTGATTCCAAACTGTCACCTGACTGCAGTTTTCATAGGTGTAAGAGCGTCGTGTGAGAGAGCAAACGTATCCACAACCTTCTCCACCAACAACAACAAGTCTTCATACTTCATCAGCCTACTGCTCACGCTCATAGCATACATCTTCTCATACCTGTGTACGGGAGAATAACAGTAACAAAACAATACAACAACTATAAAACAACAACCAACAATATTTTATCCTGTGGGTTATTTACCCATGTTAATTACTGTCTTGAAGAATTGAATCAGAATTAGAAGGTAAGTAAACCAATAATTCGTACAATTAATATTTAACCAATCTGAATCCAGAAGATTGGATTTCTGCTGGTAGCATATTGTCTGGTAAAAACATTCATATTTACACAGTGGAAAGTGCTTATTTCAAAATTGCTTTAATCAAAAACCTCTTTAAATTTATAATTAACTTGTGTATCACAATAATAATGAAGGTAATCGGAATATAGTAATAAGTTTAGTGAAACTCTGATTTATCAACAAATAAATGTAATCAAGAACTGTTGATCAGTTGATAAATTACAGAGAACCTTTGACAAATTGTATGCAAATTATGTTGCCATTTTTACCAGTTACGAATTCTTTGTACGAAATTGGCAACACTTGCGAAAATCAGGCAAGAATTGCATTATAAAATTTGAACCAAATCAAGAAATCTTTGAATTTTCTGTAAAAAGTAGGTGTATAAGGAAATAGTGTAAAATTTCAATTATTGAGCGGAAGCCTCTCAATACACGTGTTTCAATGAAGATGTTAAATCAAAGTGTTGTTTTCAATTAAGCCCATTATTAGGTTATCTAAGAGATTATTGGACATCTTCCATTACGAATAAAAGGAAAAAATATTGATTTTATTAATCACCGTGATGGAAAATGTCTGCAGTAGTCTCATACTAAACTCACCATCAACGATAATGAAACAAACAAAATGCTTTATTAAGCTAACCCAGTGATAATTATTTATGTTCACCTAAAGCAATTTTTCACTTGTATACAACTTACACATCTATCAGCTGTATACGAGCAGTTATATACAGGATGATCTGGGAGGTGACGACACTAGTGCGCTCTTCTGAACTTGACTCCTCGATTTTTACTAGTTCTCCTCTCAAACTTTCTAGCATAGAGCGAATCGAGTTCTAAAAAAAAATTAAATGTCTTAGATACTTTATCCAAATTTACAATTAGGCTAATCAGTACAAAATATTACTATTTTGAGTATGGCAATTTTAGGTAGTTTTTGGTAATTTTTGTGATACGTGACCTCTGGAAGGTAGTTGCAGCTCATGCTGAAAGTGGTCACGTATCACTAAAATTGCCATATCTGAGTTAATACTTGTCCAATCTTAATCAATAAGGTGTCAATGGATTTGTATTGAAATTACCTTAAAAAAGTTATCCTTGTAAAGTTTTGGAAAATCAACGGTTTTCGAGTTATTTAAGAAACAAAATTTTAAATGGCCGCCATTTTGTTTTATAAATTTGAAAAAACGTCATAATTTTTTGGTAGCTTTTTATAGTTGTCATAAATTTTTGTGCAAAGTTTCCATTTCGTCTGTTTAACCATTCTTTAGAAAAAAATTAATAACTGAAAAAACAAAATGGCGGTTGTGTGAGTAACTAAGGACTTCCGGACAATATAAATATGATATTTAGGTATGTTTCTTACCCAGGAGCAATGCCCTAAAATATTGGTAGAGAGTTCCGGGACACCCTGTAGAAGTCTTCTACTGGTTTAGCCGAAGAAAATATGCCTGATTCAAAAACCTACTGTAGGTCTATTATTATTTTTATTAACATTCGTGTTCATCATATTGTTATACAGTTTTTTATTACAAAAATACCCCTTAAGAGGCGGCAGGAGTCAACCACCACACTACTGGCAGGGCCTGCTATTTAACATGGGTTTAATTTACTTTTCACTTAACTGCAATTAAACGATTGCGTATTTGGCATGGATCAAAAAGTAGTATTAAAAAGCATAACTTAACCTACGTGTAGCATGCAAAAACATTTAAAAAAAAAATTTTTTAATTTGTTTTTGTTGAAATAAAAAATATTATTTTCCATAAGGATTTGACAGAACTAGTTCAATGTTACAGTAGGTAAACGTTATCGTAAAATTGTGAAATTTGGCTTACAAGTAACCTTATATATTCAGTCTTAAAACTACTTTTTAGTTTTCTTGAAAAGTGAATTGGTTTCAATGTTTTTCGTTGTTTTAAAATAACTCTACAACTGCAACCCCCTCACGCGCAGCGCGGGGCGGCGTAACAGTTCAGCGTTCTCCACACAGATAGCACTAGCGTCGATGTGAAAGAAAAGGCGCGCAAAATACAAATTTTAGTATAAACCCACACTTAGCAAAGTCTACATCGGAAGATCAACAATTTTGGCAGTGTCAGTATTATTGAGTTGTTTCTATCAAACCGTGATGGGTCATCTGAAGAAGTTCCCGTCGAGGACGAAAAAGCGGAAGCTGCCTTCCTATTTAAAAAAATACTTTGATGATAAGAAGTAAGTATGCATAATATTTAGTCTTGACTTTAGAATAGGCCTGGATACTATATAGGAGACTTATTGTGATATTAGTACTGTAATTCAAAAAATAATTATGTGCAATTCAATTAACTTCACTGTGACTTAAGAGGGACTTTTAAATGAGGCCTACAATAATTTGTAGTAGGTATTTACTGTCCAAACTTAAAAAAATATATATTTTTTGTCAGTTTGACGTTTGACGCATTAGCATTGTACCATCATATCTCTTGTATTTTCAGGAAAGAACCAAGTCACGATGGGGAGAAAGACGCAACAGAAACTTCTCACGTCTCAATGCTGTGTGGTCGTAGAATAGTGACAATTAAAGATATTTTCGATCAAGTGAAAGAATTAGATAATCATAGTCCCACAGGTTGTAGTTTCAAAGATTTGACATTTTTGCGGGAAAAGAGAGTTGGACTGAAGAGTGGTTTTGTATTTAAATGTTCCATGTGCAACATAACAAAGGTTATTTGGTCAGAAACAAAGAAAAATGATTTGATGGATGTAAATACAAGTGCTGTTAGTGGAACTATGGCAACAGGTGGAGGCCATGCTCAATTAGAGGAAGTTTTTTCCACAATGGACATTCCCCCGATGAGCAACAAAACCTTTAAGAAAATAGAGGACAAGGTAAATATAAATTATTTTAGGGAAACATTTACTGTATGTCCACTTATTTGCTTTGGATATAACGTAAGTTAAAAAGTTTAACCAATCCTTTATCCATTAATCATATAATTCATTTTACGGCTGTTTGTTTATCACTATTATTAACTTTATTTGATGTAAAATTATTATTATTATTCAAGATTTGCCATTTGCTACAATAACGTCGTATATTGGAGACCGTTACTAAGTTGTAGTTATTATTTTTTTTTTTTATATATGTACAATAGTTAATATTTAATTATATAACTACCTTTTAGGTAATCTCGGAGTTGGTAGCTACAGCTGAGTGTGAAATGAAAGAAGCAGCACAGGAAGAAGCAAGACACGCAGTAGAAAATGGAGAGGTTGACGAAGATGGCACGCCGCTTCTCACTGTCGTTGCTGATGGCAGCTGGTGCAAAAGGTCCTACAGATCTAATTACTCGTCACTGTCAGGAGTGGTAAGTAGGTTTGAGGCCGTCTGGGCAAACAAATGTTGTGCTAGTTTTTTTATAATTTTTTTTACGAAATATTTAATCAATTTACTCAACTAATAATTACCGTAAGCTTTTCATACAAAATGTTTTATTATTTTGTGTTAAATTTAACGGTTGGTTGGATATCAGTTTTGTTATGGTTAGTTAGCCATCAGCAGGGACGTAACTAGGGGGGGGGGGTGAATGATAAATGCTATATAACTGTTATTTTACTGTTTACGAATCATAACGGTACGTATGAACTTGTACGGTGCGAGAATGAGGATAAGCATACTGCGTTATCTGTCTGTCGTCGATGAGTCACTAGGACGGCGCCGGCGCGGCGTCAAAACACTTCCACACCCCTCCCGAAACCCACCTACCCCTCCGCACACCATCCCTCACACCAGTCACCACGCACACACACACACACATACTACAAACACAACACTAGCAATACTAGTAATATTATTAGTTACTAGCAATATTATTTTCGTGAATCATTTCGTTTTCAAATAAAATATTTGTCATTGAAAATACGAACCATATTGCATTCAATTATTTTCCACCTATACAGTATCTAGGCCTTAATACCTTGAACTTGGGGTTAAGCATTTTAAGATCTAAATACTGTTGTATTAATGTATTGAACCGATGGACACACCACACATTTTTTAAGAAGATTTGTAAGGAATTGGGTTCAGTCCAATTGAAGGGGGGGCGCCAAAATAGGTGTTTGCCCCGGGTACTGAATAGCCTAGTTACGTCCCTGGCCATCAGTATTTTTGGATGGTTGGGCCATTGTTGGAGAATGGTTGGTTGGAAAACAGTTCAAAGAGATGGCATTTCTACCATCCACAATTTACCAACGTTGGCCCAACCATCTGTGCTACATGGGCTAGCGAATAATCACCTTATTCACTCCATCACATCAAATTGGGTGTGACAGGTTTATTGCTACGAGGGTATATATCTGTTCTCAAAAGAAAATAATTCTCTATTATAAAAAATTGGCAACTAACGCGTGTATGTAATGTGTACTACTAAGGTTTTTATTTACAGGCGGCTATTGTCGGCCACAATACAAAAAAGGTGCTGTACATGGGAGTGAAGAATAAATATTGCACTCCATGCTCCCGAGCTGCATCTTTAGGAAAGGAGCCAACAGAGCATACCTGCTACAAAAACTGGGAGTCAACCCAGAGCTCTTCTAGCATGGAACCTGCCATCATCGCAGACGGCTTTCAACGTAGTGAAGAGATGTATGGAGTGAGATACGCTCGTCTTATCGCAGACGGCGACAGTAGCGTATACAAAAGGATTAGAGAGAGCAGACCATATAAAAGTATTACTGTTGAAAAAATAGAATGTAAGAACCATTTGCTGCGAAACTTCTCCAACAAGCTAAGGCAAATTGCAGTTACATCGAACAAAAACAAAAACAGTATCCTTATGAGAAAAAAATTGGGTGAAAACGTTTTCCGTTGTAGAATGGCTGTCCAAAAAGCCCAGGAATACAGGAAGAAACAAGATTTGCCAAACGTAGAAAAGATTAAACAGCTGAGGCTGGATATTTTGAATGTACCCAGTCATGTATTTGGACAGCATGAGCATTGTAGAGAAAGGGGATACTTTTGTACAAAGGAAGCGCAAGATGTAAATAGTGAAGGAAATTTTGTTCCACAGTTAGTGTCCGCTGGATTGTATAATTTAATCTGTGATGTTATTCGTGACCTGAGCCGCCATTCACGGAGTTTAATCACGGATGTAACCTCTAATGCAGTTGAGCACTACAATTCGATCGTGGCTAAGTACATTGGAGGAAAACTGGTGAACTTCGCCATGAGAGGATCGTACCAAGGACGGTGTTCAGCGGCAGTTCTTCAACATAATACAGGAAACACCCACTACGTACTCCACAAGCACATGTACAAAGCTAGCCCTGGATATTATACCAAAAGTACAGGTTTGAAAAGAAAAAGAAAGGTTGAGAAAGGACAGGGACAGAAAAAATCAAGAAAGACATTGTTTCAGGTGAGCTCTAACAACGATGCGGATTATGGCGTAGCAGCCCAAAACCCGGACATCGACGAGGAAACAATGAAAATGGAAACCGAAGAATTTCTAAAAAAACTTCAACGATCAGAAGAGGAAAGAATTCGAATCGAGCGAGCCACTGTCGAACAGAGTGACAGTGGAGAGTGGCTTGAAATACGCCGTAACCTATTGACCGCCTCTAATTTTGGGCGTGTATGTAAAATGAAACCAACGACCGGTTGTGGTTCGTTGGTAAAGCAATTATTATACTCTACTTTTGACTGTGAGTCAATGGCCTACGGCCGCCAAAATGAACCGGTGGCCAGAGAAGAAGCTGCTTCTTTATTACAGAAAACGATACAACCATGCGGCTTGTTTATCGACGATGAAAAACCTTTTTTAGGGGCATCTCCTGATGGGTTAATCGACGATGATGGCTTGATTGAGATCAAATGCCCATCTTCATGCAAAAACCTGACACCGGATGAAGCAGTCATCTCCAGAAAATGTACATTTTGGAAAAAGGAAAAGGATGGAACGATTGGTGAAATAAATAAGGGGCATGACTTTTACTACCAAATGCAAGGCCAGTTGAGCATTACAAAACGACGTTATTGCCAGTTTGTGCTGTGGACAACTAAAGGAATAAAAATGGAAAAAATCGAACGAGATGATGAGTTCTGGCAAAATAACATGGTCCCTAAGTTAGAGAGATTTTATCTCAATTGCATTCTACCTGAATTAATTGATCCCCGCCATTGCAGATCAATGGAAATCCGAAATCCGTCGTATATTGTTAATGCCCAGGAAAAGCAAAAAGCATCTAAGAAGACAAACAAAAGCGATGGTTAAATGTCATCATAGCTTGTAAAATGATCATTCATTTTTGTACATATAATTATTTTTAATACATGTTTGTTTTGATTTTTTTTGGAAAAGACTCATTAAAATCAACTACATTGTAAAGCCGAAATAAATAGTTTTCTAAAGGAAAACATGAGTATTGAATTGACCATACCCATTTCCATCAAATTATTTAAACTCAGTTATATAAATTGAGTGTAAATGAAAACTCAATTCCATAGAAGAACTTTTAACGTAATGTAATAAAACATATATTGAAAAACAACAATTAATTATGGTATCTCATTTATGAAATAAATAAAGTAATAAATAAATAAAGCTATGAAATAAATTGCATATTTGCATAAACGTAAAATTTCAAATTTAATTCAGTTTTACCAAAATAATATAGTAATAATTACCGGCTTCTCGCACGCACTACATACATTTTAAAACTAAAAAAATAAAATTTTAAAACGTATAAATTAAATTTGTACGTTAAAAATTAGCGTAGCATTGCAGGCCGAATGTTTGTTTGTGTAAAAAGACAGATTCATTCGACCCGTCGCGTCGGCCACAGTATTGCACCATTTAGAAATGTACGAACTGTCCATTTTTCAACACTGCTCTATACATGGAAGTTACGATCAATAGGCTCAAGGTCAGAAACTAGCCGTGCGGGTTGCGGACCGTACAAATGCAGGAGTCGCAGATTGACGATTTTAAACCTGACTCCTGCCGCCTCTTAATCGACATTTAGACAAATTCAAATGTAAAAAGTTCATGTAATGAAATATAAATTGACTATTGTGTTGGCACAGTGATAAATATTGCGCAGTACCTATACGTATTGCATCTATTTGTCATTAAAAGCTGATCATAAACAATCTGTGTTGGAAGGAGTATTTTTAGGCCATAGTGACAAAACATACTTTTTCACAATAAATTACAAATTACGTAATAATATAAAAATATATTTTGGAACTCTTCATCTTTATCTCACATCAGTACCTTTATCCGGTCTGAAGATATCACCAAAGCATGCTGAAGTGTGTTACTACTATTTAATTAGTAATTTATTATTACGGTAGAACCACGATAGTTCGACACTTTATGGACTTAAGGGATGTCAAACTATCAAAATTTTGAACTATAGGGAGCAAATGGAGTTTAATATACAGGAAAGTTATAAACAAGTTTTAGGCCTATACAGAAATTACCCAAATTTATTAAATACTAAAAAGCTTAACAATTTCACTGTTCATTCGTCTCAAGTCAACAATAAATGACAAATTAATGTTCACGTCAGCTTACATCACAATAGTAACCATTAAATATCACTTGACAAAATAGCTCAGACCGTGTTAAACTACAAGGAGTATTGAACTATCGCAGGTTTACTGTAATTGTAATTGTAAAATTAATTTGACTTGTGTTGTGTTTTAAGAGCTTAGTAACAAAATATCTGTAAAGACCATTCGTAGTAAGCGGGTGAACATAGAACTTACGTCAAAAACCACCTGATGACGTTACGTTACGTTAAACCATGGTTTAATTTCCATTCATTCAGGAGCACAAAATCAGCCTGATATGAGAAAATGGCCACAGCCTACTAATTATTACATCTCACTGAAATAGTACATTGAAACGTTACTATTCCGGGAAATAGGTGTTCACCGGATGAGTGTGGTTAACACATTTTGGAGAAGTGTCGTACTATATTTTTTACCATTAACCCTAAACTAAACCTAGTAAGAATTACCAAAATAAAATCCAATACATATTCCAACTGACTTAAGGATTATTATTATTAAGGTGTATTTTTTATCTTACAAATTAAGTTGCAACATTATTATATAAATGTCTGAGCAAAAACAAATTTATTTGATTTGTTACCTTGATATAATGGTTGATATAATGATTAAGAAATACCTGAGGTGTTAAAGCCTATACCTAAAAAGGCCTAATTATAATCAGCTGATGTCCGGAAGGATTCATTACCACATAGTAGTAGTACACACTAGGTAATGAAATACCATTTGGTTAAGCAGGCAGCAAACAGCTATTTTGATTTTCCGTACTAAGCCCATGAATGGAAAGTCTATTAGCACGGAGTAGTGTGGAAAATATTAGTATCAGTACAACATAACACACATTATGTCTGATTATAAAACAAACAAACACAGTGTATTAAATGTACAGATAGGATACGGTTTAAAGACAACACTGAAATCCAAGTTAATTTTTTATAGATGATTAAGATTATACGCTTTAACATGTGTGTACCTGCACATTTGGTCTTAACCTTCCTATTTTACTAATGATAGGTAGATGGGCCTAATGATTTATGATGTCCTAGGCCTAATAATTTAGATAAATCTTTCAAATTATCTACTTACATCTTTCCTTGAAAATATCTTATTTTTTGTGGTAACAAAGCCTAGGTTGACGTAAGAACGTTCTGCTGCAATCATGGTTGGTATTTGGTTAAGAAGCAGTTTAAAAGATCCAGGTTGTGTAGAGTCTCGTAGTTTCTCCTGAAATTGATAATTAGAATCATCAACAAGCTGTGGAAACAATGGAATGGTAGTTTTAAGTAAATTAAAATAGCGGCGAAGTAACCTTATTTGTATTTGTGAGAAGCCTTGATAAAATTTTATTGCAACTAGTTGTTACCCACGGGCTTCACCCCGTTTGACATCATAAGTATTAATAAAACTATTAATTGGTTAAGTTAACCTGAAATAAACAAAAAACAGTAAAAGAAACAATAATAATCACACCTGACTTTAATAAGGTAATAAATTGAAAGAATAACAAACAAATAAGTACAGCTGGTGAATTTTTAACATTAGGTATATGAAAAGTTCCCTTTAGAACGGAAATACGACCTTAAAGGGCTATTTATGAAATAATGGATAATTTTGCACAAGGTTTCTCGTCATGACGAACATTTTAAGTATATGGTTTATAGGGGTGTGACTTGTAGTTTTCTCAAAAGTTCATGGGTACTTTTGGCTTTATATATAGACTAGCTGTACCCGCGGGCTTTGCCCCGTTTAACTTCTTAATTTTCAAGATAAGCTCGTTCGCATGGTTCAATCACGTCCTGGTTGAAGTTCGTTCGCTACTCTCACTCACTTTTAGGTTGGAGCTCGTTCGCTGCGCTCACTTGCCTTCAGGTTAGCTCGTTCGCTACGCTAACTCGCCTCCAGGTTGAAGTTCGTTCGCTACGCTCACTCACCTTTTGGTTGGAAATAACCTGTTGTCATAAATAAATACCCCTGCCGCAGCAAACCTGCAGACTAAGCGAATTTCCATTTGACTGATTGGATTTACACTGAAATGTCTACTTAAAAATATAACATTTATTCTTGATTTAAATAGAATTAGTTTAACAAGTACTTAGGTTTGCTGCATCAGGCAGGGTAAAACTGTTTTTTTTTTTTTGTAAAAGGTGTATAGTTAGTAAGAAATAGAAACATTTTCCAAATTTGATCAAAATATGTTCACAAACAAGCAAACTACAACAGTTTACTTATTCTCCTTAAGAATAACATGGGAATTTAAAATGTACAATTTTTTGGTATTTTCTCCGTAACCATTAGGCGCATAATAACGCTTCAATATACTAAATTATTTGTTTTTTTAAGCTCTACAAAATGGTTTGGAAAGAAATTGCTAAATTTGATGTTTTTTGGGTCAAAAATGGGAAAAACTTATTTTTACCCCATAAAACCCCCCGTAAACCCCCGTTCCCATGGTCCGATCATGCTGGATCGCGAACTCGTTCGAATAAACGTACGTTTACACGTTTGTACCAAATTTCATCAAAATCGGATCATTTTTGCTCGAGTTATCGTGCTGACGGACACATATATATATATATATAAATATATAAATATATAAATATATAAATATATATATATATATATATATATATATATGAATTTGAACGGATGGTGTTTTTGGCCTCTAGGAACCTCAAAACGAAAAAAAAAATCGGTCCCGCGTCCAGGTCTTACCATGAGTACTACGGTAATAGCTTATTCCCTATATTGGAAATTCGCTAAAAAGAATTATAGTGCTGCACCCTGTTGGTTATCCTTGTAACTTTAATGCTATTGCACATCATAGAACAGAACCAACTTGTTTAATTGAAACAGCTGTTAAGATTCATTAATTCCATTTAAATATGAGTACTCATAAGGTTAACATGGGAAACTCCAGAGCCACTGAGGCGGAGCCCGAGAGTCCGATCAGAATAAAAACTACTTAGTTTTTCAATTTAATGCCTAAAGAATCAGTGTACCAAATTTCAGCCTCCTAGGTAAATGGGAAGTGGGAGAATTAGTGGTGAGTGAGTGAGTCAGTCAGTCAGTCAGTCAGTCAGTCAGTGAGGGCTTTGCCTTTTATATATACAGATGTGGTGATGTGAACATTATCACCTGATAATATTTATTATTTGATTTGTTTGTAAATATTGTATTTGTTATTAACTAAAACATGGTTGTAATTTTGAATGAATAAAATTGTTGTAAGAAAGACTTAGTAAACCAAAAGTATGGCTTTTATTCATTCAAAATTACAACCATGTTTTAGTCAAGAACAAATACAATATTTACAAACAAATCTAATAATAAATATTCATGGTAACATGGTTTCTTTTTTATAATCTTAATTTTACCATTTCCCAATCCAACATTTGGTCCTGTGATAATGTTCACCTCCTCTGTTGGTGTGCTCCTGTGCCAAAGTTGAACCACCCAAACTATTCTGCAATTTAACTCCAGATTGTAAGCCAATAGCCACAAAATCACGACGTTACTCAGATGAAGATATGCAATTTATAAAACAAGAAATGGAAAAACTACAGACTGAGGAGATCATTAAACCTAGTTTGTCACCTTGGCGTGCACAAGTGTTGGTTGTTACAAACGACAAAGGGAAGAAGCGACTGTGTGTGGACTATTCGCAAACGATAAACAAATTTACTCTTTTAGACGCCTATCCCTTACCAAACATAGATGATCTAGTATCCACTGTAGCGACGAACAAGGTTTTTAGTGCCATTGATCTAAAGCAAGCATACTATCAAATAGGTACCAATTTCTGACGAAGAGAAGAAGTACACTGCTTTTGAGGCTGCTGGTCGTCTTTTTCAATTCAGAAGAATCCCATTTGGTGTAACCAACATGTTTTCAAAAGACCATGGACCAAATCATTAGAAAAGAAAAACTGAATGGAGTGTATGCCTATCTGGATGATTTGACCGTATGTGGAAAGGATCAAAAGAGATCTGACTGAGTGAAGAGCCTCCTGTAATACTTCTTCCCATGCAGCAACTGGCAGGTTGTGGTTTTTCAAAGCTAGTAGGATGGTTCGCCATATTGTTCCATTGAAGCGTTCGATTTGAGAGTTCCCTCTAGGGTTATAAGGTGTCGTATGACTCGTAGCTACTCCATACTTGTGAAGAAAGTCCGTCAGCTCTCGCGACATAAAAGATGAACCTCTATCTGAATGTACAAAGGAGAGTCATACGACACCTTATAACCCTAGAGGGAACTCTCAGATTGAACGCTTCAATGGAACAGTGTGGCGAACCATCCTACTAGATTTGAAAAACCACAACCTGCCAGTTGCTGCATGGGAAGAAGAATTACAGGAGGCTCTTCACTCAGTCAGATCTCTTTTATGCACTGCGACAAACTGCACACCACACGAAAGATTCTTTATACATAGCAGAAGAACTATCAATGGAGACTCCTTACCATCTTGGCTATCTGCTCCTGGTCCTGTCCAGCTTAGAAAGTTTGTAAGATCTAATAAATATGATGACCTTGTGGAGCCAGTTCAACTTTTGGAATCAAATCCACAGTACGCTCTCGTCAGAAGAAGAGATGGGTCAGAATCAAAAGTATCCCTGAGACATCTTGCACCCGCTGGCCTACTCCTGGTGATCTACCTCCTGAAGACAATACTACTGAGAGAGAGATTGTTGAAAATATAAATTCAGACATTGACCACAATGAAGTTCAAAATGAAACTCAACAAACGGTATCTCAGACCCCAACTTCATAGACGGCTGTCTATCTTCAGAACCCTCCGTCATATCTAAAGAATTACATATGCTATACCTACCTTGAAAAATAGTGGAGGAGAATGTGGTGATGTGAACATTATCACCTGATAATATTTATTATTTGATTTGTTTGTAAATATTGTATTTGTTCTTAACTAAAACATGGTTGTAATTTTGAATTAATAAAAGTCATACTTTTGGTTTACTAAGTCTTTCTTACAACATGCAAATAAACCAATCCACAACACTATGCTTCTGCAGACTAACTTAGGCCTATCGTATAAAAAGTTTATGAATAGAACGTAACTAGGTACCTTAACACGTTTGCTGTGCTATTAATAAGCATTAAACCCTAAAAAAAATTGTGGCCTATTTGACTAAAAAATTATGTCCAAAAGGTTGATGGGAGATGACTAACTATCCATAAAGGAAGGATTTGATGACATCATTTCCTGTACCTATTACAATTGTAGTAGGTAGCGAGACTGGTGTCGGTCCATGTACTGTTGCCGCTCAGTTTTTTGAGATAAAAGGCAACTAAAGACTTAAAATAAACTATACTTTTTCTTCATATAAACTAATTTCCGACTTTCTTGTGTTTGTCAGAGCACTAAAAATTAACCAAGTCCAAGTTCGTCTAGGCATACGCTGCATATGTAAACTGGTTGTTTTCGCTTGATATCTTTCGAACAAATGCGGCAAAGATTGGTGACTCCACTATCATTTGCGATTTGCCCTTCTTTTCTTATTTCTTGATAGTCTATGGAGATATTTCTGGGTTGATGTCACCATCAATGGGCCTTGTTTGGCGTGGGTTGGGGGGGGGGGATACAGGAGTGCTAATAACACCTGGAGTAGATTCAACTCAAAGATTACGGGAGTGTAACTCATCGAGATACTCACGATGTATATAACAGTACCGGTAATCAACATTTCCTGTAAATATTGTATCATACTTCATAACCTGGTACCGATTGTTTTTTAGTGTTTTTTACAAACATTTCCTGACTTATAGCCGCATAAGGTTGTCCATGTTTATCGTCGTTATTGATAAACGCATGGTACCACCCTTGTCGCCAGCAGTGAGGTTCTTTTATAACCAGGATCAGCTGTGAAAGGGATAATTTAAAAGTTATCATAGGCCCGCCATTTGTACCAGGTACAGGTGACTACATAGAGGGCTAAACACCATCTGTGTCATCATCATCCAAGCTCTCTGAACTGGACACCTGCTCAACATAATCCACCGAAACAACGTTTTCAACATTTTCATTAACGTTATCCTTTCCATGTCACTAAATCTAAGCCAAACACCCACATCTCAAAGCACTGACACTGTAAGATTCTTTACTAATTGCACGTACAAAAAAATGGCGCGTACAAAGTCGACACGTCGCCGTCACATGCTCAGTTCACACTGAGCCAATGTTGGAGAGGGGAGTGTATAGTGCTACATTTATAGTAAGTTCAAGATGTGTCGAGCGCTGGTGCTCAGGTACTACAATTAGTAGCCTGCAGCAAACGTGTTCAGTTAGATAAGATTTATATAGTTAAAACATATTGCCAGAAATTTTATAAACAGCTCTATCTTACATTTACTGTTTGAATATATAAATAAAACGTGAGTCTAAACTTATTAGCCTAGGCCTAACTAAGTATTTGAAATAGAAGACTAAGTTATGACTTGTGTGAACCTGGCAATAACTCGGCAATAAGTAGTGCACGCGCCATAAAAAATCTATTGCTGGCCATTTTGCAGAAAAATACGGCCACGAAACATATTATTGATGATGCCAACAGATAGAGGACACCTTAACGGACACAACAGTTTCAACATCATGTACCTGGGGAGTAAGTAAGGGTGGTAAACCTAGCAATAAGTAGTGTGTGCACATTTAAAAATCTATTGCTGGCTGTTTTGCGGAAAAATATGTCCGCGAGCCATATTACCGATGATGCCAACAGATAGAGGACATTTTGACGGACACGACAGTATCAATATCATGTAGGTACCTGGGGAGTAAGTTAAGGGGGGGTAAAAACAGCAATAAGTAGTGAGCGTGCGCGCGCCCGCTAAAATCTATTGCTGGCCCTTTTGCGAAAAAATACGTCCGCGAGCCATATTACCGATGATGCCAACAGATGGGGAGTAAGTAAGGGGGAGTAAAATCAGCAATAACTTAAGTAATGCGCGCGCCTTTAAAAATATAGGCTATTGCTGGCTGTTTTACAGAAAAAAACGTCCGCAAGCCGTATTTTTACGCAAAACGGCCAGCAACAGATTTTAGCGGGCGCGCGCACTACTTGTTTTTGATTTTACCCCCCCTAACCCTAACTTACTCCCCAGGTAGGCTGCACTTTACTTGACGTCCTACACTCATTCGATTGTTTTTTCGATTCGATATTTTCATTTGATTGTTTCATTTGATATATCGTTTGGTTGGTTAGTTAGGTTAGGTTAACCTTACTTAACTAACCAAACGATATATCGAATGAAGCAATCGATTAATCGATATATCGATCGATATTTTCATTCGAATGAGTGTAGGACGTCAAGTAAAGTGCAGCCCCCAGGTACATGATGTTGATAATGTTGTGTCCGTTATAGTGTCCTCTATCTGTTGACATCATCGGTAATATGTTTCGTGGCCGTATTTTTCCGCAAAACAGCCAGCAATAGATTTTTTGTGGCGCATGCACTACTTATTGCCGAGTTATTGACAGGTTCACACCAATTAGGCCTAAGTTATGGGTTCATAGCTTAGTTAGAACAGGCCTTAGACGATCTGAAGATCTGTACTCACAACTTGCTCCAGGCCTTTGTCAAGGCTGAGTTGAGATATATGAGTAAAAATCTGTTGTAACGCATCCTCTCGATACTCCAGCTCCATTATGGTAGGCCTAGTAAAAGCCTAACTTAGTGATCTTAAGTTTAGATGATTTTTACAGCCAAATGAAGATGATAAATTTTAAATAAATTGTCGGCGTATTCATAAGGGCACTTTTCATATTGATTTTAACTACTAACTGTACACAAAACCCATTTTGAAGTGTGTAAACATTTCGGTACCATAGCTACAAAGTCAAAGTCCAAGGCTGGCAAATTGTACACATTTTTACAGAGTTTGTTTTGTTGCTTAGCTTTGCCTAGAATGAAAATATTAGGCCTATTGTTTAACTGAATATGTCTTTGCGTTATAATTCCTAAAATTCATACAAATATAGGTATCAATCATATACAAACAGCGTCGCGTTTAAATAACCAAAAATATCCATTGAAATTATGATAAGATAAATAAACAATGGCAATAAACAATAAACATAAGATAAGAAAAGAAGGAGAAGAAAGGAACAAGAAATCGAGTAATTAGTCAATTAGTGTTAAAAAAAACTAGAAATATTGTGCAATTCTTTTTAGTCCATGGACAATAATTTGATGTATCATAGATTATGTTACTAATCAGTTGTAAAACTTTACAATATATAATAAACATAATAACTGATTAGGTTTGTTTATTGTTTGTTATTAACTAATCCTATCGTAAAATAAGCATGTTATCATTTATGTCTGAGTGCGCTGATTAGGGCTAACAAGTAATACATTTATCATTTTTTGGCATATTTTACAATTTGTGCTTTGCTGTTTTGTTTTTATTCCAGATGGAAGTGATAATTAATTTACAAAAGCGTTGACATGCCAAATCAAAATAGTTTTAAGGCTGCTAAATTACGATAATAAATTTAAAAAAAAACAACACGCCCATTGTCACATATACTGCCTTCGCAAAATCCCTGTTCAGTATGCATAGACCTTTAGATCTATCACCGTCACCTACATACACGGCTCAAGTTCAATATACCTACTGTAGTTTCCTAACAGACCATGAGCCCAAAATATTGTGGATAGACACCACCAATGAGCTCAACAATATCGTTTTGAAACCACAGAAAACAAAACACACAACCACTCACGCGAGGCGCAATGAATGGCGATTTCCATGTCCGCCCACAAAAAACCTTTACTCTCTTTAAAAATCCTTCGTATGCTGAAGCACACGTTAATTAGCTCCCCCATAATGCCAAAGATAAGATGGAGAAGGGTCACCCACAACATTGAGGAAGGGAATATGGAATTTGCTTGCTCACTATCCAATCTAAAGGCTTGAGGAGCTAACTGCCCTTGCAGCTTGCAAGACCTCATCATCTACGAGAGGACACTCTTTTAAAAAATGAACTCTTAACACACAATTCTGTGCTTAATGTACTACAGTGAGGATTCAAATTAGTTTATGTTACCTTTTTATTGTTGTTACTTTTTATATTTTTTATGTCTTCCTTTGCATAGGCTAGTTAACTTTTTTACAGCAATCTGCAGAGTATTATTCTGACCTCGGCTTTTGATGTATTCCATATTCGGATTGCTTTTCCATTGTATTTTATTGCATATCAATATCAATTGCAATGTATGCATTCAAAGATCAATAAACGAATCTGATGCGCATGCAATAATTCTATATATTTTATAGATGGATCCCTGCAGCCGCAAGGGCAGGGCTATCCCCTTTTCCTGAGACAGACTACAATTGAAATTCACTGTGCGCTGTAAGGTTTTAAAAATATTGGAACAATAAATAGAAAATTTTTAAACATTTTTGAAGGTAAACAAATTCGATGATGTTTCAATTAACACATTATTATCATAGACTAACCAACCACGGCCACCTGAACCAACACAAGGGAGTGTGTTTCATCTATATTATCTTCAGAATCAGAATCGGAATCAGGATGTTTTATTGTCATAATACAGTACATAAATTTACAACAGGGCAAAAGTCACCAAATCTTTGTCTATGCTAAAACTAAACAAGTAAAAAAATCAGACCCATTAACTATATTTACATTAAAAGAAAAACGAATAAATAACACTTTAAAATTCCCTATCAACTAAAAATTTCCTCAGACCATACTTAAACTTGTTTAAATTATGTTCGCCCTTGATTGTATTAGGAAGAGAATTAAACAGACGGATACACATGGAGAAAGATTGGTTTAGTTAGAAAGATTCAGATGTGTAAGAAAAGTCTAAAAGTGACGTTTTCTGAGGATTAACATGTAGAGAGTTCTCGGATAGCCATTGGAAAACAAAATTACTCTCAATAAAAGTTTGGATTTCTAGCTGTGCATGATTTGTACTGGAGACAATGAGGGAATTCAGCAAACAGATGTAACTTTGACTTTGACACTACAGGAGGCAGATCATTGATGAACAGGACGGGCCCATGAACGGACCACTGTGGCACACCTGTACTTATACGCTCATCAGATATCCTACTATTATAGTACTTTTAAAACTTGCCTCCGTCCCTTTTAACATAGGAAGACATCCCAATCCATAGCTCTTCCACGGATCCCCAATCTCTCCAGCTTATTTAAAAGTAGGTTGTGGAGAACGACATCAAAAGCTTTTGTAAGGTCAAGGAACAAACCGGAGACGTGATTCTTTGCGTCGAAAGAGTTGGAAACCTCTGTAATCAGGTTGAACGGAGGCTATTTAGGGTGGAGTAACCTGAACGGAATCCAAACTGATTTTTGTTGATAATCTTACTTTTATCCAAGAATTGATTTAATCTTCTTTCTAGAAAAGGGCCTTTCCTACTAACACTCTACTGTCACGGCTACCGGAGGTGGCTATGCTACGCATTATACATCGATGGTAAGCACCATAATAAGACTGAGCAACTTCTTCAAGACCCCTCCAAGAGGGAAGAAATCTTACGACTCCCCGATCCGAAGATTGTGGCGAGGACTATTATACGTGGTAAATGGTACTTGAGTGAAAATTTAAAAACGTACGTTTTCAGGAAAAGCACTTTGCAAATATTTTTCCCCTTTTTTCAAAACTTTTATTATTTTTTTTATTTCATTAACATTTGAAGTTTCATAAAATGTCCATGGTAACGCAATATCTTTGGTAGTTTTCTTTTTTAAGAGCATCTTTAGTAGAAAAACACAAAATCCTGTCACGACCATAACGGACGTTTAAATGAATATTAAAAATAGTCAATATTATTTTTATAACTATGTTTTGCTATAAACTAATTTACTTTTATGACCATTATACAATAAAAAGGTCACTGAGCTTTTGGTATATTTGGTCTTTCTAGAAAAAAATAAAAAAAACTCAAAAAATAGAAAAAAGCCAATAAAATCTTTTTAAGTTTGTATAACTCCGAAAAAACTTACCTGAGACCCGAAAAACCATTATGTTTGTATAGAGGTGTGCTTCTTTTGTGTATAAAACATTGAAATATGACGATATTTTAATTTTTGAAATTTTTATGATAGAAATCATAAACGTGATGGTCAGGGACAAGCGGTACGGTCGTGAATTGTCTGGAATTATCTAAATATTTCTAAACAATCCTTCAATTATACTGTTAGTTATAATAAAACTATGTGTTTCAATTGAACTAAACTGTTCAATTTACAAATTATATTAAAGTTATTGTCACGACCAAACACACTATAATCCATAAGGCTGGATTGGTCGTGAAAAAAACCGCAATGGTCGTGAAACTTTGGTCGTGAAATTACGTGTTATTTGGCTCTGTTCTGGCGGTAGCTCTGCACCTCATGTTCGAGGATACAAAGTGGACTTCTAGGTTAATCTAGCAATTGAAATATCTTATAAACAAAAATTAACACCATGTCTACTTCATCGAATGACTACGTACGGTCATGGACACACCAAAATTACAAAAAACACAATCTTTCCTTTATTAATCTTGTAATTGCTCCTTTCAACTCAAAACGACCGGCACTACAATCCTGACGTACACCCCGAACTAGTCTCTAAAACCAACTGACTCCATCGACGCCAGGCTTGCCACTGTCGTGCTCCAAAGTTGAAAATTTTTCCCAAATGGTCGTGACGCCAAATCGAGGGACAGACTTATTTTGTCATGGTAGTCAGTCTGCAATGACAATAAAATTATAATATGCTCCTTTTTTGTAAGTTTAATAACCATTGATGACATAAAAATATGGCTTTATATATTTCGGCATGAATAATTATTCTAAAAATAGCGTGAAAGTTGGAAAATGTACCCTAGGGACACGTCATGGTCGTGAATTTCGAGACTTTAAAAATACGAAAAAAATACCTAGAACCTATTTAAAACCAAATAAATGTGTGTAACGTGTTGCCCCCGTCCCAAAAAATATTAAAACACATAATAATAAACTACAAATCCAGTATCTACGAAGTAAAAGGCCAGTGACATGAAAACGTACGTTTTAAAATTTTCACTCACTTCTATTCGTGCGTACTCCTAAAACCACAAAGATGCTGTTCATGATATGAGATATGGTTATGGTTGCGGAGGTGTGGGTCTTGGCATTTAATCCTGACCAAAACCGTTTTATCTATGCCAAAACTGATAAACTGAGAACCTAGTTTCTCTTTGGAGTATTTCTTTAGTATTTAAGATTTTTAAACAATCTTTACTTTATACATAAAGTCTAGTATAACTGATTATTATGTACACTGTAGTTATGCACTTGCAAAATAATGGCAAAGGATAAGGAAGATGAGAGAAGCCATACCACTTATTAATTATGAAGACATTTTAACTTTTTGTATAATTAATTATAAGCGACACTTTTGGCATTTTTAAATCATTATAATGTTTATCTATAATCTTGATTGTAAAAATAATTAAGATAGGTATAGGTATGATCTTCGTCATGAACGAAGTATTAGTAGTAAAGAGAGCGTCAAATTAAAGTGAACTGGAAAGGAATTGCCATATTTTTATTGTTTAACGCTTTTCATTAGGCAATTTTGTAATATTCATGAGTTTTACAATTTTTAATAGTGTTTCACTGGGATTTTATAATAAAAATGAAAATAATTAACCTTTATTGGAGTTGTGAAAGTGACTCACGTAGTGCAATCATCACTGCATCGGAATGTGGCACTTCAACATGGCGGCCGTTGGCTTGCCAACCTAGAGCTGTTTAGGTTTTCTTTGTTTTCATAGTTATTTGTGTGTTTCACTCGAAAATATTCGTTTAGTAACAATCTTTTTATATGCCAGTGTCTTAATTTATTTGTTAAGCAAAGTGAGTGCTGTGAAATTGTGCCTTAAAGGTGTTGCTATTTTCAGTTCAGTTTCGGCAGACACCATTCTTCAAGGCATTTTCTTCGATAGTAATGATAAATAATTATAGCTATTTTGGATTAGGATTTGGTTTAACTGCATGACATCTTGGAGACAAAAATATTTGTAAGTGAATACCTTTTACTTCAACAAACTTCTTGGTTCAATTTATAGTACGGTAACAAATAACATTTTCTAGAGTTAGTACATTGACATTCTAGCCATATCAGCTCACCTTTCAATCTGCACCCATTACAAGATGTCTTACATTTTTATAGGACTTATTCTTAATATCACACTATGGCCTCTTGACTTAATTAATTATATAGGATGAGTATCATTTGTGACTAAATAAGTATAGAGACTTAGTAATTGTGATGGCTAAATAACTTTATCAGGCTTTTGTTAAATTGCTGATTATTGGACACTAGCCTAGGCTTTGGAGTAGTCTAGTTATAGGCTAGTTGGAAGATGTAGGCCTAGTTCATATTAAACACGTCTATTACTATATGGTACTCCGTTCACAAAACCTAAGTTTAGGCCATTTGATTATAATTGATTCCATCCCCGCTACCTCATCATAACTTAATTATTTAAGTTAAATTATCTTTAAAACAACAGCCGACAGCTGATATAGGCTAGTGATGGGAACTATCCGATAGAAACAAACGATTCATCCGGTTGTTGTGTGCCAAGCGATTCACCCGATGGTTAGGCTACTTTAATATTCATCCGGATGAACTATCCATTCTATCAAATGATTCACATGTGAATCAGAATCAGCTGAGTCAACTATCTCATCTGTCTGTAGTAAACCACCCGTTCCACGCTTTCATCCAATTGTAAAACTATCTGTCCCGAATTTTCATTCGTTTAAACTAGTTAGCCTATTTGACAACTGAAAACTGTTCTTTAACCCTCCGAGTGTCCATAGTTTAGGCCTTAATGTCCGCCTATTTTTGGCGCATTTGCAAGGTTTTATTAAAACGGATCTGAGAAGCTTAAAAAAAATGTTAATTCTACTGTTCTAAGTTATATACCATTTTGTTCGGATGAAGTGCTTTAAGGTCTCGACCTGCCCCTGTCAGATAAGATAAGATAAGATACCATTTTGTTTGGAAAATCATGGGCTTCAATATTAGGCCTATAGGGATAAAACATAAGGAACATTTGTTTCAAAAAAATATTTTGGAAAATTAAAAAAAAAAAATAAGTTTGCGCTCAATGAAATTGTATAAATTATAGCCTAGGCCTATAAATATTTGAAAATAGCCACTTTGTTCTAAATCTTATGAGGATTACAAATATATAATAATATAAGGAAGTAACTTAGATTTGCAAATAAATAAGTAAGTTATGGGCAAAAAACAGATTTCAGTACATAGCGTTTAGCTAAGAATGCATAGCCTAACCATAGCTAGGAATCTGGCTGATAATTTACATCAATATCACTACCTACTTCTTCAGGATCATCAACCAGCACTTCAAAACCACTTAAATCTTCTTATAATGTATATCACTACTTTTGATTTTTAACACTAAAACAATGATAAACGTAATAAAACACATCAGTCATCGGTCCGAGGGTAACCTAGCTGTTTACAAATACGCACGTCAGCTGTCTGCTACAATTAGATACCATTTTGCAAAAAGTTAAATTATGTTTTCTTGGATTGTAATTTATCAATGTGAAGAGCATAGGGCCTAATTGTATCTAAATAATGTATAAGCCATAAGGTAAATGGATCAAACTTATCTGTAATGTAGTTTTTCTATGGAAAATTTACAAATCCCTACCGCTTAAAAAATTTTCTTATGGCGCTCTAAAACTTATTTTCCCAACAACAAACTAAGAACTGATCAGAAATGGAGGGAGATGAATGCAACCAGTTGCCCTACTGGAGGGTTACATTTGACATCTGGTCCAATGGCCTGCGAGTATAAAAATGACGGCAAATTTAAACCGTTCAAATGTGCCCCATGTTCAAATGTGCCCCACTCTCCCATATTAGTGAAAAATACTGGCTTCACGTCGCGGCCAACATGCTCCATCTATTGGTCTTATGTGATCGTTGGCTTAGCCTTAAAGTTAATCCTTTGAGCGCCGTCGCGGTCGTAGCTTGTCTCATAGCGAGTCGTGACGGATCAAGGGTTAACTTAGGCTAAGCATAGGTAACCTGGTCTCTCGGACAAGACACTCAAAAAATCACTTCATACAGTTTAAGTTACCACATTTCAATAAAGCTGGCTGCAAATCGTACCAAATGCGACAGGAGGAGGTTGGCAACAACTATTTGCTTTTTTAATGTAGGCCTACAATGGAGCTGGCCGAGCTGGGAAATGTAGTCAACCAATCAAAGACATAACGCAATAGAAAGTTAGATGGCTTTACACAGTGAGGTTTGTGAGTTGTTGTTTCGACTATTTATGTTACGTCCTAGTAAAATGTTTGTTTACCAGATGTTTTGGTAATAGAATTGCGTTATGGTGATGAATCATTGAAAATACATTTTAGGGGAAGCCAGGGTATTAAGTGGATGGGGTAGTAGGCTAAGCAAAAAAAAGTTATACAAAAAAAAACTAAAAGTGTAATAAAAACAGGCTTAAAAATAGTTTTCAGTAGTTTGAATGTTAGACTAGCCTATAAAATACAGATTTTTGTAATTTGTTCTCCAATGTTTATGATCAGTCATCAACATATGAGGTAAAAAAAGGCTCTGATTTAGTAGTTTGAGTTCGGCAAGCCTCTCAAATATATAATTTTTCATCTGTAAAGAGTTGTTTCAAAAATTTATTCCCATGTTTTTTCTGATTCAGGTATTATAAATAAGATAGGCCTAGGCCTATGAAAGAAGTATTTAGCCATTTGCATTTGCTTAACAATAATTAAACTATTAAGCCTACCTACAGTTTTTGTAACGGTGGGGTGATAAGAGAATAGGTCGATGAACTCATTTTATACCGATGTTTTTTTATTTCATTTTACAAGTACCGGTAGGCCTAAGTATTTGCTCTACTTAGTTGATTTTTCATACCGGTAATTAAAAGTGACAAAAGTAACTTACCATACCGGTATGCATTGAAAGACATTCAGTAGTAGGCCTACCTACAAAATTTAATTTTGGTTACCTATATTCTAAATTTTCATCCTTTACGCTTTATATCAAAAGTTAACACAAAAGAAAAAAAATATTATTAATATTTTTTAACTAATTAAGATTTATGCACAGTGTTAAGTAGTTAGTTGGGTGGATATGTAGCCAAGTAGCATTACAATATACTATTATATTGATGAGCAAAAGTTTCCATTAAGTTGAACTTCGAGTGCCATACAAAGTACCGTTTTTGTTTCAATATAAATTAAGGCTGCACATAAGTTTATGTCCTACACTCATTCGAATGAAAAATATCGATGTAGCCTATAGATTATTCGATATATCAATTATTTCATTTGGTTAGATAGGTTAGGTTTTAACCTAACCAACCAAAATTGATAGCCTATATCGAATAATCTATATATACTAAACTTTACATACCTCGTCTTGCAGTTCAAATATAGTGTTTGAAGTCCACTACATATGTTTCGCCATATATGGCGTTCTCAAGTGGTTACAGAAACATTCGATCCAATTTGGACTCGTCAACATGTTACTTCAAATACGAAAATATTTACATTATGACAACAAAAATAAACGAATAAAAACATTTAAACTGTAGGCCTACAACACATTACCCGACCAACTGCACTGGTCTACATTTTTAAATGTTTTTATTCGTTTATTTATTTTTGTTGTCATAATGTAAATATTTTCGTATTTGAAGTAACATGTTGACGAGTCCAAATTGGATATAATGTTTCTGTAACCACTTGAGAATGCCATATGTAGTGACCCATATGTAGTAGGCGAAACATATGTAGTGGACTTCAAACACTATATTTGAACTGCAAGACAAGGTACATGTAAAGTTTAGTCTATACTACGCAGTTCAGGGACTACAAAGTGGAATTTAAATAATCTATATATTTCAATATTTTTAATTATATAGGCTAACTTATATAGATATATGCATTGGAATGAGTGTAGGACGTAAACTAAAGTGCACCCTAAATTAATGAAATAACACAAGTTAAGCAGCTACCTACATTTTTTTGTTACACTGTTTCTTTTCTGTTCATGGCCTAAGGTGAAACAAAATGAAATTTGGGTGCTCTAGCCTATTTATCATTCAAGAAATCTTCATATTGGGTAAATTTCCACCCAAATTTCAACAGTGTAATATTCAATTTTTAATAACTTTTAATTTAACTAAAATTGTAGAGAGCTTTCAAATTAATTGTTCAGATTCACCATACAGACCACTTACTGCATGATTTTGTTTACAATTTTACTCCTCTACTCTAGTTTATTTAGAGATACAAATTAGTAGTTCTCTTATTACCCATTTTTTCTCTTATCACCCCGGCTTCCCCCAAAACCTTTAAAAAGTGGTAATACCACAACTTATTCAAGTGTGTTTTACTGATCAGTTTTTAGCTAATCACATAAGGTGTGGTAACTGGACTTGGTAACTTAGGTCTATAGGTGCATGATTTTATTTTGTCCGTTTGTATATTTTGTGCATAACTTCTAAGTTAATAGTATTCTTATAGTATAGTAATTCAAATTATAAACATAATAATAACAACACAAAATACAGTTAAATATAAACTGTACTAAACTTACTAAACTGTACTGTACTAAACTTTGGTTGTGTTGCTAGCCTAGTGGTTAGCGTCTCAGACTTCGGTGCGGGAGGGACGGGTTCAATCCCCGGCACATCCACTAAACTTTGATGGGTTTGGACCGCTTTCCCTTAAAAGTGTTTGACTTCATTAGAAAAATGCCACTGGCGTAGATACAAAAAAAAAAAAAAAAAAAAAAAAAAAACTGATGTGACAGCCTAGTTTTGTCTTTAGGCTAACAACACAAGTCTTAGAGCATGATTAGTAATTTTTTGAGTTTTTGAGTTTTTTGAGACCTAATTTTTTGATACCTAGCCTAATTGATAATAAGTTAAAATGGAATTGGCTATCAAAGTTTTGCAATTACAGTATTTGGCAATATTCGAAAAGTTAAAATCCTTTTTATACTTCAACTAGGATTATTTTGGCATAGGCTACCGGTAATAGGCCAAGTTAGTTTGTTCTCATTAATTAATTCTTTTTACTTTTAATACTTTTCAATGAAATGGCGACATAAAGTTAGGCATGTGTTATAATGTTATATTCACATATTATCATATGTAAAATGTATCATATGTTAGTTGGAGGTAAACAACATCGGTCATGTTTATGTTTCAGTCTTGAGTGGAATGGTAAATAAACTTCTGAGCTTTTAATGTTAAAGCTTCTAATTTTATTTATATTTTCTAACTAAAACATGGTGTCAGGTGTATTTTGAAACCTAGAAGAAATAATGGAAGTATCTGGATTGTTTAGGTTGCCTGAACCTATGAGTTTTGAAGGAAATGTGAGTGAAAATTGGAAAAGATTTCGTCAGAAGTTTGAACTGTACTTAATAGCAACTGGTCATGGTAAGAAACTTAAAGATGAAGTTAAGATTGCGCAGCTGCTTAATCTGTTAGGCGATGATGGCCTAGATGTATATAATACTTTTAAATTTGAAGATAATGACAAAGATAGTTTTGATTGCGTACTTGATAAGTTTGAATCTTACTGTTGTCCTCTGAAAAATGTCATATTTGAGCGGTTTAAATTCTATAGAATGAAGCAGGAAGAAGGTCAAGACTTCAGTAAGTTTGTTATGCAGTTAAAAATAGCAGCTAAATCATGCGAGTTTCTTGAACCTGACAATATGATTAGAGATAGAATTGTCTTAGGTATAAGAGATAAAAGTACTCAAGAGCGTCTATTAAGAGATACAAAACTTGACTTGAAAAAAGCTATTGATTTCCGTATGATTGTAGAGAGTAGCAAGGATCAATGTAGGACTATTGTAGAGCACAATGAAACCAAGCTTACGGGGACTAAGTCGGATCCATACAGTGTATGTGTTGTTAATAATGTGCCATATCAAGAACTTTCGCGGAGTGCTGCAAAAGAAAAACAGAATGATCTATGTAGCTTTTGCGGCTACAAACATGTACGGGGTAAATGTCCTGCATATGGCAAAACATGCTCGAAATGTGATGGTAAAAATAATTTTGCAAAGGTTTGTTGGAGTAAAACTATAAAATCTCATGGTGTTACAAACGAGGAACAACACGATGAAGACTCTTGTGTGAGCGATGTTAGTTTAGGCTCGGTAAGCTTAAACATTAGTGGAGTGAAAGGTCAAAGTGAAAAATCGTGGACGGAAAACTTGACTGTTGGTGGTACACAAGTTAAATTTAAACTAGATACAGGTGCAGAGATCAGTGTTTTACCTGCTAGTTATGTACGGAAAATGAACATTACACACGTAAAACGTAGTTCTTATGTACTCTCAGCCTGGGGAGATGAAAAATTCAAAATCAAACCTCTAGGTCTTGTGATATTACAATGTAAAACAATTACAGGTGTAACTGCAGATGTGAATTTTGCTGTAGTGAATGTCGAACATGAACTGCCGATTTTAGGACTGAAAGATTGTGTCAATTTAGGACTCATTAAGAGAGTGTCATCGATATGTTTGAATTTTAAGTATAAGGACGATGTTTTAACCGGCTACAAGCCAGCTTTTGAAGGATTGGGACAGTTTCCAAGCACTCATCATATTCAGCTTAAGGAGGGTGCTATCCCACAACGCAGGTGTAAGACAACGATCCCTGTTACCGAGGAACTGCTGAAACCAACGCTGAATGATGGAGTACAAGACAGGTTAAATACAAGACAACACCTGCAGAAAAAATATTATGATCGGTCAGCCAAAGACTTAAGGGTTGTAAGAAATAACGAAAGAGTTGTCTTCAGAAATGAAGGAAGGTGGGAGCAGGGAAAGATTGTTAATCAAGGACCAACTCCAAGAAGTTACTGGGTAAAAGGTGACAACGGGGCTACATTAAGAAGAAATCGCCGCCATCTGAAACCATCACTCACTCAACAAAACAATTCCCAGTCAGTTCCAAGGCAAGACGAGCCAGTACAACTAAGACCTCGTAGAGAAATCAAACTACCATCAAGATTTCAGAATACAATATAATGGTCTCAAAAGAAAGGAGAAGTTTGGTTGGTTGTTATTGTTTTTAGTTAATTCTTTCAAATTTGTTTGCTGTTTTTTAAAGGGGAAAGATGTGTTATAATGTTATATTCACATATTATCATATGTAAAATGTATCATATGTTAGTTGGAGGTAAACAACATCGGTCATGTTTATGTTTCAGTCTTGAGTGGAATGGTAAATAAACTTCTGAGCTTTTAATGTTAAAGCTTCTAATTTTATTTATATTTTCTAACTAAAACAAGGCATATAGCCTAATTCAAACTAACTTAGATAGACAAAATAGACATTTGAATATAGGACTAGCTTAAGTTAGGCTACATAGGCTAAGTTAAGTTAAAGAAAAAGAACTATGTTTACAGTAGCCTTTCAACATGTACACCACTTGTACTTTCTACAACTTACACAAATAGGCTTAGGCCTACTTAAGCTATAGTTTGCTTAACTTATAGAATATTTTCTAAGATGAGTTAGACCTAGCATCTAGGCCTATTAACTTATATAGGCTAAACTTATATTCACACTGTAGATTATATAATTATTATTAAATGACAAAACCCGATTACAGGGAAGCGTTTGAGATAGGCTTAAGTTAGCCTATGTAGCCTAGTTGAAAATTAAAAATTTCTTTAAAACGCAATTATCCTTTAGCCCACTATAGGAAACAACTAAATTCTGCCCTATGATTGTAAAAAATGGGTCTAGGCCTAGCCTAACTTAATTCAAAGCATTAGGCCTAATATTTTTGTAAACAAGTTAAAGATACTTAGACCCAAGTTATAACGTAATAATTTCAACGACAGTTTGCTGAAAGAATACTTCTCTAAATTATTATCAATTACCAATCATTGAGATGGGGACGCCACCTAGGTTAGCTAAAACCCTAACATTAATGAATGATGAGTGTAGAATGGTGTGAGATCATTATCTAGTAGTAGTTTTGATACTGACTAAAAAATATCAGCTGTTTCTTTCATTAACCAGTATCATTTATTAAAAGCAGTACTGATCAGGAACAGATGAGCTACGGTCCAGTTTCAAGCCATCAAAAAGCAGCTGCTGACATTTCTCTGGATCAAACCGGTGACCTTTTTGATTGTTAGGCGAACACTAAAACGCAACCAGTTTAATCATTTAAACATCTGATCCATTTAACTAGGTACTATCAAAAATTTAGGGAGGAGAGAATTTCTACAGTAGCCGACCCTGTGGCACACTTGTTAGTGGCTCATTCAATTACGGTGTGCGCCGATTATACAAATACTGGTCATCCAAAACGTTGGATCGCCGCTAAAGAAGATAAATTCAAATGTACTGCCATGCCAACATCAGCCGGTAGGAGCACATACGGCAGCAACACTCCTGGAAAAATTCAGCGACAGTGATCATGCTTTCATGTAGGCCCTACACATAACCTCACTTTGTATCAGGAATTGTTTAAAGAAGGCATATTTTCTAAAATGACGTTTTTGGTTTGCTTTTTGATTTACAGTAGGCTATAGCAATGTCTGCAAAAAGGATATACGTGTTCTATTTAATATATCTGACAAACTTAAAATATTAGATCAGCTGAAAAGCGGTGCCAAGGGGTTCAAGCTTAGCTTAGGCTATATACAATTCTGAGTGTGCTATGCTTTATTGCTTAATGTACAGTAACTAAAGACGATTACGTTGATATGGTCTGATATGCCGAAGATCTCAGCGATATCACTGCCTGTGCTGAAGATGATGGTAGCAATACAGTATAAATTGAAGCTTCTACAATGATCGTTAATGTTGTTCGTAGCTCTAATTATACACTTAATGCCAAGATTGAGGGATTCTACTTACACTTAACAAAGTAATACAGCCATTTTACGTTGATGTCCGATTATCTAAAGCCCCAATTGTTCAGGATAATTGACACTCTACTGTAATGTTTTTTTTTTATTTCTTTATTATTTTTTTTTTTTTTTAACAGAACCAGCTGTTGGTTAAACCATAAATATTTAAATTGGATTGCACTGGACAAAAACAAACTTATAATGTTAGTGTCTGCTGCCACACTTTAAAAATAGGTACCCTCACTGCAACAAGCCAGCAGACTAAGGTAATGTCCATTTACCAAGTTGAATTTCCACTAAAATATTCCCATAAAATTTTCAGTTTTATTATCAATTTTTAAATAACAACATTAATTTTAATGGGTCTAGACCTACCAGTACTTAGGTTTGATGGGCTACAGGGAAGGTAACTTAACAAATTGTGTTTTTATTGAAATGTTAATAGCTTAGTAAAAATAAGCAAATTAGACAAAGTATATATTTTACTTGAAGAGTTATTGTGCTAACAGACAAACACAAATGTGCTAACGGACGAAAAAGTAAATCAGTCCCGGGTCCAGCTCTTGACCATTGAGACCTATGGTATCTTATTTCTATATTGGAATTTGCTAAAATAATCTGCAAATTCACTCATATGTTCTTTTTAAGTAAAAAATCATCGACAGCTGCAGCTGGTCCATTTAGATGGGATGTCTACTTCAGTATTCAATAGGCGTAGTCAACGATTGAAGGTTAGGAATGGTTAAATGCCTCTCATATTCTAAATTAGTAAATCTATGGCCATGTTAAGCTTTTTAAAGATAAATTAATGGTTTTATTTTCTGTACAATTCTTTCTTTTAGGCCTAAGTGAATTTGCTATATTTTTATGTGGCATTGTACTTTGATGCTATAGCCTATTGTACTATATTGTAATAATGGCCGAATAAACAACAATTATGATCAAATATTTGTTGGGTTGCAGGCAGAGAGTGTAATGTGACTGTGGAGTGTCGTGAATGACGGTGAGGGCGGATGCTGGCCTAGTATGGGCCAACAGCCTGACACAACTATGAACCCCGCTGTCTCGGGCAAGTCCTCCACCCGCTCCTCGGGCTACCACCAGAAAGCCCTTGCGGAGATACGTAACTCACTACTGCCGTTTGCCAACCAAGGTAGGCCTACATAAATGTGACTAGAGTTGAATTTATATTTTGTAAAGTTGTCGTTGAGTCAAAAGAAACATATTCGAGTTGATTCTTTGTTAACTTACTGTGCATGCTTTGAATTGATTGTTTTGTAGCACGATAACTAGAAAAAAAGTTAGTTTTACGTTTGTTAGTGTCCACTATCCTAGAGCCTTGATTATCCTACCAAAACTGACTGTGTCGAAAGGGAGAAGCGAAAAGGTTGGTTGCGAAAATAGTGTGGAAAATAAGAAAATAATCCACAGTAAACATGTTTGAGACCTTAAAATGAAAACAAATGTCAAGACCTGTAAATCATCGTATAAAATCATATGTTATGATGAGTTGACTAACTGTATTATAGGCTATGCAGAGTGAATAAACAATTGAAAAGCACAGTCAAGTGCAGATGCTTAATGTCTTGTGCCTTTTGAGTACAGACATCGGCATCTGAATGGGATATTCTCCCGTGTACATTCATAACACGTTGAACTAGCTTTTGCTATTATGGAACCTGGTTGTTTGCAGAAAGGGTCAAATCACATGGAAAGTTGGACAATCGGGACTACTATATTTACCGTACTTAAAAAATAATTTTTCAAATTTTAGGAAATTGTTAGAAGGCCTAGTTTGTAGACAAATTTGTTTTGATCATACGTAAGTACTAGAAAACGAGTATTTATTGGTTTGTTTTTATTCTAAATGTGTTCCTATATTTTACCTATTATCATGTGTTCCCTTTTGATACAAGTAAGGTTTAATGTGGTAGGTGGCGACAACGGCGTAGGGTCGAGTGCGGCCAGTACTATATCCACTCTCTCCACCACCTCCGGTGTCAGCTCTGCGTCGGGCCTCAGCTCAGCCTCCAACGGAGTCGACAAGGAGATCGGAGCTCTCGTACGCCAGGCTCATGCTCAGCTAGTAGCCATGGGCTATTCAGAGGTAACAGCATACCTGTTTGTAAAAGCGCAGCGTTGTTACATGTATAGGAGAGTTGTCGTAATCGGCTTAACTGTAAACTGAAAGTGTTAATTTAGTTTTATGTGAAAAAGACTTGCTAGACCTATCAAATGTAATTGTTAAATGAGGTACCGGTAGGCCTAATACAAAGAAAACATTTTAATTTTAATTAGTGTATAAAATTTAAAAAAACAAGCAACAGTAAGAAATTTGGGTCAGCATAAATAATTTAATTCATAGATATCCTCTTCTGTTAATGTTCCAATGTATCTGTAAACTAATCTAGGTATTTCTAGATGTTTTCCCTCCATAACAGTGAAATCCTTAAATTTCCTTATCCTCTTTTTCTCACATGGTCAAGCCATTTTTTATGTTGCTATTACTTCTCTGCTCCAACTATCCTTCTTCTAATCTCTTCTTTCCTTTCCTCTCTTTTCTTCCACAATCTTTTCTTGTTAAACAGGGTGTTTCTTAACTCTCTACAAACCTTTACTGGTGTTATTTTAGGGTTCATAACAAATTTAAATATCACATTTTAAATACTTCTCTAAAACCGGTTGTATTTACCAACCTGTAAATATAAGAGATAAATAATTTACAAAGAAATAGACCTGGAGAATCAAGACGTAACTTAAGATTTAATAAACTAATATCAAACTGCATAAATGTAATTCTAAATAAATCTGTTTATGTTCGTGAATAGTTAGAACCCAAAATCATATATAAGGAACAAGCCTGTCGGTTCTGTGCCAATTCTTCGCACTGGTATCAGGTAATAAATTATTTATTTTAATCATAAAAACATTTATACTCATAAATCTATTCCACATTGTACCGTGTGGAAAAATCATAATTCGGTATCATTAGTTATTGTACGGCGAATGTTAATTTTTGTAACCATCAGATTTTATCACTCTTTTGCTTGATGTCATTGTGGTACATGTAGTTTTTATAGAGTTCATAAGGGTCAGCATCATATTTATACTGCCTTGTAGTCCCAGTAGGCTAGGCGCACACGAGCGATTATTTTGGGGCGATTATTTCATCGGCCAATCTGTCCATCATGAACCAGAATGGAAGCGCGCATACAGGCGATTGAAAATTGTGCCAATTTTAAATTCTGAAAAATGCTGGAGATTCGTAGCCGAGGCGATTGTCGGCCGTAACTCTTTAACGTACTTGGTACGTAATTGGTTGTTACCAATTAGGCCTATGGCAAAGCACACGGTCGACTAAAAAAAAATTTTTTTGGTTGGATTTAAATATTACTAATTGTCTTTTACTAAGCAATACATTTGCTAAATCGTAAAACATAATAAGTTGACCTCATTATATGACCTTTTTATTATAATTAATAAATTAATCAGTAAAATGTTATTATACTTGACTAAAACAAGACATCCGGCTAAACAGGCAACTTAGAGTCCAATTTGACGAGTTAGTAGATTGACAAATGTTTCTATTATTTTTTTTTATCATTAAAAAATGTTTATTAAAAATCAATCCTTTCTATGTCGGGAAGAAAAGTATAATATTAACTAATTATTCTGTAGTTAAATATGAAGAGTTTTCTTACTTTTTCCATTAAAATAAATACTTTATTTTACAATGAAACACAATTATTATCAGGGCTGTGCGAATCCAGAAATTTTGGTTCGAATCCGAATCAGAATCATAGCTGTACAGATTTTATCGAATCCGGATCGAATCTGAATATTTTAATTACTCCCGAGTCGAATCTGGGTCGAATCCGAATCTCAAATTTACAGCCATTATCGAACCCGGATCGAATCCGAATCTGAAATTTAAAGCTGTTATCGAATCCGAATATTTAAACCTGTTCAGAGTCGAATCCGAATCCGAGGAAAGTCAGCAGTACCAATTTTCACATTTTTAGACCACATTTTCTGGGGCTGAAATAACTTAGTGAATTGCTTAAAAAATTCTTGAAATGGGCCAAATAAAAAAGTTATAAAATTTAGGCCTACCTATTTGAAGTTTTGAAACTAAAAAATTGGGCATAGTTAGGCCTACCACCTAGGCCTAAGTTACTCACTAAAAGTGATGGACTACCAATTTGTGTAGTCTAAAACATAGGCCCAGCCTATTATACACCTCGGTGTTAATCCTCCAAACAAGCCTATGTCTGCATTACTATTACAAGTAACAACTCACACTGTGAGGTTAAGTTTACTGATAGCCAAGATAGGATTCAAATGCGACCTAGACTAATGTGCCTAAAGCCTAACACCAAGTTGGTCAGGTTCCTAACATGAACCAGTCAACAGCAAATCGGAGTGCACAAGTAGTTTTTTAGTGTCTAAAAAATTATATTCAATCAGAAACTAGTAAATTTGAATATCGAATCCCAACTCGGATCTATTTCCAAGAAATTCGAATATCGAATCCGAATCCGGATCTCTTACCAGTAAATTCGAATATCCATTCCGAATCCGAATCCAGTTAGAAACAGTAGATTCGTTCTCGAATCCGAATCGAATCTCTAAAAAGATTTGGATTTGATTCGTTTTTTGAACTATTCGCACAGCCCTGATTATTATCAACACAAAAAATTATCACAATGCTTCATTCCTGAATGCACATTTTAATCCTATTTCTCATACCATTCAATTGTTGTATTGTTGTTCTAATAAGTTCATGACAGCTGGTCTTTTTCTAGTAGGCTATAGGCTTAGCAATACTATTACACCTTAGTGTTAGGTACACAAACAAACATTTTATTTTTAGCGAATTTCCCTATAGGGAAGTAGCTATTACCGTAGGAGGCACGGTAAGACCTAGACCCGGGACCGATTTACTTTTTCATTTTGATGTCCCCAGAGGCCAAAAACACCATTCGTTCAAATTTTTATATATGTATATATATATATATATATATAGACTTATATATATATATATATATATATATATACGTCCGTGAACGCGATAACTTGAGTAATTTTTGTCCGATTTTGATGAAATTTGGTTTAAAGGTGTAAAGCGGGATAAACTTGAATGAGTTCGCGAACCAGCACGATCGGACCATGGGAACGGGGCTTTACGGGGGGTTTTATGGGGTAAAAATTGGTTTTTCTCACTTTTGACCCTCAAAACACAAAATTTCCCGATTTCTCTTTAGACCTTTTTAAAGAGCTTAAAAAAACAAATAATTTAGTATATAAAAGTATTTTTGTTCGATTATTAGTAACAGAGAAAATTGAAAAAATTCTAAATTTAAAATTCCCATGTTATTGTTATGGAGAATATTGTCAAATGTTGTAGTTTGCTTGTTTATGGATATATTTCGATCAAACTTGGCAAATTTATTTATTTTGTACTAAGCTATCAATATTTTACTCAAAAACACACTTTATTAGTTTCCTTGTAGCAGCAAACCTAGGTACTCGTTAAACCTAATGTCATTAAAATATATTTAACTGAAAATCAATTCGGACAAATGGAAATTCGCTTAGTCGGCAGGTTTGCTGCGGCGGGGGTATTTATATTACACTTAACAAAATATACTTTGTAATTTATACCTATATAAACTCAAGTTAAAAACAGTATTGAGTTATGTTTGAGCAATTTTAATAATATTTCTTTGTAATTGAAAATTGATTGATTGATTAATCATATGTTCATATTGTCCTCCAAATTATCCTGTTGTTGTTGTTGTTGTTGTTGTTGTTGTTACTAGAACATGTTTTGTTAGGCACCAGAGAAAATTATCTATGTTGAATTTGTCTGAGGTTCTGAGCAATTGAGCCTGTAATGTTGTGGGCTAACATTGTGTTTTGTGTTGCAGGAAGCATCATTGAGGGCCTTGAAGCTGTCCAATGGAGGCTTTGAGGCAGCCCTTGACTTTCTCATCAAGCAACAGAATGATTCCGGTGTCAACGGCCTCACCAAGGTCGCCTCTTCAGGTCAGTTTTGACTCTTGAAAACATCTTCTCAATTAAAAAAAGTAAAAACTAAAGGTATTCAAAGTTCAAAAGGAATCCCTTATTTTGACATAACTGTTCCTAATAACCCGTTCTCAATTCCAGGGTTGTCAAAGCTGATTCGCAAGCCCAGCCTAGAGCGGGAGTTGAATCTTCATCGTGGCAGTCCAGCTCTGGATAGTGGTGCGGGCAGTTCTAGGTCTGATAGTCCTCGTCAGTCCGTGGAGCATCCTCAGCTGAGTCGACAGTACTCTCCAGGAGGGTACACGGAGCCCCCACCACCTCCCCCTCCTCGTAGTGGCTCTACCCCTCCCCCGCCACCTCCGCCACATGCACCATACCCGCCTATGCTCAAACGTATGTCTCCAGCCCCGGTTCCGGTGGCTAGAGGCACTAGTCCAGTAGCCGTAACATCGCGGCAACCTATGATCGTCCAGAATGGGCCTCAGGTCCAACAACAACTCTCACAACAAATGCAAGCTCTAAGTTTGTATTCTACCAACTCTGAACCTCCCCCGCCCTACCCTATCATACCTCCCTCACCCTCTTCGGCTCCACCTCCACCCTCCTACTCTGCATCTATCGCCAACAGACAGAGTCCGACTCAAGGCTATGATCGGAAGAGTCCCTCGTCCGGTGTCTATTCGGGCCCAGCGTCTGCTGGGTCTCCTAGTCCCACCCCGACAGTACCAGCCCCTCTACAGTGTTGGAGCGCAAGACAGGCCAAGACTCAACCTCCAATAATCATGCAGTCTGTCAAGAGTACACAGGTTCAGAAACCTATCTTACAGACTGCCACTGCTCCGCCCCCTCCCACTGTGACACAACCCCCACCTCCCTCTTATGCCTCGTCTATCCAGCAGAAGCAACAGAAAGCGATTGTGCAACCTCAGCAGGCCTCGGTCAGTGTAGTAACTACCGTTCCGACCACAGAGCCTCCCAGTTACGCAAGCACTATGCAAGCTTTGGCTGCTCAGCGAGGAATGCCTCCTCCTCCGCCGTACGGTGAGGAAAACTTCAGTGGTACTGCAGCAGTGGCGACTGTCGAGAGCACAATCGCTCCCCGCACTTCTCCTGGACTTCATCCTCATCCTGTACTGCAGAGGAAATTCTCACCTGCGGAGTCGAGGGCAGAGAGTCCAATCCAGACGACCCCTCCTCTCCCTCCTGTCGCATCAACGTCACAACAGAATGGTGAGAGGAAACAATTTAAAATCAACCACCAGTCACCCATCCCAGAGAGGAAGCACATGAGTAAAGAAAAAGAAGAGGAAAGGAGGGACTGTAAAGTTCGCAACTACTCGCCTCAAGCCTTCAAGTTTTTTATGGAACAACATGTTGAAAACGTCATAAAATCACACAAACAGCGGGTCTTTAGGAGGCTTCAGCTTGAAACAGAAATGGCAAAGATTGGTCTAAGCCCTGAAGCCCAATGTCAGATGAGGAAAATGCTCTCGCAGAAAGAATCCAACTACATCAGGTTAAAGAGAGCGAAAATGGATAAGTCTATGTTCATTAAATTAAAGCCGATAGGTGTAGGAGCGTTTGGCGAAGTAACGTTGGTAAGAAAAATCGATACAAACCATCTGTACGCAATGAAGACACTTAGGAAAGCTGACGTTCTCAAAAGAAATCAAGTTGCACATGTGAAAGCAGAGAGAGATATTCTGGCAGAAGCAGACAACGAATGGGTCGTCAAACTGTACTACTCTTTTCAGGTAAGCGTTTTGATGTGTATTCTCTTGTTTTTATGGTTTTTATAGCTAGAATTTATATAGCGAAACTGTGTACTTAAAAAAAAGGTTTTTTTGAGAAAACCTCTGACTGTAACCTTTTGTGAAAAGGAAGGGGTTTGTACTACTTTTAAATGGGTGGAAGGAATGGCTTTCACGGTGTATTTGAAATTCATACTGACTTTCTCTATTAAAGTTAAACCATAAAAAATTGTAGCAGACAGCCTATTGGAATGAAATAGAAAATCTGACTTGATTCTAAGTTCATGTGTGATGGTAAGTATTGGTGATGTTATTGGAAAATTGTGTTTTTACTAGCCACTCTAAATGAGCTCATCATTGGGATGCAATGCCCGCAAAAACCTTTTATTCGATTTATTTCAATAGAAAAAGTTCAAATGGATACATGTACAGGCACATGCTCTGAAATTACAAATTTTAACTGCATTTATGTACATACATGGATTTTAATATATAGTCATCAATTAGTTATCATACTTCAGATAGGCAGATATTAACAAGTAGTCTACAATTTGTCTCCTGTTTTTGCAGGACAAGGACAACCTGTATTTTGTGATGGATTATATTCCTGGGGGCGACCTCATGTCTCTTCTCATCAAGTTAGGCATCTTTGAGGAGCCTCTGGCAAGGTAATGTTTAAAAACAGTTTATATTTTTTTTAAATAGTGTCTTCAAGCCACAAACGTTATACTATAAAGCCACTAAATTTAAAGGATATCTAAGTAACAGGATCAAACAAATAAAATAGCTAAAATCAGCAAATTAGATTTTTAATTTTTAAATCAAAACTAACAATAAAAATAAAAAAAAAGCAATGTAGAAAAAATGCATAGGCCTACTCTGACGTCATTGCACTTTTCTAACTGAAGTAATCTATTTGTGGTTCTGAATTTCATGAAATTTTATAATACATATTTTAATTTTTTTACAAAAAAAAACTCCTGAAAGGTCACAGATCTTTGTAACTAGTAGACATCCTGATCTTGTATAGGGCCAAAGGAAGTAATCAGTGTAGTATAGTGTTTTACCTAACCCGCCATGTTAAACTTCCCTATCCCAAGCGTGATGTATACAACTTCCTTACTTCTCGAGTGATGTAAATTTGAACAAAAACTCACTCGGTGATGTAATGAAACCCATTTAAATAACATTGAGTGATTAACTTAAAAAATATACCTCTATGGAGGCATCGACGTTCAACGCTAGAAATCAGCTGTGCGCTTGAATGTTATTGTTATGCTTTAAAGTATTTTCCTAACCTAGCTTTTGTTTGTAAAAGAACGTTACTGTTAGACGATGAGTGAAATGGATAATGAAAAATATTGTACGTAAATCCATGTATATTGTCGGGTCAGGTAAAATCTTGTACGTTACACGTTGCGCAAGAGCGTGTTTACATCTCTTAGGTGTATTATGCAACTCGCTTCCGCTCGTTGCACAACATTCACCTGCGTGATGTAAAAACGCTCTTACTACACTTGTAAATAGCTATTACTCAACTCATTGGCAGAACAGTTTTGAATTTACAATTACTGTATAGTAAACTATTGTGCTTTGTAAGTGTGGGTATTATCATAGACAAATAAAATTAAATATATACCGACAGCAGTGCTGCGGTTAGCATAAGTTCTGCCGTCCACCGCTGGGAGCGTCGTGTAGTAGCCGCTATGTAACTGGACGCCAAAACTTTTGCTAACCGCAGCACTGCTGTCGGTCTATATTTAATTCTATATGTCTATGTTATTCTTGCAATGGCTAGTCAAGAATAAGGTTTAATGGTTGTTGTTAATTTGTTACTTGAGATCAGAAATTTTTTAACCAGGATTGCTTGTTTCATGTGTTCAAGGAGGAATAGTGACATGGTGTAGTCACCTCTGGATCACTTAAATTTAAGCTTAATGGTTGTTACCTTGCTTCGTCGAGTAATCCTTTTTTAGTAGTGTGTATTGTAGTGTAGTGTGATTTTTATTTTTGTTTAGTAGTGTTCTACAAAAAAAGGATCACTCGACGAAGCAAGGTGCTCTAAACCAGCTAGCTTGTAGTAACAGCAAGCTTTGAATCACTATATAAGAAGATGTTTTTTTGGCCCAAAAGATTTGAAATAAACTTCTCAAGAGTCGTTGTTTTGACTGATGCAGGTTTTACATCGCCGAGTTGACGTGTGCGGTGGAGAGTGTACACAAGATGGGGTTTATCCATCGAGACATCAAACCCGACAATATCCTGATTGACCGCGACGGCCACATCAAGTTGACTGACTTTGGACTGTGCACTGGGTTTCGTTGGACGCACAACTCGAAATACTACCAACGAAACGGTAATCGAGTATTCAATGTTTGCTAGTTCCATTTTTTTTATGTTTCATCAATCAATCAAATCATTTATTGTAGTCAGACAATATACATTATATTACATACGTCAACTTAAATTACTTCTAAATATAAACAATAATATAATACAAATAAAATAACAAAACTGGTACTATAACACTGATAACACATATGTAAGTAATAATTACAGAGCAGGTGGACTTAGCTTCAGACTTTTTTTTTATAAATTGGGCTTTTCGAAAAATTCAGCAACAGAGTAACATGCACGTTCTAAAAGGCATTCTTTTAACTTAATTTTGAATTTTGCTTCTGACGTTAAGGATTGTAGATTGGCTGGAAGTTTGTTAAGCAGTTTTGGCCTGAGATTTCGAGGTAATGATACAGCTAGAATCCTCAAACCTTAATATATCCTTAGATTGTTAGGTTTGGGAGACCGTGTAAATGGAGTTTGTGTCATGTAAGAAATTCAGATGATTTTCATCCAAACGATACCAATAAATTTAAAAAATATATGTAATAAATAATAAACAATGATTTACAAAATTCTTGATAAAATAGTGTAAAGAATCCATTTTATACTTATCAACTTCAAGGCTAATGAAGTTTCGTGAAGTTACTACTTGTGGTGTTGGTTGGCAGGAGAGCACAATCGGCAGGACTCTATGGACCCGAGTGAGGACTGGCGAGGCGCTAACAGTGAGTGTCAGTGTCACCAGCTGAAGCCACTGGAGCGACGACGACGACGCGAGCATCAGCGGTGTCTGGCACACTCCCTGGTCGGCACGCCTAACTACATCGCTCCAGAGGTGCTGCTCAGGAAGGGCTACTCGCACGTCTGTGATTGGTGGAGTGTTGGCGTCATATTGTACGAGATGCTTGTAGGTTCACCTCCCTTCCTGGCCAACACGCCCGCAGAAACGCAGTATAAAGTAAGTAATGTGAGGAACAAATCTTCCCGTTGTAAAGTGACCCTTGCTTTTATGTAACCCTACTGATGATTCTTGACAAATTGGAACGTTCTGTTTCATCACTCACCCTGAATAAAAAAATGTGTTGCCAGAAAATGCTTAAATTGCATGTTTAAACGTTACACAGGGATGATTTCATATTTTACTTACCCTACTGTGATGCGATTAGAAATAGTTTTATATAGATGGATTATTCAATATTCAATTCATCATAGTTTTTCCAAGGAAAGGCTCCAGGGAAGGATTTGTATTTGTGTTTCCTAAGAACTATCTTTGCCTTCATTGAAAAAGTACCCCAGGAGACATCATATTGTGATGGCCTACCTGAACTTGTGAGGTAAACCAGCTGCTATCCCTTCATTCTACAAATGCATTTTTATCACAGTGTAGTTAATCATTTTGATTAAGATGTGCCTGCTAATTGTTGAGATTTAACAGTAAAATATAATTTCAGGTAATCAACTGGGAAACTACGCTTCAAATACCAAAAGCTGCTAATGTTTCACCAGAAGGAACGGACTTAATACTCAAACTGTGTACAAGTGCTGAAAGACGATTAGGGAAAAATGCAAACGAAATCAAATCGCATCCGTTTTTTGCGAGCATAGACTTTGAGAAAGGTGTTAGGAGGTGTTCGCCCCCGCATATCCCGAGGATACAATTCTCTACGGATACTTCCAACTTCGACCCCGTCGACCCGGACAAACTGAGAAACTCTGCGTCATCGGACTCGTCCAAATCCGACGAGTTCTCAGACAGTGGTAAACCGTTTCACGGATTTTTTGAATTCACGTTTAGAAGGTTCTTCGATGACGGAGGCGGAACTCCTTATCCCAACAAAATTAGTTTGGACGATAACGATACCCAAGGTGCAGTTTACGTATGATTTTAGATATCTTACGATAGTCGTGTTAATCCTTACAGAGCTACTGGGCTCGTGTTAACATTTACAAATGAATGTATAATGTTATTTCACTGTGAGAAGTAGTCGGGCGTGTAACGTTGTGACCTGCATTACAAATGTGTAATTGTTAACAAGGTTGAGGTGATGCCTTATGTTTAGAGTTTTCAGCAATATTTAAAGTTTAAACCGAGTCTCTATTGTGCGTTATAATGAAATGTCCTATTCATTAATTTTCATGTTTGCTTTATAGTTATAGTTTCTTTCCAGTTCAGAATGAATTTGTTAAATTCAGGGCTATTCTTTCACTAATAATTATGAAAATCATAAAATTTGTTAATGATTAGGTGGAAATATATTTCACTGTCCAAATTTGTTTTACAGTAAGCCTATATGTTAATGATCCAATAACAAAATGGTGCCTTAAAACATTACATTAAATTCTTTAATGATTTCTTCAGTTCAATATTTGATCAACAGTACCTAGGCCTACCACTGGGCTACCATATTTTTAAAGTTTGATTTCACCGCGTGATACTTAAATACTGTTCATATTCCTATAAATGATCGGCTCACCTCAAGCTCGGCCTGTTAAGTCAGTCGGTATGTGATATCCATGTTCTGATAGCTAGTTCTATCTACTCTATGTGATCTATGTGAATCACAATAAATAGTTTTATCATCGTAGGTTTTGTTAACAAGTTTTATTCTTAATATATAATACGTGTTGGGGTGTGTGTTAGGACTATGTATATTTAATTGTTTAGTGTGTCTATGTAAGCATGAGTGTGTGAGTTTGCGTAATGTCGTCGATACTTTCTATGTAGTGCCTTAATAGTAAACAGTCACAAAACTATGTGCCAATAATAGTGTTATTGTATTTTTACTCATTTGTACACAGTGGCTTTTTGACTGACAAATTTTACCGTGGATTTTTAATTCTGTATTGCGCTTTAACCAGATCGATGTTTTAATTTTAAATATGAATGCAGTAGTGTGAGCAATTTTAGGCCTTTTTATGCAAGTATTTATCACAAATGCCTTTAAAAGTTCATTACAGCTGCCTTTGATCAAACTTATACCTACGTTAGTTAAATTCACTATCTTGTTAAGTACTAGATTTGTTTATTGATAAACAAAAGTCTATCCCCAGTTGTTGACAGTTTGGAATGAAAATGAACATAGTTGAAAGAGCTACCGACATAGTACCCATTTATGAATAAGTGATATGTCAAATACACTAACTTTTTTACCAAGTCAAACTGATGACAACTTATGTAAGTTGTACTATATTTTTTGTCTCATCAACTATCTTGCAAAAAAAAAACTACGGGGAAAATAGAATTATACTGTGGTCCCTTCAACCATGTTTTCCCTGAAACACAATATGCCACAGCTGGTCCATATAGATGAAATGTCTACTTCAGAAGGTATCCAAATAGCCAATGTTATTATTTTATCACAACACTTGTCTTAAAGCAATATATAAACACATTTTCCTTGTTCACAATGATTTTTCAAACTGGGGCATTATTTGAGTTGAAATTAATTTTAGTCAGACAGTTAAAAAAAAGTAGTTTTGTTGAAAATTGTTGGACTGTTGGTAACTTATGGTACTGTTTTGTTGTAAGTTTAGAGAACTGACCAATGTCAGTATAATAGGTATTTATTGTCACAGTTGTTATACGAGTGGAGACTAGCCAGTAAGTTTCTTGTTTTCTATTAATAACTGAGCTAAGAGGTATTCTGTTACATTACGACACAGGTTCAAGTGAAATAGTATAATTTGGTTTGCATGTAACGCTGTTATCCTTAATTTGTTACAATGAGTAAAGAGGTTGGCAACACGGATGCAAAAGGTCGACATTGTTGTAGTTTCGGACGAATAAGCTCATTGCTAAGTAATTTGACTATGTTGCTTACCTCTTTTTATGCAATACAATATAGTCCAGTAAATTGATCTTATCTATCAGCACTAATTGAACACATAAGTATTTGTTGACAAATTTTAAACTTTAGAGTAACTGTTTGGTGATTTAAGCTAGTTTGCTTTTATAAAGTTTATGATCCTTTTACAATAAGTGCCTTTAACTTTGGTTTATATATCGGGTTTATACAAATTATACAGGGGATAATATCTCTTTTGTTAGGGAAATAATGGTTCTAACAAAAAGAATATTATTAGATTGGTTGTCTTAGTGTGCCTTTTTATCAGTTAAAAAAGTTAGTAAGTGGTTTAATAGAGAAGCCCGACTAAGGAATGTGGTTATTCCATATCTATGTATCTTATAAAAATGCAATAATAATCCAAAATTTAATTTTGCTACTAAAATGTTGATGCTTATACTATCTGATATGTAAATGTATCATTGATGATTGAATAAATCATTTCATTATCATTTGACAATCGACACATTCAAGTAAAAATAACTCAAAAACTGTGTAAAGTTAAACTCTCACCCTCTTCAATTGGGGCCTTTTAAAACTTTGTGCCTTTTGAAGTCTAAATCTGTGTACATTAAACAAAAAAAGGGGAACTGTTGAATTTTGCTGAAAAATAAAATGTCTGCGACAGTTAAATTTTTTTATTTGTTAATTGCCCAATATTTAGGAAAATATTTCTGTAAAATAACTTCTCCTTCTTATTTACTATATTAGTAAATATTAGTAAGTTACTTGTATTTAAAATTCCCTGTGAAGTGTTTTAAGGAATGATTAGAAATTGTAATTGCCTGACCACACATAGCGAAGGTGGTTTAATCGATTTGGCTTTAAATAAATGATCCTGGCTAATGAAACAGCTGATCTTAGTCAGTAACAAAGCTACACAGATCATTTCATACCATTCTACACTCATCCTTCACTCATATTTGGGTTAAAATATCCACCTGGTCCCTATCTCAATTGCTAACTGATCAAGGCATTTTCGTTTGTAAACCAAGTTTTATAATACACTAGAACCTCTCTGGCCGACCTTACGGAAACCAAAATATTTAGAATATGCCATGGACTGACGCAGAAATTCCACTTGGCTTTAGACCATGTTAGTTTGTTCACACCTTGCTAGTAACACTTATTTTTTTAAGTCCACACCAGTGGCATTTTATAAAGTATAAAGGCAAAGCGGTCTATTTGCTGAAATGGTTGTAGATATTCAGCGATTAATTTGTTACTTTTGGCCCAAATTCAAGCAAAAGGTGTTCATTACATATTTGAGACCATATGAGAATATGTACAGACCCACTTTCACTCGTGTTTTGAACGTCACTTTTCGCTACACTACAAAGACTAATTTTGTTCTTAACTAAAACAGACATTGGATATTTCTTTATTATAGTTCTAGGAACATTATGAAACTCATAGCATTTTTCAGGTTATGCCTTCAATTTAATGTTAATGTTTACATTGGCTGTTGCAAATTCTTTGTTTGTTTGTGTCGGCAGAATAAAAAAAAAGATAGTAAACATTACTTTTGCATACAATACATTCTTTTTCGATAGTAAATAATGTAATGAGGAATTTTCAAGCGTGATAAACAGGTAACAAAAACAGGTAATTCCACAGTAGTGTAGTGAAAATTTGTTTTTCATTAATTTTTTTTATTCAGAGTAAGTATACCACCTGACCACATTTTGGTTTTTTGATCAGTTGAATATCTTATTTTTTTGCGCTACCCTATTTAGAACTGGAGGCCAAATGAGGGGTTCTAGTGTGTCTACTTATATAAATTTACTATTCATAGTGTTTAGTGGAGTGGATCATGGTAATTTACAATGTTTTTTCAAATTAATATTTTACTTAGGCTAACTGTTTAATAATGTAAGGCCTTTTATGTGTTCATCTACAGATTTTAAGTGAAGAAGTTATTGTTCAACATAAACATTCAGTTTTTTAAAGTTGGTTTGAGATATTGTTGAAATACATTTAAAATTGTAAACTCTGAACAAATAATCTGATAACAATGTTGTTGAAAATGTCATAGTTTAAGGAGTTGTTATTTATTTGCATTACACATAAAATCATTGTATATTGACATAAATCTCAAAATTTATGAATGAGCGTGTTTAGTGGTTTTTGAATGATTGTATTGTCAAAATGTATGAAAATTTTATTGTAAGTTTTCAGCTGTTGTTTTGTGGAAGGAATTGAAATAGTTACTATAAACAGAGATCTGTATGTGGGATCAGATTGCACCATTGATTGTATACAACGCGAGTAGACCACTCTGATGCATTGGTTTGAAGACGGCATAATGGACTGATCATGTACACAAGCTTTGATTTACATTCATCTTTTGATACATTGGTTATGTGAGCTATATTAACAATATTGATTTTCAATGATTCAAGAACTCGGGCAACCAAAAAATTAAACATTGATTATATTCTTGAAACTTGCACCAATAATTTCTTTGTTTGAAGTTCATTGTTAGGGATGGTGAGTTAATATTGTTCAAAGGTTTATTGCGGATATTTTCCATCACGATACTAAAAAAACAACACTACATTTCCAGATCCCCAAACGTTTTGTATTGTTTTTTTACCATCGTGTTGGAAAATGTCCACGAAAACCGTTGAATGACAAATAATTTATTAACACACTCACATTCAACACTCTTCAGCTTTTGGAGAAACTGTTCGGTTGGTAGTGAACGAGTTAATATATCAACAAACCTTGGTGACAATGACAATAGTATAAATAGCTGATCTGATTCTATGGATTAATCACAAAAAACTCACATAACCAACCATTCTGAAAGGTGAACTTATACATGAAATTATAACTAGAACCTAAACTTGTTGCACATGTACAGTTCTGCCGTCTTGATTCCCGCGTCTACTTGTGTGGTGAGAGTGAGAGGCAGACATCACATTCATTGCCGCTTAGTCAAACGTCGTAGAGAGTTACCATGACTGACCAGCACACCCCCAACTGAAGCTCTCTCAACTTGTAAATATTGCTATCTTCCAGCTTTTGTAATTATCGTTTTACTATAAATATATTTATACACGTATATAAATAATTAACATTTTTTAGCTTTTATTAACATTAATATATAAATAAATTAATATAACGGTCCGATGTAAATACGTTATTTAATGGATGTCGGAAACGGCGCGTGCTAGTGGAGTGAAAAGCTTATTAACGGGTTTGTGTGACGACGCACTAACACCGGTCCGATGGAGTGATGTACCAAAAATATTAACATCGAATTTAACGAGTTAGTGCCTTTGTGTTTTTATATGAAGCTATGTACAGTCCATGTGTAAGTAGTGTATAATATGTTGACCTGCCATGATGCTCGTGCTAGTGATACTGTATATTATTTAAATTTGGCAATACATAAATATGTTTTAAACAAAGCTGGTTTTTGATTTACCCACATCTCAAAGTGTAACATGTGTTTTTGACTAGTGTAATAAAATAGGATTCTTGAAATGCTGTATTGCTTAACATGTTTTATTGATAAATCACATTTGGGTACAAAGTTATATCTGCCTCACTATTGTGATGATATTTACCATTTAGTGGTGTAATACCCTAATGAAAATTATCATTTAAAATACCTAACTTTTTTATTAATTTAAAATCTATACCGAGATTGTATAACTCGTCACCTCACCAGAGGAGATTAGTTGCCTAAAATAAAACATCAACAAGAGAAGATGAAATTTAATTAATTAAAACCATGCTGGGTTCTTCAAAAAATTATTGTCTGTGGTCCTCTGTGGTGCGTCATCAAAAAGCAGCTGTATGCAGGTAATAACTGACAAACAAATACATGATTTGTCCTTTCATTTGACTTGTAATATCCAACAATATGATTGATACAACTTGAATCATTCAAGGTAAAATCTGAATAATCATTTTAAGACACCCTCTATACAGAATGTTCAATAAGTAAACTATCCATTTGTAACTCAAACAAAATTTGTTAGTGTTGGAAACAGTTCATCTTCCAAGTTTCGCACTACAGCGTCTCGTACAAAGAAGGTTGGTTGTATTTGTCACTGTTCCTTGATAATTGATGGAATCTGCATGCAATATATTACATGTAATTCATAGTCCACGTGTTAATGTACAATATTATGTACTCATTTTAAGATCAAAATCCTAATGAACCATTATTTAAACGGTCGGTTGTTGGATCACAACTTCCATTGGCTATGTTTTTTGAAGGAAGTGTTTGCTAGAAAACACAAAATCTCATCAGATATGTGAATACACTATAACAAGAATTTTGTGAACAGGGTGTCTAGCTTTAATGTGAGAACCTTGAACTGGTTATTTGAGAAAAGGAGGGGGCTAATACAATTATGAAAATCCATACAGGGTGAGGCGGTCCACTAGTACACAATATATAGCGGGCAAACCAATCGTGTTAGATTGTTCGCAACAAGTTAAAACCCCCATTTTTACTCCATAGAATTTGGGGAAATAATTTTAAAACAAAAGAAAGGGTTGTTAGGGGGGGGGGGGGTAGACTACAGTTTTGAAACGTTGGAGATAGAACCAAACTTTAAATGTTGAAAAATGTTTGTTTATTAAAGACCTTTTAAATGAAGTATCAAACAACCTACGTTACTATTTGAGTTAATCCACTTGTAAGCTCTTACATCCAGTGTTTTTAAAATTAGTAAACTATGGCGTTGTAGTACATTCGAGGGTATTTTTAAAAGGGCACCTTTTCATTCGTCCGAATTTTGGAAAGGGCGCCTACGAGTGGTCTGCCATTCACTGGTACAATAGTTTGTGTGTGATTTTTCAACACTGAACATAGAACATTAGTTTTATCATTATGAAGTACAGGTGAATACGGACAGTGCGTTAAAAGTAAACCATTCTGTGCACTGTAGCATAGAGTTTTCCCACGAATACTAGAAAAAACCTGGAATGGATCATAAACATAAACAAATGACGTTTTTGGCACAAATCCTATACTAATAGCATTAACATATGGTTTAGACAGTTCGTTCCATTCAAACAATGTTAAATAATGTTTATTTTCGGACCAAAAACGTCATTTTTTATGATTATGATCCATACTGGGTCTTTTCTAGTATTCAAGGGTTTTCCCCAAGTCTTTTACAATTGGAAACTCAAGCTTAAACAGTCATTCACTGGTGCCCTCACCCCACATTTGAAAATCAAATTTGAAATAATCCCATGCAAACAATCTAATGACAATGAATAAACAAAGTAAATTAAACAATAAATACCATTCTTATCATTACATGGAGTTTAATTTTTCCCTGGATTTATTCAAATCAACACTTTAAAAAGATAAACTTTATTTTTTTTGTTATTTTGCTTTTAATTTTAGCTGATCAAAATTTAAGTCCACCATTGGTGAAGTTTGTATCAGAAAAACACTTTATTCAAACAAAACATTGTGTTAGTAAATGCATTGTCAGAGATCAGTGTTTGAGTGATGCTGTTTATTATTGATCAAACAGTAGAAGTTTGTTGTCCATAAGGGAAGAAGTCTCTGCATGACTTTTTCACATAGTTTCTATTAGTTTTAATGAACTTAAACTGAATTAAGGTAAGGTAAAAATGGTCGTATTATTTACTTGGTGTTGGTACTAAAAAATAAACTTACATCACCTAAGTTATTCACTATTAGTTTGTCATTGATTCCATCCAATAGAACCTCTAAATCTTGACTACCAGTATCGAAGTATTATAAAATTAGATATATTCAAAAGTGCATTTGTTGTGAAGTTTTTGAAAAAGCAAAGTTTGAAAGAATTTTTAAAGGACTCTAACAATTCTTGTAAAAAATAGGCCTACTAGTGAATAAAAAACCTTGTGAATTAATTTTTACTTAATTCTTACTCTTGTATAATCGACATCACAAAAATATAGGCTTAATGTTAGTAAAATTTTAACTACTTTTCAAATAGTGATCAAATCACTATTAGAAAATAGTGTAGACTAATTGGATCAATACAAAGTTGACACACTAGGATGTGCATTATAAGGCGCTATGATGTTTTATAAAGGGAAGCATTGAATGAATACAACGATAGACCTTGACATAATGGTCGCAGGCATAAAAAATATCCCAGTTCTCTTCTATATAAATAAAATACTAAATATGCTTTGAAAACCCATGGGCAACGATCAGTAAATTTAGTTAGTAGGATTATAGAAAATCTAACATATTTTTTCATTCATTAAGGATTCAGATTACAAATGGGTAAACCAAGCAAGGGAAAAAAGAAAGGCGCAAAATCAAGTGATGATAAATCAAAGAAGAAAAATAAACCAACAGCCAAAGCAACAAGGAAGAGCGAAGGTAAATCAAAATCACGGTGTAATGTTGACATTTTTAACGAACATGCCATGGAAAATGCTTACTATACTTGCCACAATGTACAGGATGTACTGAAATGTAGAGGCTTCCCGTGGCCTGATGCGCAGAAGAAGAAGAAGAAAGGGAAAAGAAAATAAATCTTTGTTAACTACAAATTTAAAAATATAAAATTCTGATTTTTAGAGTACCGTATGATTATTAATTTCCAATTACAGTAGATCTCCTCTAAACCAACCTCACATCAACCGATAATCAGATTATTCACCTTCACTCGTAGAATATTACAGTTTGTTTTAACCGACCTTGTTATGAGAGCAGTTCTGTTCAACCGCTGCTATCTGAAATCTTGGCATTTCCGCTCCCACACTCAGTGATGGGAACAATTTGCTAAGGTATAGTGAGAGGCTATAAATATAAACACCCTGTCTTGTAACATGATGGTTGCTAGTATCTTTAATTTCGAAAACAAGTTCTGTACTGTATAGCAATCAATATATTTGGAAAGCATCAATCAATATATTACTGAAGGTATTAAAATAAGAATGTTTATTGACTCTTGCCTACGACTATTCCACTGAAAGTATTTGACTTTACCTACGTTTTGGTTTATTTTTAACTCATCAATACTCAGAAAATACCCCCGCCGCAGCACACCTGCCGACCAAGCGAATTTCCATTTGTCTGATTTGATTTTCAATCAAATCTATTAAAATACCCTTTGGTTTATTGAGTACCTAGGTTTGCTGCTACAAGGAAACTAATAAAGTGTGTTTTTTAGTAAAATATTAATAGCTTAGTATAAAATAAATAAATTTGCCAAGTTTGATAAAAATATATCCATAAACAAGCAAACTACAACATTTTACAATATTCTCCATAAGAATAACATGGGAATTTTAAATTAAAATTTTTTTGAATTTTCTCCGTTACCAATAACCGTACAAAAACACTTTGATAAACCATTTTTTACCCCGTAAAACCCCATTCCCATGGTCCGATCATGCGATGATTTGCGAACTCATTCAAGTTTATCCCGCCTTACACATTTAAACCAAATTTCATCAAAGCCGGACAACAATTTTGATGCTATGGCTCACAATAAGTCATTAGTTTCACTTGATAGAAAATGTTGTGTATTCGACAGTACGACAGAAATAAATTAGTAATTTAGATCAGCACAATCTCTCAGAGGCCCATATAAAGAATTAAAAATACGACTACTTTGATTTAAAATCTGTCTAGTTGTATCAATAGTCAAAGGTGATAGATACCCTGCTGACTCATTTAAAGTGCCAAAGTATTACATTTGTATACTGAATAATCGTACCTTCTAATGAAAGCTGGTAAACTGGGTTAAATAATTTTCTTATCGAGGTGATTAAAATCAACCTAATCTACAAATAAGGCAAAAGGGTAAATTGATTCAGGTTTATAGAGTGCATATTTTTATTATATACATTTTTCAGTATCACAAACACACTTATCATAATATTCAATATTCTACAATATTAATAAAGCAAAAGTGAAGTCCTTCAAAGTAAATACAGTTTATTTGAAATGGCAAGAATTGAAATGTCATGAATCATGTTTCCTAGACCTACTTACACGTAAACGTAAATATACAAGTAAAATTAATGGTCTTACTTGTTATAATGTCTTTAACACATTTAAATGTCATGAAAATGTTGTGATGAAAATAGGAACACGTGTGATGAAATGTTGAGAGGTAATCTAACTCAGAATAAATGCAAAATAATTATGCTGGTCTCTAATGTACGTTGCAGCTTTGATTTCAAAATCCAGTTGCAAGGTAATAGATTCAAGTTTTATCCCTGTCAGATTTAGATTTATTTGAAATAAAGAGCAATCCAGTTGTATACCTTTAAACTAGTTTCCCTTAAGGTTTAATGAAATGAGGATAAAAGTCTTCATACTGTTAACACAATGTCGCAACTAAGTTGCATTGAATAAAATTCTCCATTAAATACTTAAGGGGAAACTGGACAGTAACTAAATTTCAGAAATCAAATTGCAATGTACAAAAGAAGTCTTATATAACAATTCAGTAAGCCTAAACTAACGTTGGTACTTGGTAGCATCAGTCGTGGGATTCTAATCCGCTGTCAAGAAAATCCTTCACCATCAGTGTTACTTTGACCGGGAACATTCTGAAACGATAAATATAAATAACAAACAGTAATAATTGGTTTTGCCAGCTACAACGGCTCTCATGAATTAGTGTTATTCTCTTCAGAGTATTAATGAAAATTATCAAATCTGTTTATTGTTGGTCAATTGTGAGTTTTTTAGAGACCTCTATTGGAAATTAGACATTTTAAAATTTTAAATGACATGCTTTTAGTGGAGTTACCATTTGTAAAAATTGTTTGTGGGCTTCTCTCACCTCTATTATTGCCATGTGAAATCCAGGACTCGTCATTACACACACACATAGATACACATCACACACAATGGTCTATTAAATCAAGTGCAAGTGTTTTGTGGAACCCATAAAACGTCCCGCTTTCTCACGGTAGGGAAACTATCTTGATCCTAACCACGACTCAACCACGAGGATCAGAGTTGCCTAACCACGAGGGTCACGAGTCACCTAAACACAACCACAACTCAATCAGTGTGTTTATGATGAATTCCGTTTATCACTAGACAACAATAAAGATAAGTGAAGCCCAAAACAATTTCCACAAACCTTTTATAAACCTCCTAAAGCCAATTCAGGCCAATATTGAACATGAGTCTCGGATGACTAAGCAAATAAACCGCTTTTTATGACTACAAGATATATTTAAGAAGGTAACCAAGTTCTTACCGTACTGTACCTGATTAAGCCTCCGAAAATAAACCTAGAAACCCCATGATGATACAGTGTTAGTGTGTGTTAAACAAAAACAAAGACGGGATCGTACCTCAAGATGTAATTGACTGCCAGCAGTCCTGAAGGAATAGATATCTCTCTGTAGTCCCTCCTCACTGCCTGGATGATGTGTTTGGCTGCGTCTTGGGGCGAAACAATGCCAAGAAGGCCTGGGAACCTGCACAACAGGTAACCTAAGAAATCTGCTAAAATATAATATAATATAGCTATTCCAACAATGTCTTACGTGTTTAAAATAATAGGTAATAGTTGTTTTCACCACACAATGATGTTTTAGGCTGTATTACATACGTTAATAGGTGGCTGAAAGTTACATTTTGCTGGCCATGCCAGCTGTCATCTTAATTTGGGGACCGAGCAGGTTTTTACAGCCCGGGGCCGCAAAATCAGCTGTCCGCTTACTTACTTAAAACATGAATGCATTTTAAATACTAGGCCTATTCAAAATCCATAGTATTTCAATAGAATTGTGTTATTGTCACCGTTGTCTAGCAACTATTTATTTTTATTTTTGCTGATTCCTCAAATTATTTCTTCACATAACCTTAAAGTTGTAGTTGTGTTGACTATCAGTGTGCATTATTATAGTGGTGAATAGTGGTAATAGAGTATAGTGTGGTGAAAAATAGCATTCGTACCACAGACCAAAATGGTCTTGCCGGCCCGAGATAGTTTTTAAGTTCGAGACGAAGTCGAGAACTTAAATCGATCGAGAGTTGCAAAACCTCATTTTTGGCCCTAGGTACGAAGTATAGGATTGTGTCAGCTACACTTGAGAGAGATATAATGACGCCAAAAACGAGACGTACTTTGTGTTTTTAAGTAAATATCCTGAGTGCTGCAGAATACAAATAAGTGAGGAGGAATATAACGAGTATTGTAAAGTAAAAGAAAAGAGTGCAGTTAACAGTTAGTAATCAGTACAAATATAGCCCCGTTTTTAAGAGACTGTAGGTTACCTAATCCTAGGTTTCTTGCACAGCCCGGTGTTGACGATATATGGGAAGATAGTAGTAAACTTGATGTTGTTCAGTTGTCTCTTGTCTTCTCTAAGCTCTTCTGCAAGAGCTTCCATTAGACCTGTGACAAACATGCTATAGTTGATTAAGAACATACAATTTAAATGTTTTTGTGATAAGTTCTAAACACATTTTGATTTTTGTTTACCAAACAGCCCGATGCTAGTCCGGCACTTTCTCTCATAGCACAACCTTGTTATGATATTGGACTGGATTAATTAGAGTCCACTGTCCCTAGAGAGCTTTACTTTTTTACACTAACCTCTTTATTTAAAACATTTATGAAAGGGCTGTTGAATTTTAGTTAGCCTACAATCTCTGTCTTTATTCAGAAACATGAGAAACTAATATTTTCAAGTAAATAAAGACAACTGCTGTTTACCTCTTACAGCAAACTTGGATGAACAATATGGCACAAGGTTGTTCAGACCCAGTACTCCAGCCATAGAGGAGATGCCCACCACGTGGCCATGGTTGTTGCGAACCATGCTGGGCAGAAACATCTGCAGCATCTGAAGATTTAAAAAAGTTGTCACATAATGGTTTTTGTTTTAAGAAACCAAAGAAAATCTAAAAGTTCTGGCACGGTACTTTCAATATAGTATTGGTTGAAGGAGATTTTTTTACTCTAAGTAAGTATTTGTGGCTTGTTTGGGGTTTTTGAGAGAATTTTATTACTATCGGCCGAGGGCAGGCTTACTTATAAAAAAAGTCTGTCAATAGCCTTTATCCTCAATTTAGTGGTTCTGCATTCAACGATAGGCTATTTACTTTTAGACAGTGTTCAGTAGTTTGGCGTTGCATTTAATCTGGCGCTGTCAAAGTACCAAAGTAGCCTATCAGATTAGTGGAGGTTTACTGTGTTATGGGTTTTCTTTCAAAAACCGCAGAAGGAATTGAACCTATTATTTGTGATACAAACAATATTCTATCAACATTTAGTTCGCGCAAATTAATTAGTAGGTTAAAAAACTAGCTAATCTCCAATCCAGTTGCTGACAATGTTATGACAAAGCACAATTTAACATCTACAAGGAGACCGATTGATTTTTTTTTAACACTAAAAAAATACATAGCCTAAACAATGTTGAGTATTTAAATTCAAACTACGATTTGCATTTTTTAGCTTAGTTTTTATATGCTAAACCTAGACAGTTGAACTTCAACTACAGTATCCAAATTGCATACAGAAAGAATTTTAAAACCTTAAAACTCTCAGGAGCCCAAAATCCTCACAACTACCCTTTTGCGACAAAAGGGTGATCGCAACAAAATCCTGAACATCTGCAGACAATGTTATCATGAAAAAAATATAGAATATCTTCTGGGGTATTGTAGACATGATATTGTCTGCCCTAGTCAATGAAAATCAACATCGTCCGAAAAAGTGTAAATTGTTCAGTAAATCTTCACAAATGGGTTCTTGGATTGCAATAATAAAAGCTTGGCTTGTCTTGGCCTGTTTTATAAAAAATACCCCAAAATTTTATAAAAATCAAATCAACTGAATTTTTGACTATCCGAACATGGCACGGACGGTCACAATTGATTTGGATAGTTGGAGTTTCACTGTACTTCTTACTGAACTGATATTTCATTATTTACCCAGAAATGTGCAAACACATTGATGTCGAAGATCTTCTTGATCTCGTCGGCGGAGGAAGACGAGAAGGGGTGGCAGGGCATGATGCCTGCATTGTTGACTAGATAAGTCACGTCTCCCACCTCCTTTTGTACCTTGGCGGCCAACTGTACAACTTGGTCTCTGTCCGAGACATCACATCTGCAGAAAAATACAAGTGTAAATATTCCAACAACTACTTGCTTGCCAAGGAATATCACATAGCATGCAGAGTTTAGTGTAAAAAGTAGTAGTGGGTGTTTTTATAGGATGTAAGCTGAAAATAATAACATCATTGATTATTATTTAGTACGGCCAGTCAGCTTCCGTACTCGTATCGGTCATCATGTGCGCGACGGGCCTGTCTCTTGTTTTATATGTTTTAAATATTTTTTTTTATCGTGTTTCATGTATGTGTAAGGTTTGACAACGCCAATTCTGGTAGATAAACATATCTGAGGTTGGTATTTTGATGCCAAAACGGCCGTAATATACAGAAACTTCAGAGCTGTGGCTAAGTAATTGTATTATTATATTATACTCTCCTAATCTTGCACTTGGCAAAAGATTCAACAGTTTTAAAATAAAAAAAAAAACACAGTGAAGCTTACACGTCAGTTTCAGAGCTGAAAATAATGTCATTCTGTTCACAAATGATGCCAAGCAGCTAGGAGCCTCGTTGCGGCGTACACGCGAACTACAAAACTGTACACAAAAACAGCACTCTTCTTCCAAAAACATCAAACTTACTCAAATCTGTGAACTTTAGAGAAGCCTCTGTCTTTCAGCTCCTTGACTGTCTCCTCGTTGCCCTCTTTGTTGATATCAACACAGACGATTTTAGCTCCCAGTTGAGCAAACTGCAGGGCGAGTTCTCTACCGATGCCATGTCCTGTTCCAGTGATCTGTTTTTTGTTTTCAAAATAAATTATTATGTTTAACTATCATGCTAATAGGCAAACTTAAAACTGTTGTATAATGTTGATACTGATGGAATAAATTAGTTATCATCTTCCAGACCTCGAATGTTATTAACAATGCTCTATCCCTATCCAATAGTCTTTTGAGTTAAATTATTCTAGTCACAATTGTTTTTATTGGTTTTACTTTACTTGCTTGCAGCCAGTGGTTAGCTGTAATTTTGTGAGACACATTTAGACGTTTGTTAATAGGTACAGACCTAAGTTTTTAAGTAGTAAGGTTTATGTAAATTTATGCAACAAGTTTTGAATTCAATTTGACTAACATTAATTTATAGAACTATTTTTTAGTGTCTAACTAAATTTTGGAACTCTGCTTATATTTGTCCTCTAGAGCAGGGATTCTCAAACTTTTTTGAACACCTTTAGAAACCTGAATACTTTTAATACTTTTCAATGAAATGGCGACCATACAAAGTAGGTATTTTAAGCCAAGTATGAATGGAGATGAGTGTAGGATGAGTGGCCTGATCTTGTAGTCTTGTTAGTGACTAAGATCGACATATTCCTTAGACACAGCTGTTAATTAATAGCCCATACAGCTAATGGCAACTAAGGGACCTACAGATTGGTGGAATCCGAACCACATTTTTGACTTGGTATTAACAAATATAAATCCCCCAACGGAAGATGAGATCAAACAAGCGATAAAAGAAACAAAAAACTGGAAAGCTCCGGGATGTGACAACATTGCTCCAGAGGTTATAAAGGCAGCACCAGATATAGCAGCAAAAGTTGTAAAACCACTGTTTGAAAGAATCTGGATTGAAGAGATTATGCCCCAAGACTGGAAAGTGGGACTTCTTTGTAAATTACCTAAGAAAGGGGACTTAACAAGGTGCGAGAACTGGAGAGGTATATCCTTGCTATCAATCGTTGGTAAAATGTTTTCAAGAATAGTATTGAATAGAATCAAGGATGTAGTAGATGGGAAATTAAAAAAAGAACCAGATCAACACAATGAGAATAATAATCGAACAAATGAATGAATACAGTGTTGGTATATATCTGGTTTTTATAGACTTTATGAAAGCCTTCGACTCTATTAAAAGGGACCAAATCTGGAGAGGATTGACAAGATTAGGAATCCCTGGAAAAATAATTAACCTAATCAAAGAAATGTACAAGAACTACAGTTGTAAAATTATACACAATGGACATTTAAGCAACCCGATAGAGGTAAAGCTAGGGGTGAGGCAAGGTTGTGTCTTGTCACCAACCCTCTTCCTGGTTGTGTTGGACCAGGTGTTGAGGAACATAAGTAGGAGAGAAGCAAAGGGTATTTCCTGGGGTCTACAGCAGAAGCTTGAAGAACTTGCATTTGCAGATGACATCTGTTTCTTAGCCCACAAATTCAAAGATATGGAAGGAAAACTTGCAGATCTTGAAAAAGAAGAGAAAGCTATAGGGTTGAAAGTCAATGTCCAAAAGACAAAATCAATGAGGATCAATCCAGTAAATAACAATATGTTTAAAATGGCTGGAGAAGAGATAGAGGAAGTGGATTCTTTTACATATTTAGGGAGTGTGTTGACAAAAAATGGAGGGGCAGATGATGATGTAGTGGCCCGAATCAAGAAGGCAAATGCTGCATTTGTTCAACTATACCCAGTTTGGAGAGCTAGGGAAGTATCAACCAGAACAAAGTTAAGAATATTTAACACCAACGTAAAGTCAGTTTTACTTTATGGATGTGAAACGTGGAAAGTCTCTCTAGCAATCACAAACAAGCTACAGGTATTCGTGAACCGGTGCTTAAGAAGAATCTTAAGAATCTATTGGCCAGAAGTAATCTCTAATAAAGATTTGTGGACAGCCGCCAAAGAGGATCCCATAGATATACAAATTAAAAAACGGAAATGGCAATGGATAGGACACACTCTGCGCAAAGATCAAGACGCCGTAGAAAAACAGGCCTTGAGCTGGAATCCCCAGGGACAGAGGAGGAGAGGAAGACCGAGAAAAACATGGAGAAGAACAATTGAAGCCGAAATCAGAGAGGCGGGTAAGAGCTGGAGAGAAGTTAAGGCATTGGCTGCTAATCGTGTCCGTTGGCGCTGTTTCGTAGAGGCCCTATGCTTTGCCAAGGAGTGACAGGAAATAAGTCAAGTAAGTCATTAACAAATTGGTCTAATTTTCAGGATAGGCCTAGTACTGCGGATAGAATGTTTCTCATGCTCCCATTCCCCCATATTAAAAGCTCATATACCATATGTAAATGGGGCATTCTAATGTCCCTGTGCAATTAAAAATCCATACTCTACTCTATTTTCAATAAGGTTAGGGTTAACAAGGTTAGGGTTTATTCGATGAGGATTAAATTTAAAGCTTGTATATGGCTACTATTCCAAACAAATTTTATACCTAATATTTTTGCTTTAATTTTATTTATATTTTTATATAAATAAAGTGCTCATGCACCCCCCCCCTGAAATCCTTCCACACCCCCTAGGTCGAGAGCCGCTGCCCTAGACTTAATTAAAAACTAATAAATCTCCTAAAAATCTAGGATTGTACAAAATAAAATCTGCATTAACCTATAAACCTATCGGTGATTCAAACGCAAGACCTCATAAAATACTTACCAAAACAGTTTCATTGGCAACAGACTTTTCGTGAACCGGTACTAAAGTTTGGTAGAGTGCTTCAAACACTCCAATGATAACTTTGAGCAGCAAAATTGTGATGTCAACTAATAGTGTGGCGACTGATGTTAGTTGAGAGATCATTGTCTGGCCTTCTGAAAAAAAATATTGTGATTAAAATCTGTCAAAATTAAATCATTAAAGGGTTTGAAATGGTCTGTAAAATATTACAAAATAACTTTAACAATAGCTTAACTTATTACAATTAAAAGCATTTATCTTTTTTATGTAAACAGTCACAAGTGAAAATTGCGCATATGTTTGATGTTCTGCTTATCATTAACTTAGTGACTGAATAATTCAAGGTCACTAACATTGTTATTACTGCATTGCAGGCTGCAATGTGTTGACTTGACTAATTTAACAGCTTCAAGAATCAAGAATCAAGAATCAAGAATTTATTCACCATTAAATAAGCAGTATACAATAGGTGTCGTCAAAGTATATAAAATCAATAGATAATGTCTTGAGGGTCACAGCTCAGGTACTCTTCAGTGGTATAAAATGCCTTAACTTTAAGCCACTTGCTAATAACATGGATAAATTTCTTAGGTGGTAACATTTTAACATTGGTTGGCAGTTTATTATAAATTAAAATTTGATGGTAACTATGGCTCTTATAATACTTATCAAGTCTAATACTAGGTCTAACAATGTCCTCTTTTTGTCTGGTGTTGTGAGAATGAATAGTAGAGGTTTTTTGAAAGATATGGGTGTTGTTTTTAACAAATATAAGATTATAGTAAATAAACAGACTAGGTTGAGTAAATATGCTAAGTTCAGGAAAGACTGTTCTGCATGAATCGTTTTCATTTAGGCCACAGATAACCCTAATTGCTTTTTTTTGCCAAACAAACACTTTTTTTGCTGATGGTGAATTGCCCCATAGTCTTATACCATAAATAAGATGGGTATGAAACAAACCAAAATAAACCATAAAAAGAATATCAGAATTAACACAAGTTTTAAGTTTTCTTAAAAGACAGGTAACACGAGCAAGTTTTTTGCACAAGTTGTGTACATGTTCGTCCCAACAGAGTTTACTGTCCAGAGTAATACCCAGCAGTTTTACAGGCTTGAACAAGTCATTATCTAAATCTAAATCACAATGGTTCCTTAGTGTAAAAATTAAGCGCTCTGTTTTACCTTCATTCACAGCCAACATATTTGCAGAGAACCATGATTTTGACTCCATCAAGGCTATGTCAAGTTTGTTCTGAACACCCACCAAATCTATATCAGATTGTACCAGGGTGGTGTCATCAGCATACAACACAGAAAAAGTAGAGACATTAGAGCTAAAATCGTTAACAAAAACTAAAAACAAAAAAGGACCAAGGACAGAGCCTTGTGGTACCCCTACTGTAACATCTAGGTATTCGGAATTCATATTATTAAAGCTAACCATCTGTTTTCTGCTTTGGAGATATGTTTGAATTAACCTCAATTCCTTATCAGCTACTCCATAAGACTTTAGCTTGTCACATAAGATTTTGTGTGATACAGAGTCAAAAGCTTTACTTAAATCAATAAGCAATGACCCCACAGTGAGTTTTTGTTCAAAGCCATTTAAAACATATTCAACTACTTTTTCAACAGCATCTATTGTCGAGTGTTTAGGCCTAAAGCCAAACTGAAAAGGATAAAACAAACTATTACTTACAAAATAATCATTGAGCTGGTTTACAATACAGTGTTCTATAACCTTGCTTATAATAGGAACGATTGCAATTGGCCTGTAGTTTTCAGGTTTGTTTACATCACCTTTTTTAAAGATGGGTGTAACTTTTGTCACTTTTAAGCATTCAGGGAATATGCCTGTGCTAAGAACTAAGTTAACAATAAAAGTTAGTGGTATTACAATTACATGAATTATATTCTTAATTAAAAAGTTTGACATTCCGTAAACATCTTCAGATTTAGAGTTACTCATTTTATTTACAACACACATAACAGTATTTACATCAACCAAATTGACCTTAAAGTTAATACTAGGCCTACTACAATCTAGATTTATGTTATTATTTAAAAACTCTTCATAATCAGTATTAGTTACAGATTGGTCATTACCTAGAACATTGGAAGCATTAACGAAAAAGTTATTCATTTGTTCAGGTGAAATTGGTATAATCTGTTTCTTTGTTGATACCAAGTTACCTTCCTTTTTAGCAACCAGCCAAGCAGCTTTACATTGATTTGTCGATTTACTTATAAACCTACCATTTGCTTCTATTTTTGCATTTATAATTTCTTGCCTATATTGTGCCTTAAATTTGCTAAACATTAATTTGTCATCTGGGTCACATGTGCTTTTCCATTTGTCGTACAGTGCAAGGAGTAATTTACGCATATTTTCTAGATCAGGCGTAAACCATTTTACCAGTGAACCCTTTTTTCCCTTAAAACTACTATTTACAGACATTTTTGGACAACTTAAATTCAGGTACATAGACAGTATATTTAAAAACACATTAACAGATATATTTACATCATTAGTGTAGATACCCATCCAGTTTGCAGATAATAGCATTTGCTTATAGTCATTAATTTTCTCATGAGATAAGATGCGCTTTTTTTCTACTTCTCTTTTTTTTAGACTAGGCCTATCTCTACTTTCGTCAAAAGTAAAGGAATCCAGGGTAAATGTGGTCCATACACCCGCATGGTCCGACAATATATCTTGGTTAAGTAACCTAACCTCAACATGGTCAGATGTAATGTTTGAGGCTACAACATCAAGGCAAGCTTTAAATCTGGTTGGGGTTTCATGAACACAATAAATATCAAATGATCTAAGGAGATTAATCAATTCAACAGTTTCGGGGTCATGGGTTTTGAGGATATCAACATTTAGATCACCAGCCAAGACTATGTGTTTAAGAGAATCATTAAATAGACAAATTAGGATTTTTTCAAGGTTAGTAATAAAACATTTAAAATTAGAAGTAGGAGTACGGTAAATACACAAGACTAACATGTTTAGTTTATGTAGTCTAATAGCTGAAACCTCGCAAAAAGCGTCACAGCCGTATTCCCCCATGTCCAAGACCTCATAAGTTGTGTCGCTCTTCACATAGATGGATGAACCGCCAAAAGGAGATTGCCTGCAGTAGTAGCTCGCAAGAACAAAACCTTCAGGCACGTAGAGGGGTATCTCTTCAGCCAGAAGCCAGTGTTCATTGACACAAATTATATCTGTCTTTGATTGAGCTAAAATAATCTCAAATTCATGGAGTTTGTTACGAAGAGATTGTAGATTAATCAAGAGTAGGCTTAATGTGAACTTAGCTTCGTGGGGGCCTACAATGTCCTTTAGTTCCCCCATGTCATTTATTTGTGCACAAAGATTGGCTCCGTCTGTGTCAAACCTGTGCTTAGGCCTAGGTCTTGTCACATTCACATCACCAATATCATTGTTTATCTGGTTTAAATCAATCACATTGGAGGTAAAACTCGTTTGTCCTGTAAGTTTAAAGACTTCTTGACAACAAACCTGTTCACAAACACCCCCTTCGGCCAGAAGTCGGGTTTATACACTACTTCATCAATCCTGGAAGGAATGGTGACTTTAAATGAGCAGTATTCTTCAGGGTACTTAGAATTGAGCGATTCTACCTTAAACGTTTCATCACTAAATTTACCTGATAGAAATGATTCCAAATCCTTAGAGTCAGTGTCAGGTGATAGCCTAGACACAAACAGGAACGACTTCCTTTCAGCAGTTTTGATTCTATCGCCATCCGCCAAACTTAAACTTCCAGTAATAAACTTAGGTTTGTTTTGATTTTGTCGTCTGTAACTGACATTTCCAACGCCACGGCCTCCGTTATTCTGCTTCTGCTCCTGCTGTTGAATGTCACGACGTCTTTTTCGCTTCCGATAGGAGACAGTCTGGAACGAATCGGAATCAGCTACCATCTCACTCCTATTTGACTCCGCTGCGGCAGTTTCAAACTTTGATGAATCTTGTCGGCTTTCTGGGTTTCGATGTAACGAGCTCGCCATAGATTCTGTAACTCTATGTCTACTTCCAACAGAGCTGGGTGTCGTCTGCTCGTTTACAGTTTCATTATTCCCAAGCAGACTAGGGCTAGGTTTAACAGTATCGACATCGACATCATTATCAATATTAGTACAACAATTTAGGGACGTTTGACTTTGAATTCTACTTTCACCTTTATTTAAATTCTGAGATTTTAGTTTGCCAGCATACGTGTTGTTCGCAGACTTGTTCAAAACTATATCACCGATGATTTCAGACTGGTGTTTTAATGCGTCCTTCAACTTGTCATTTTCATTAATTAAAAACATAATTTGCTCACTCATCTTGTTTTGAGTGGTTGTTAAATTGAACACTTTATCTAAAAGAGATTGAAATGTGTCATTCGAATATTGTAACTCACATTCATCGTCATCTTTAGTCACAGAACTCGCTGAGCTGGGAGCAGACGACAGTGCCGACGGCGGCGGCAACGTTTCCGATGACGACCGGCACTTTTCACACTTGAAATAAGCCTTATTCCCTAACTCCTTAAAAATATTTAATTCTTCAATTGATAGACCGGCACACGAAATATGAAACCACGACAGACAAAACCCTTAACACTTTATACATTTACTGTTCTTCGCAATAGTTCTTTTGCAATCAGCCAAGCCACATTTAGTAGGCGCCATCTTGATGACTTTTTTCAAGTAGGCTTGGTGTTAGTAGGCTATATATGAACAGAAAACTGTGGCTTTAATAATTACGAACATTAGCGTGTGGTTTTGTAGATACAAACTAATTATTTCATTTGTATAGATTCAATAGTTAGCTAGATAGGTACTGTACTAACAAGTTAAAAATCTGACTACCATTCAGATAATTTTAGAAGGGTAGAAACAGTCTATTGTTTTCTGCAATTTAAAATAATTTCTCAAAAATTTTTTTTAAGATAGTGAAAGTTCCTAACTTAATGATGATTCACAAAATAATAAATATTTTATCAAAGCCTAAACATCTTCAAGGAATGCTATTGCCATCAAATAAAAAAAAATGGATCAATGGTTTTGTAGAAAAAGTAGTTGTTTTTCCATTTAGTCACGTCTTTTGTAGAGAGTGGAAAATGTTTTTCACCGATGATTCAAGTGAATACAGAAGTCTTGATTATCCCCCCTGTGTAAGAAGTATCGTGATATCACGTGCTAATCCTAGTACCGTGTGTTTTATTACTGTACACTGTAGCAGTAAATCGAGACAACTTCTTTCATCGAGGGCTACTGACTTTACTTGGAAAGAACGCACCAGGCTTTTAAGGACCTGCACTTATCCGTGCATTCTTATTGTTTAAGCATTTTGCAAAGGTCTACCACAAAGCTTGTAAAGCTCCTCATACAGTCATACCTGCAACACATTTCTCCTATTCCTTAGCTTAAGCTTTACTTACCCTAACAGAGTGAATGTATAGGCTGAGTAGGCCTACCTGGATGGATACCTAAGTGGACAAGTGAGTTTATAATTTTAAATTATTTCATATTTAACAGTACTTCGGAGGTATTTCTAAGTAGTTTGTCGATTATTTTCATGTTGGCTGATTGGTGATGATGGATTTGAAATTATAAATGTTAGTAGTTAACTTAGGCTAGTTAATTAAAAGACAGCCTTTAAGTTAATAGGTTTGACAACTAGGAAACTTTATTGATGTTATTAGTTTGAACGTGTTTACAATGGTTTTTATTATTTTCCGTGAAAGCCAAGTTTGTCACAGACAGTTTAGGCAGGTTTATGGTGTGTTAGTGTTAGGTTAAGTTTCTTGATTCAAGATAAAACCCAACTAAACTGGGTGTAAGATACAGTTGATCTTCATGTGATTTTTTCACCATCAGCAAGTTTGGTTGGTTAGGTTACGTTATGATGGTTTAATTTTATAATAGATACATTTAAAACTATCGACTGTTAATCAATATTTTCAATTCGATAGTTTCAATCGATATTAGCATAGCCCAGTTAAGAAACTGTACCTACCCTTAACAAATCCTATGCCTAAGTTAATTTGGCTTATCATTTTGTCAACTAGGCCCAAGCTACATGGGAGTACAAATTACAGGAATCGTTGTTTTGCAGTCTTATCGAGCTAATCATAGGCTTATCCTAACTCTAAAAGTTGTTAACCATATTATACTGTGTTATACAATACCTGTCAATGTCAAATATTTCTTGTAAGTTTAGTGTGAGTAGGCCTATCAATCAACCCAGGAAGTCATTCACCACTGACGATATAACCTGACTTTAACATAAAGCTTTGTCTTTAACATTATGAATGATGATCAAACGTTTAATTAGATTGCTTCCGTTCTCAATTTATCACCGGGTCAAGATACGACAAGTTCATCAGCGGTTCAAGTCAAGATAACCTCAAAAACGGATAGCGCTGGGTTCACAACGATATGGTAGGCATTCGGATAAGTATCGATCGTCGTAGTATGAAATGAACTACTATCGAACATCGTAAATCGATTGCCTCCTAGAGCGCTAGAGCCGAGCAGCCGAGCCGACTCGATTCGATTCGAGATTCGACACACAAAGAGAGAAGAGAGAGAAAGAGAAGACAGACAGAGAGACAACAAAAACTAAGAACTAGCACTAGCCTTCGAAGAGGATAATATTTCTTTTATTATTTTTAATTTAGTATTTAGTTATTTAATTTATTTCAACTTTGTTCCTTTTGATCAGTTCAGCCTAATGGCTGTTTTATAACTTATGAGGATTAAACTTAAGCTTGTTTTAATAGCCAGTAGGGCCTACCTTTGACTATTAATACAACAACCCAGTACGGTACTCAACTCATGAAATATGCCCTCTGCTCAGTTTGAGAATTCAAAAATTTCTTTCCTTGCAATATCTGAGCCCTAGAAACGGGCTTTTTGAGAAATGTGTATTCCCAAGACAGCTCAATTTGTTATTGAATTAGACAAGTTAGGCTAATCTACGCCAAAATTGCGCAAGTTTACTGGAATATTTTTTAAATTCCTCCGTGATATTCTTATATTCAAGTTCTTATATTCATCATGCTGGTTATCAGCCGTAGGCTACTTATACTGTAACTTAATGTTAATAGGATTAAACATTTTCATTAGCAAATGTTATGCCAGGTTCAGATATTATGTTGTACTTATTTATTTATTTGCATTCACTGTAATATTGTGAATTAAATTATGGTCTTCCCGTAAAGGCCACATTATGACGTTTGTGACGACAGGCATAGGAGAGGAGTTAGAAGCAGCAGCAGAAGGCACCAAGGCATTGGCAATAATTTACTTCGATCTTCCACCATGAGATAGCCGGATCCGATACTAAAAAGTCGATGTCTGTCATCCGGTAGAAAACAAGGTCGATTCTTATCCGAATGCCTACCATATCGTTGTGAACCCAGCGCTATCCCTCAAAAACCTATCAAATTATTATTTACCAAAAAAACAAAACATTGACACTGACGGCCGGACAATTTTTGTTGTTCAAATTCATGCTACATAAATTGCAGATTTACACATGGTGACATAGGCCTATATCTCTTGCTGACGTCACAGGAGCGTGAAAATGACACACCACAAAGATTTAGTTTTAGTTGTTCGGTTGTTTTTGTTTTAGTAATTATACCAAAAGGTTGGTTACTTTCCCTTCGTAGCCTTAACGGGGCACTGATAAAGAAAATAAATAGCTGGCGATCAATCATACTTAAAATAAAACTATGCCCGCTTTTGATTGTAGGTATCTACGCTACATACCGAATTATTATTACCATACTGTAGTACGTACCTATACGCACTCACCCTTCACTCATGGATTAAAATACGCACAGAAGTGGCATCCCCATCTCAAATAATGATAATAAGTGGCATCCCCATCTCAAATAATAATGATAATAAGTGGCATCCCCATCTCAAATAATGATAATAATAATTAACATAGCCTACATATTGTGATCATTTCTGTAGTGTGCGAAGTGGCACTTCAAGGGAGTATGTTTTTATCTACGGTTTACACGGTTAATGATGTGATCTGACCAGCTGTTCGTAGTCGTAGTATCTTTAATTATTAATAGGTGTTGTAACAAGTATTACGTGCCTAATAAAAGTCCACTGTTTGGGTTGTTTGGTTGGAATGCTGGAATGTCGCAAAACAATAATGAGTGCGGAAAAAATGAGTGTAGCAAAAGTAGGTATGTCTAAATACAGTAAATCTATTTTTCCTGTTATAATCAATAACCCATTTATTTAGCTAGATAAACAATATACATGCATTAGCCAAGTCGAATTTATTAAAACTATCTATTAACTATAACTTGTAATACACCAAAATTAAAATTCATGAGGAGTGTCCGTCAGCGACCGGACACCGTATAGTAGCATTGACCTTAGAGAAATTACCTCAAGTGCCTTTTGAAGCATCCTGGGTCTGGGTCTGATGATATGTGGAATTGATTTGAAGAGGGAGAGCATTAAACTGTTTAATGTCATTATAAGTTAGACGTCTTTCAACTTTCCAAGAATGTAACTGAATGGGCTGGAATTCTCAGATTGAAGTTATTGCGAAGCAGAAATTAATGAGTGGGTGTTTGTGGTGTGAAAATGAGAATAATTTGACTTCCAGAATGTAAATACAAGGAACAGTTAGAATTGCGGATGATTTAAATACATATCTAAGTATGTTTGTATGGAAGGCCATGAATAATTGTGACAGCTCTCTCCTTTAACGCGGAAATGGACACGAGTTCTTGTGCTTTCACCACCCCATAGTGTAACATACATACATACATACGTACATATCATGTGGGATAAAGTACAACGTAGTAAGCAGTAAGAAGTACGACTTTGTTTGAAAATGCTTTGAAAATGTTTGAAAGTTGGCACAGAAGAAAAAAACCTGAACTGATCTTTCTACAGACAGAATCAATGTGAGGTTTGAAACACAAGTTCTCGTTCAACAAAAAACCCTAGGAATTTTACTTGAGCAGTGGTTTCAGTTTGCTGTTTCAGTGTCGTCAAAAATAAAATTTAGTTTTTTTCAGTTTTCCTAATTAAGAATTCAACAAGCTGAATTTTGTTGGATTGATTTTGAGGAGATTTTCACCGAACCACTGCATCAAGCAACTAGCTGGCTCGTGTCTATATAGTTAAAGTCGGTTTGGGGTTTGGGTTGGAGACAGCGATGTCGTCAGCAAAAATACATATTCCACCCTTTTTGACCAACTGAGGTCTGTAGATGAATAGTACCGGGCCAAGAACCGACCCCTGGGCCCTGAGGCACTCCACTGAATCAGTGCAAGGAAGCCCACTTTGTCAGGTAACCGTAGGAAAAATACGTTCTGCAATGTAATGCATTTTAATTATTAATAACCTGGAATCTTCATCTTACACATATAGCTATCGTACACACAGAACAGTGTGACGCAAATGCAATTCTTATGAAAAAGCAACGATGAGAGATTGTGATTTCGTTTAATGGCATCAAGGTATTCTCACAGTGTGATTAGCATAAATCCATTATCTTAAAATCAAACGATTTCACATTAATTTCCTCATTTCTAAATGTACTTCAATAACTACTTTGGTAATGGAATCCTACATTAAATTAATCTAATGATGTGAACTCAAATCTGTTTATTCTAGTCTAAATCGATTTGTTTGTTCTATTTAAACCAAAACTGGATTGACAGGTGATAAATATACACCTTACCTATAATCAACACTCTCTCTCTAGTTGGCCTATATTATATTTTTCCAAATAAAAAATGATTCAAAATTATACATTACACGATAACCTCTGCGAAGTGGCTTGAAGTACACCCAATGTAATTAAATATGATCGTGAAATGGAAACTACTGTATCAAATTAAACCACAGAACTGAATGATCTGTCAACAGATCGATTTCTTGAGACGCAAATGCTAAAAACATACTTACTTTGGAGTAGAACTAAGTTAAATGAAATCTTTGACTATTCAATTAATAGTCCAATGCTGAAATACAGTGTTTAGTCTCAAAGCAAAGACCAGTAAAAATTATTTAGGGGAAACATTAAATTAAATCCATGGAGATATGGGGTGTGTTGTCAGATTATGAACTTTCATAGCTAGTAATAAACTAAATAATTATTAAAAAATAAATTTGATTCATATATTTGTCGATGATAAAGCTGTTAAAATATTCAACTTACAGCTACTGTATTTCACTGTCAATGCGAGGTTAGTTGTTTGTGGCCTACATAATTGTTATCTAGGCCTCATCGAATTTGTCCAGGCTTCAGTAAAACACTTTATCATATTCATATCGCCTCGAGGTTGGTAAACATGTCTAGATGGTCCTTTCATTTGTCTTTTCTATGAATTAAAAACAAAGCCATGCGGATCCTTTCTCAGATAATCCTTGTTTCTCCTTTCCCTTGATAGCTGATGACATGTTAACGAGCTCAAGTTTTATCTGGAATGTCAACATAAGCGAAACGTGGGAATCCTAACGGGCTTTGCATATTTTCTGAATTTGATTGAATGAAATGTATAATGTAATATATTTAACTTCTCTGTTATTATTAATTTTGAGACAACAACTCCAAACTGCGTATTTTAAACTGAATGTGAAGTCAAGAAGTGTAGAATGGAGTAGTGATGTGTCAAAACTTAGGAAAAGTTTCGGTTTTGAGATTGAGGATTTTGGCAGTGTTATTTCTGAAACTGCTGATATTTTTTGTGCAATTTTTATTGTTAATTATTGATTATGTGGTTTGTTTATGAGCCCCCGTAAGGGCTGCCAAAAATTGCCGATGTGGGCGGTATTTCACGCCCCCATGGCGGGGTATTGGTAAAAGTTTTCAATTAGCAATAATCGCACCTCAGCTGAACTTCATTGGTTACGATATTGCCACTGCGCAAAGTTGACATTCCAGCTCCATTAAAGTGACCCGACCAAACTTGGATCCTGTTTCCAGCGCGAGAGCCAAACGATATATCACTTTTTTTGAGATAGATGCGAAATACAATTACTTCTAGAATTACTCCGTAGTATTGGAAATATATTAGTTAAACTGCCCGTGAATATTATTTCTCATAAAGTATCTGTAATATGTTAAATATTTATCATAAAATTGAACTACAACTAGTAGAAAACCTTGTAGCGCTCTAGCGGAGACATTCTGTACCACTTCAGTTCCTGCCGCTAGTTTCAGTTACCACCGCTAGGATCGTCAGTTCCAGTTGTTTATGTGATTCCGTACTGGTACTACATAAGATAATGCAATACTGTACCATAGATGAATAAAATATTTAATATATATTATATTACTTCGTCTATGATTGTACTCTGTACTGTATTTATTATTTCAGACCAAGCAATTTTATATCATCGGGAAATAGTTACTATAA